AACATTTTTTCAAAACCTAATCTATAACTATAGGAACTATAACCTAAAAAGTCATCAATTTGGTTGCATAAAATGATCAAAATGTTAGCTATTATAAAACCTATAGCTATAAAACCAGAAAAGTACATTGGTATCAAGCCTAGTACAAAAAATTGATAAACCTTTCTTGCATTTCAAAAACTGTAACTATAAGACCTATAATCTAAGTGAAAACTCTAGTTGCAGAAAATCCTCTTGGTCAATCCTTTTATGAAACTGGTGCAATACTTTTTGTGTTTAGTAGTTTTTTATTCTTTCTTTCTTGTTGATATATGTTTTTGCAAGATCTTTTTGTTCCTTTATGCCTAATAATAGAAAATTTAAAACAATAAGTGAGATTCAATATATAGATGCATAAAATGGTGATGTAATGACAAATCAATGGCTATTTTATCAGTAATTTATTTTGGTGATGTACTGATCAGACAACATGTAGGCCCTTTCCTAAAACTAGCTTACTAGGTCTTCCAGATTATATTTATGAAATCCATAGTATTAGTTTCAACACCCGTAAAAATAAATAAAATTAATAATCACTTACAATGAATATCGAAATCCCATTATCTGGTTTTTAGTATAAACCAATCCCCATGCCATGTAAGCATGATTTTTCTTTCCTTTTTCTTATTTGTAAACTCTCAGAAATGGCCTGTCTGGTTAATAAGATAGTTAATTAATGACTTCAAAACTTCAACAAAATTGTTTTTAAACAATAACAACATTAGAACTTCACAACTTTAACATCAAAACTCAAAACTTCAATATCAAAACTTAAACAATAGCAACAAAGTCAGAAAATGCATACATTTACATTTCTATTAGTAGAAATAGAAAATGATATGTTGTCACTTATAATAGTTGACTTTGATCTTTCATTTCTATTACCAGTAGCTTGCACATACTTAAAACAATTAGTATAATAGGATTTTAATTCATTTAATAGTAAAACAAATATGAAAAAGTCTTCTTATAAATTTTGATTTCCTTAGACATCCTAACGTGTTGTGGCCTTATTTATGACAATATTTACATTTCATTTTCTTTTTTTGCCTTAATAGTTTAGTCTCACTTTTTCCTTCAAATGGTTCATTTCTTCTCTTTTTTATTAGTCTACTAGCATCTTTTTGACTGAAAGAGATAAAACTAGTTCATGGATACTTTTAAGCTAATATTGTTTACCTCCAGTAAAGTTCAACATGTGCTTGTAAGCACATAAATATTTTTTTCTTGCTAAACTATAAACTTATAAATTTAAAATGGATCTAATTCCTTATACATTATTGCACTGATTGCATGCTAACACGGAACTCTACTTACGTCTTATCTCTTGCAAAAACATGAATGGTGTTGTAACAAGACAATGAAACATTCTCTCTCTTACGTTTCAACATTCTCCCAATATACTTTATACCTACCATTGCCATTCATTTCAACCTCTTATTTTCTAGTTACCTAAACTTCTCAACTTTTTTTATAATTTAGAGGTTATAATTAGTCTTTCATTTGTTAACAGCCTCCATTTTTTGCACTAATCTCTTTATAACAAAAATCCTAATATCCTCTAGTATGCTAATAATGGGCTTGCACCTAACTTTCAAAATGAAACCATTAAAAGTTTTAGACATACTATTATAAATATTATCATATTTAATGATGTCACTAAAAAAAGCTTAGCATAAATCTATAATGGCCATTTCTCTAGTAACTCTTCTTTTGCCTTAAACCCTCATCCAATGCTTGTCATGATTTCTAACTATTTTTTCAACTCAAATTCGTTAAGAGACCTAAGACATCCAAAATTGTAATTTCAAGTTTTTTCCTCTATGACTCTTCCTTCACTTAGCATAAATATACTTAGCACACATTTTCTGCTTTACATATAGCAATATATCCCTAACAAATCTTATCAAACCTTAACATATTGAAAAAAAGAACCCAACAATAATTAATGTATTATATCAATTAAGTAAACAAGTATGACAAAGTAAATAAATGGGCAATTAAAAAATTTACCTTTTGCATATCATTTATCATAGAGCATCCAAATCCATCTTCAATACCTAAATCATCATAAAGTTATTATATAAATCATGTCTAAGTTTCAATATTCTCTTTTTTCACCGCTACCCATGCAATTGAAAACATTTTATTATTCTTATCTCTCCTTATAACCACAAGCAGCTAGCCCTTAACCAGCTCTGTAAAGAAACAACCATCAAGACTAATAATATGACTGCATCCCTCAATAAGTTCTTTCTTCAAAACTTCAAAACATACATATAATTTGTTAAATGAAGTCATAGAATTAGGGGTTGAATTCTTAGATGTCAAAAAAATTAGTGCTTCCTAAGTTGGTTGAATTTAGCTCCTCAACATAATCATTTAAAGACATAAATTTTTTTTTATACTTTTTTTCAATTCTTTTAAGAATAACTCCTTTGACTGCTTTACAAACATCATATGATACAATAATTCTTAATTCTTTTCAAACCAGTACCCTCAAATGTCTAGGCTTCATCAAAGGCATTACATTAATTTGTTCACCAAACCTTCTAGCAATAATAAAGGCTGTCACCCTTTTATCCTTTGAAGTGGATATGCATGAATGCTTAGACACATGTTTTCAAAAAATACTTTTTTAAACAAATTCAAACTCTCGACTCTAAGCCTAAGCACAAAATCTTCAAAATGCAATCTTAGATTACAATAAATGTTACTAGAATGCACTCTTTGTGCATCATCTTTCATCAAATTTATCAATAATGTTACTGTAACTACTAGGGTCTGATAAATCAAAGCAATAACTCATGTACTCATCAATTTTAATGTTTGGCATTAAAGATTCAACTCTACCTCTGACAACTTCACCACCATTTAATTTAGCATCCGATTCCCCATTTGATTTACCATTTAACTTATCATCACAAAATTCTTTTTTCTTCTCAATGTAAACTTTAACATTTTACCTAGCTTTCTCTAACTCATCATTAGCTGTAGAATCATCATTAACATTACTATCATTCACATTTATTTCACCTATATTAAATCCCTAAACAGCCATAAACTCTCAATAGTAACTTCATTAGTATCATTAACTTCATTCACATTCACTTTAAATCTCCCAACGGACTCTAAACTTTCAACAATAACTTTATTAGTCACATAAACTTCATTTGCATTAAACCTCTCAACAAACCCTAAACCCTCAATAGTAACTTCATTAACATTATTAGCATCATTAACTTCATTCATTTCATCTCTTTTTTTATCTGACTTCTTTCTTTCTAAACCACTATAAAAATCAGCCAATATAGGAATAGAAGGTCTTACTTGTCTATTAGGTTCATTACTATCAATCATAACAACTTCATCATCAATATTATTTGGAATTGATTCAAGCATAACATTTGGAATGTCACTGTCAAATTTGGAATCCAAATGTTCTAGATAAATATCTATAGGCTTACCTATTTTTTAATTGACTAGCCAAGCTTACCATACTGTTATCATCTTCTGTTAACAACTTTAAGCTTATTTTTAATGTTTTACCAAACTACACAAAGTAAATTTTCACCTTATGCCCCAAATCATAACCTAAACTCTTCATAATTCCTAATATTATCTAATAACAAATACGATCTGGATCTTCATCAAATTCACTCACTAACCCATTCACATATCTAATTGAATTACAACTTTTTTTTTGAATTGTCCCTCATGTTGTTACCGTGCTTTGTATAGTTTTCAAATCATTCTAACTTTAATCCCTAATATCAAAATGAAACAAATAAATATATGTCTATAGTTAACTATATGCAACAAATGGTACACATATATAATTCAATACACATTTTATATACTAGACAATCGTACATGTTATTATATAGAAACCAATGTTGATAGCAAGTTGTTGATAAGTTTCACTATTATGTAATTTAACTATATGCAATAATTATATTCAATGGCCCATACAACTAGATAAGTAGGCCATAAAACCAAACAAAACATAACATACAACAACAAAACCACACCATTACAATCAATTATTGTTCAAAAAAGTTTAAATATTTAGCAAACACATTTATTAACAGCGTAACCCTAATCTGTCAACCCAATGTATTTAATGTATGAATAAAGGTTTAAGGTTTTCAAAAAAATCCTATTTTAGTTCTATGAAAATTTCAAGAAGTAAAAAAATGAAATGAAAATGTACTTAAAGTGCAAATAAGCTAAGAATATGAGGAAAGCAAGTGAGGAATGTTAAATCACTTAACCTGTTCTTGTTTGCAAGCGCGAATAAATGTAGGAAAGTAATAAAGAACCAATCTAATCCTAACAACGAACCAGTTGAATCATCTAACCAGTCAATTTCTTCATTTTGATTAAGGTTAAAAGTTGTTTCCAAGTGGGATTCTGATTAAGGTTAAAGATTTGAGGATTTTTTTCAGTGCGAAGATTTGGTAATTTCTTTAACTTTTAGGTTTTCATCATTTTTTTCTTTTATTTTTTCAAATTTTTTTTTGTTAATGTATTAAGATATTATTATGTTTAAAAAATTTTGAGATATTTGACATGAATTTTTGGTAATTTATGTAGCCAAAATTTGTAATACACATTAGCATTAACAATTTTAAAAACTAATGAAAATGTCGCGTCCACAGTCATGTCAATTATTTAATGGATAAAATTTAATATTATTAACAATTGGATTGAAATTCTTAAAAAATAATACTACAAGAATTAAATTTCTCTAAGGTATATTAAGAGGGACTAAATTTATAAATTTGAAAATTATGGGGACCTACGACCAATTTTGACCTTTTTAATATTATGTATTGAATGATAGCTAAAGGAATCTTCCTGTAATTTGTGATGATAATTCCAAATCGTGGGAGAAGGCCCATCTTACAATGAAAGTCCTAATCATATAGCCCACACCACATTTACTTTGAAGGTGCAATAACGACGTCGTGCCCACAAAGTATTCAAAAGGGGAAAAAACACAGAAAAAACCAAAGCCAAAAAATCTCTTTTTTCTTCCCTGTCAGTTTCCTTTCAAAGAAGGGTTTTTGTAGGGCTTTTTTCTATGTTTCTCCTCTTTTTGTATTCAAGTACTTTATACAAACAAAGATAAAAAGGAGAAAAAAAAATGGGTTCCTTGAGAAATGAACAAGAAAGAGAAGAGGAAAATGTAGTAATGGAAAAAGAGGAAGAAAAGGAAGAAGAAGAAGAAGAGCCCATATTAAAAGAACAAAACCAAAGGTTTTGCATGTTTCCCATTACCCATCAGCCACTTTGGGAGATGTACAAAAAGGCTGAGGCTAGTTTCTGGACAGGTACTTCCTTTTTTTTTGCTTCTTTTCTCTGTTTAAAGATTTTTTTTTCTTGGCCATTTTTTTTTTCAAATTGGGGGTTTTTTATGCTGTTTTTGCGTGTTTGAAATTGGGTTTGTCTTAGATTTTATAAACTAGGCTTTGTGTGAATGGAATGGTAAGTCAAATTAATGGTTGGAGGCAGAGTATAAAAGAAAGGTAGGTTGTATGTTCGGTTGAATTGGGAAATGGACTGTTGCATTGGCAATTTTGTCATCATTGTTGTTATAAGTGTGTTCATAAGGCACAATGGCGGGGAATGGTTTGAATTTTTTTTTTTAAATTTCTGTTGGTTTGCAGTTATGAGAAAAACTACCTTCTGTAAATGTTGATATTGACAACTTTTTGTCATGCTTTTGGACCTGCATTTTCCCTTATCACTCTCCCCCATTTTTATGTTAGTCTGGCCATGTAGTGAGGATTGTTGGTTATGGGGAGACCTTGGCAATCTTAGACACAACACAATGTAACCATACGAAAACAATAGGAAAAAAAATTGGCAGTTGAAGATTTTGACAAAAAACTTATATGGGTTTGACAAAAAAGAAAAAAAGCGTTTCGTGTTTAGTTTGTCAACTAGAATTGTGACATGGAAATTTTCATGTGTTACATGTGTTTGACGCGAAATAGATGCGACATGGATACATAAATTGCATAAAAAATTGACTTCCAATCTTGAGGAATATTTAATCTGATTTGCGATTTTTTGGAAATTGTAACCTATGCAATCTTGATTTGCAAATCTGCATGTGTCTAGACGTTAGAATTTGTGTCGTCCTATTTCTGAATGAATGAGAGAGATTGTTTTTGAAGAACTGCCACGACTCTTTTTCTGGTGTTTTTCTGTAAGCTTTTTCTCCCAATTTTCAGCTTTTATCACTTTATATTTTTAGTCCTATTATGCATCACTGCTCTTTATCTTCTTTATATGTTGTTTCTTTATCTTGTCTGGTAATTTCCTTCCTCTTGGTTTGATCTCATATTCATAACTTGTTAATGTTATTGAAGCTGAGGAGGTTGATCTCTCACAAGATGTGCAGCAATGGGAGATGTTATCTAACTCAGAAAAACACTTCATAAGCCATGTGCTGGCATTTTTTGCTGCATCTGATGGGATAGTTTTGGAGAACTTGGCTGCAAGATTCCTAAAGGATGTTCAAATTCCAGAGGTATGTATTAGTTAAGTTGTTTTTCTGGCTATTTATGAATAACTGTGAGTACCTACTGGATTTGTATATTTAATTTTATTTTTCATGGTCATTTTTGCAATTAAGGATAACTTCATAATTATATAAAGCATTTACTATAGGAGAATCATAATGTAGTGATAGAGTTAGGTCTGGTTGGTAAGGTCAGGCTAATACTCTGTTTAATTCTTGAAGATTTTGTATGCATATCTAGTTATAAACACAAGGGTTGTTACTGACCAGTTTTGTTTTATATAAAGGTAGAGGATGCTTGTGTCATAGAAACCATTACTTAACTTGATTCTTTCAAGTTTTTGATCTAACATCAAGGCTTCTCATTCTCTCAGGCCCGGGCATTCTATGGATTTCAAATTGCAATGGAGAATATTCATTCTGGTAGGGAGTTGATCGTTTACTATATTTGTTGATCTTCACATCTAATGGGCAGGGCCATCATTAAGGTGTTACTAAAAGAAAACTCTTGGCCAATTGAACCTGGCCACGTCTGGCAATTTGGCATAATCTAGCTTACAGCCTATTGGACTTCTGAAGAAGGCCCCCCTCTCAAATTATTTCTAATAATTTTGCTGCTTGGGAAGTAAAGATGAGTATTGTCCTAACATTTGTGGTCTTATTCAGTCTTGGGTCATCTTAATCTCTATCCAAGTTGATAAACCAGTCTATTTTTAGGTAATTTTAGGGCTTGGTTTAAGCTTCAGGAGTTGGCTAGATTGTCAGACTTATTTATTTGGCCTTAACAGTCAACACAGGACTGTCACCTAGCATGAACTGGCTTGTGGTCTTTTTGATGATGTCCCTGTATCCTGCATTAAAAGTTACCTGATTGCAGATATTTTCTGCTGCCAATGTTTAGAAATGTACAGCTTGCTTTTGGAGACATATATCAAGGATTCCAAAGAAAAACATAGATTGTTCAATGCTATCGAAAACATCCCTTGTGTCAGCAAGAAGGCTAAGTGGGCTTTGGATTGGATACAAAGGTACTACTTTCATGTCCTACTGTCTGGAAACTTATTATGTGAAGCCAAATAAGCAATTTGGTTAAAGAGTTGTTTACCAGGACTAGAAGTGATTCTTGAGAGTTTTCTGAATGATTTGACCTAGTAGTATTATATTGATATTTATTCACCATTTTCCTCGCCTTGTGTCTCAGGGTTACCTTATGCATTGCTATATTCTCATTCCTCTATCTTTTTAAACAATTGTGCACATCTTTTACCCAGGTTTTCCTAACTTTGATTGAACATTTCACCTGTTAGATTCCTTAATGCTGATCTTCTGGCCTTGATATGTTAAAACTTAATTTGGAAGATTAATGCACATATGTTTGCAGTTTCTTCTTTACTTTCTATCACATTTTCTAACTGTTTTTTGATCAAATATTGAGCTCAGTAGCTTTGGATCCCTTCTATACCATTAAATAAATGGACTTTGTTTGCCCTTATTGTGGTTCTCTAGCTCATTTACGCTTTAAACATAACTCTGGTTAAGTCAAAGCAGTGCCTTTCTTTGTTTAAAAGGATTTTTTTGTGCATGTGTGCAGTTCCACCTCATTCGCAGAGAGACTTGTTGCTTTTGCTTGTGTTGAAGGAATCTTCTTTTCTGGAAGGTAATCTTCTTTAGTAGCTTAGCCAGTCGGTTATTCTAATTGATGTTGTAGAGCTTGTGTTTTATATTTTCTACAACAAAGTTTGAATTAATTTTGTATATTTTTCCTGTTTATTAATTATTTATTGAGCTTTTCAGCTTTTGTGCCATTTTTTGGCTTAAAAAGAGGGGACTGATGCCTGGTTTGACATTCTCAAATGAGCTTATATCTAGAGATGAGGGGCTTCACTGTGACTTTGCTTGCCTTCTGTATAGGTCGCTTTCTATTTTTAATTTTTATAAAGTATATTTAAACTTTTACTGCTGGGTTTTATTTGTCATTGGTTGAATATTTGGGTTGAATTTGAGAAGATAAGGAAATTTCTTAGATGTGGAATTCAATGCACCTGCTTACAGTTTGCTGCGGAGGCAACTTAAATGGCAAAAAGTCCATCATATTGTTCATGAAGCAGTGGAAATCGAGACTGAATTTGTTTGTGAGGCTCTCCCTTGTGCACTGATTGGCATGAACTCAACACTAATGAGCCAGTACATAAAGTTTGTTGCTGATCGTCTTTTGGTATCTCTCTGTAAATTTGTTTATTTTTTAAGAGTTCATTTGATAAACTTAGCTTGATATCTTAAACCACCTTTGAATGAAAATATATATTTAACAAATCCATATGCCTATAGACACGCACACACACATTTATATATTCCATAAAACTTATAATGTTATTTTTTAATCCTAAACTGATATTCTCTTTTATCCAAAATAAGAATAAGAAACCTTTTAAAACATTAATAAAGGTCTTCTCTGTTTTAAATTTGATCTTCTTTGCTTGATTTTAATATATTGCAATTCAAAAACATATTAACATGATCATAAAAAGTTACTATTATTATACATAGAAGAAGTCATATATTTCCTTTAAGATTTTCCTTTAAAATTATATTTCTTTATGATGAATTACTCAAAATTTTAATTTATGTGGGTAAAGAAATCTGTTTTACATACTTTGAAGGAAACTGGTTACATAAAATCTTCATGTGAACTTTTAGGAAATTTCAGGGTTTTGAGAGGCAAAGGTGAATCTTCAATTGTTAGTTATATGACTTTTCATTGTGAATTTTCCTGATTAAAAAAAGAAAAAAAATTGTTTGTTCAAACGTAAATGGTGTTTTTCATATTTGAAGATAAATTATTCAGCCAAAAAAAATATTTGAAAATAAATTTGTTGGAGGGAAAGAACCAAACTAGTAATTTGTCTCCCGTTTATTTACAGGTTGCATTGGGGTGTCAGAGAAAGTACAATGTGGAAAATCCTTTTGATTGGATGGAATTTATATCATTACAGTAAGTATTAATAGGCATATTGCTGCATTTCCTTGTTTTATGTTATTGGATTAAATGAAAGTAGAGCTCAATTCAATATTTTTCAAGGTAACGTCCACTATCTGGACTCTTCGTGTGAGCATAAGGGCTTATAGCCCTTTTTCAGTGGCATTCTTTATATTCTTGTTCACCCACTTTTAAACCTTTTTGATTTGAATGTTTTTCACTCTTGGCGGGACCCATCTGACATTGGTCCCAAACAAATTATTGCTGAAATGAGACATGTATGTTAAATGCAAGTGTTTTACAGAAGTCTTCCTTCCAATATCACCATATTACATATAGTGAGGAAATTTGTGTGGTGTAATGGGATTGTAAAAGTCTTTGACTTTGAAGATGGAGCTTAGATTAGTTGGTTCATATAGCCGCTCTTAAGAGGTGACATGCAGCAAGTCTCAGATTCAAAATCTCAGCTTCTGCAACCCCTTCACCTATCCCTAAGTCACGGTCTCCTTTATACAAAACAAAAAGGTCTTTGACTCTCTATAACTCAGATTAATGACTCTTTGAGTAATCATGGTCAAACTTTCACCTTTTTTTTGTTTTTGAGCCAGTACTTGTTAGACTTAGCTATGTAAGATATGATAGTAGTTAAGTTGTTATGGATCATATCATTTGACTCGCCACATTTTGTCTTCTCTAAACCAGCATTTTTGCGATGATAAGTTCTATATGTTGATTATGATGTCTCTAGTCCATGTTAAAATGTGCGTTTGACTTTGCAGAGGAAAAGCCAACTTCTTTGAGAGGAGGGTTGGTGATTATCAGAAAGCATCTGTTATGTCAAGCCTTCAGAATGGAGGTAAAAACTATGTCTTCAGACTGGATGAAGACTTCTAAATCCCCCATTGATCAAGTGTTTCGTTTTCTTACTCACCTTGAGTATTATATAATGTTGCCAATGGGTATCAAAATATTATTTTAGTAACTCTTTTTGTCTGTAATATCTTTCATCATACCGTAAATTCCAAAACATCATCGGTTCATCGCCTGCATGGGTAAAGCTCAAATTATATGAATATATGTTTGGCCATCATTAGCCTTTTATTATGTACAATAATCACCTTTGGATGCATATTGTTGTTCCTTATCTGATGTTTTAAGTGCCTGTCATATTCGAACAGGTGCTACTTATCTTTTATTCCCATTTTTCTGGGTCGAGGTGGAAAGTCTATATCATCATCTGTTTAGCACTTTGCAATTGCTTATATCATTACATTCCTTGCATTTCACTAAATTTGTTCAGTACATCAAACTGGATAAGTTACATAATTACTTTGTTGCTGCATGGTGGAAGAAATCAAAATGAAAATGTTATGGAATTCTGTTTGGCTGAAGGAAACAGCAGAATTCCCTTTCACTGTGTGGTGCAGGAGCCTTGATTGTGAAACTTATTATTTACAGCATAGAAAGGACGAAAGGCATTGATGGTGTTGTTAGTTAATAATAATACAATAAAATGATTTTGATTCCGACGTGATTCAAGCCCCAAATTTTACAAATTCAAAGAATATTTGAATCTAAAGTGATCTGATCCATTCATGCCTATTTGGCTCCTGTTATGAGACGCTAAAGCAGCTTAAGAAAATTTTGATAAAATTCAATTGGAAATCCCTTTTTTTTATTTTTAATTAGAATCTTATGTTAGAGGATGTTTCCAAACAGCTTTAAATCAAAACTAAACCAAGCAGCTTTCCTCTTATATAAATATGATAATTTGTATATTTATAATATATAATTTGTATTTAATATATATATAAATATGAAAATTATCATATTATAATTTGTATTGACATGTTAAATATAAAAATAATTTTAAATAATATTATTTGTATATTATGTTTATAATATATTATTGTATTATATTTAAAATTACCAAAAATATAAGTATGACTGGTGCATAATTGTATGATTATATAAATGTATACAAACAAGAAGCAACGTATTTGTTTGTGTGTGTTTTTTCTCGGTAAGAATTTAACTTCCATAGCTGCATTAATGAATTGTTTGTAATAAAAATTATATTGAGGCTGATGATTTGACAGGTGATGAGGAAAATAGGAGGGCGGACCACAACTAGGGATGGGGAGCTATCCTGTCCCCGACGGGTTTCGGTTCGATCCGATTTTACGGGATTGATTTTTTGTTTGAAATTCGGGTTTTGAGGTCTGGTCGGATCAGGTAAAATAAGAAAACATTAGGGGTCGGGTGGGGGTCGGATTTGCCTAAAACCCGACCCGATCCGACCCGATATTATATAAAAAATTATTTTTTAATTAATTATTTAATTTTTTATTATATATATTTATATAATGATATTTTTAAATATTTATATTTAAAAAATAATATTTTATATTTTAAAAAATAATATTTTATTAATTTCGGATCGGATACGATTTACATAATATCGGGATCGGGTCGAATTTGGGTATGAAAAATAAAAAAAAATTTGGATAGAATCGAGTTCAGATTTAATAAAGTATTAAATCGAATTGGATTCGGATCAAACAAAATTCATCTCAAACCCGATCCGATATCAACCCTAACCACAACTCATGAACCGCAAGAGGAAAGTCATTTTACTTTTAGAGTAATTTGTCCCACTTGGTTCGTTTCAATTATGTTTGCTTGCCTTTGCCGTCTTGGTTTTGGTGGTTAGGCAACCCCTTTTCAATTTCAGATGCAGCACCTTGGAATCAAATATCAAATCTCACCAAAATTATAATACTTAATCATTGCATTCCTAATCAGTAATTACTACCAAAGATTGGGGCTGCCAAATGCCAATCATGAAAGGCTACATCACATGTATTATTATATTATCATGTACTATTAATATTATTGAATCTTTTAATCACTAATTAATTAGTACCAAAGAATAAACTGCCAATCATGAACAGCTACATCACATAAAACTTGAAATTTTCTAATCCACTGAACTGATGAATTTATTTTTTAAAATTTTAAATTTGTTAAGTATTTTTTAAAATAATTATATAAATTAATTAAATTAAATTTTTATTTTTAATGATTTTATATTTACATACAGTTAACAACCCCCCTGGCCAAAACCTGATCAGATCCGATCACATCAGATTAGAATCCTGAAATTGGTGCTGATTGTTTGATGACTGGGCCATTTAACCTAACTTCATGTCTGAAAATCTTTTGCATCTGCAGCCATCTAAGTCTTATTGGTTCATAAACTAGTAGTTTAGCAAAAGATTGGTGGGCAGGTTAGAAAATTTTTATCAGTTCCCAAACTTGGTATATGCATAGTCCAAAAAATAGGGAAGTAAATGAATCCAAAATTAATAAATTTTACTATGTTTGTAATTTGATTGTATGATAAGTTTAATAAATAAATAGAAATTGAATTTATTTATAAATTATTCGTTAAATAATTTATTTATTTATTTATTTATATATTTGGATATCAATAAATAAAAAATAAATGAATTTTATTATATTTATTTAATGAATTTAAAAATATTACTTATTAAATTTAATAATTAAATATAAATAAATAAAAACCAAACTTATACACGAATAAATCTTCGAATGTTTTGTTGTTTAAAGCTTTACCTAAAAATAAATTCCTCCTTTTGGCATTAAACAGGCAGGCTGCACTCATACATTGTACACCTTTCTGATAAATTACAGACCAAACTTGAAAGAAAACAGAAACAAACTCACAACTCTTCCTACAAAGAAGGGAATCCTACAAACCAGCAGGAAAGTGGAGGATGGATGGTTTTTTATTTTATATATTTCCTTGTTATTTTTTTCTTGGTTTATATTTTATGTCCCTTTCTACGGTGGGGTGGGGAGGTTGAACTGTATTTGTTGAGACTTTGGATAATGATGTCCCCAACAAATCGCTTTTTTCTAACTAATAAGCTCTAACAGATTAAATCCCAATAAGAGCTTACCTACCGCACAGATAATGCACAATGTATCACTAGATTTGATAATTTAAAATAAAATATAAATAATATGATTTAAAATTTTAATAAAAATTATATAAATTAAAAAAATCAAAATATATATTTTATATTTTACGAATTATAATATATAATTTTTATATAAATATATAAAATTATTAATATTTTATATGATAAAATATACAAATTACTAAATCTATATAAAAGCAATAGAAACATTTCAGAAAGATCAGACCCCTCAAAAGCTCTCACTTTTTCAGACATAAAAAACTCTTCAAAAGCATAAAAAAGCTTAGAAGATTTCAAATTTTGAAATTTGGTAAAAAAAAAAAAAAGACTTAAAAAAAGAGAAATAGATGTTTTCTTTATTATAAGTTAAAATATTTTGCAAAATGCTGTTTAAAATCAAATTATCAACTCGACATCGTACCAAAAGAAAGCTTAATCTTGGGTACCAATTAAAATATATTGATTATATGTTTGAATTATAAATTATTTATGTTTAATATTATCTTGATACAACAAATAAGTAATCGATTCAAAATTGCCCTTAATGTAAATACTGCCAAATTTGCCATCATCAAAAGGAAAAAAGTGGGAGGGGGAAACAAAAGGAGGTCTCTCACACTGTTTTGCCACTATTATCACTTGGGAGTTGGGGTTGGGTTGGGGGGCAATTCTCATCCCCCTGTCATCATCTTTACCTACCCCAACCACTAGAGTTTCTTATAATTCATTTTCCCATTTTCACCTTTGAATGGACAGCTTGCTGTACCTAAATTTAGGAATAGGGTAGGCTCAAGCATTCATTTATAAATCCTGAAACCAAGCAGAAATGAATTTGAGAGTGAACAATGAACATCATTTTATCAAAGGAAGTTTAGGTCTTGCTGTTCAATTGGTGGGACATGGCCGTGAGTTATGATATCCTTATTTGCCCAAAAATGGAATGTCAAACACCTTCGTATTTATGAATTTACAACCTAACCTTTTACTCTTCTTTAACTTCAACTGAAGATATTGTGGTAGTTGTATCCAAATTCAAAATGCATCTATATTAATTGTGTGATGTGATTAAAGATAATAATAGTTCGGATTAATTTTATTATTGTAGTAAAATTATAAATTTTTAAATTTCATTAGAAATTGAATTAATTTGAATCAAATTTTATAAATTTATTAGTTTTTTTATTTAATTTTTTATTATTTTTATATTATTTTTAGTATATTTAAATAAATTTATATAGGAAATAATTATTTTTATATTATAAAATTTTAAATTTATATAAAAATTTATTAAAATATATAATTTTGTTGGATTCGAATTTTTTAATCTAAAAATCGATTTGAATTGAATTAAAATATTTAATATATAATTTAAATCAAACTAAATAAAAAATTTTGATTCAATCTAAATCAAATCAAATTTTAAATAATCTCAAACAACAATTTAACCCTCCAAAAAACAATTTTTTAAAAAGCACAATTCAGTTTTAAAACTTTAATACAGTTTACCTGGACTTCAGGATTTTAAGCAATAAAAATGAAAACATTATTAAAATTACTAGTATTTGACCTAATAATTATTGTGTAACAACATAAAATATTGCCCTGTATTAGATCTAAAATTGATGTAGGTCAACTATAAAAGCTCTTGTACAATACAATATAAAATATTGCTCAATAAATCAATTGCTAATTTTGAGGATTTTTTTAACTTTATTTTGAAATAATCAATAAAAAAAATTGATTAATGGTAAATTTGTTCGATTTGATAATAATTGATTAATAGTCTTCCATTATTGTTAATATTAATTATAAGTTATATTTTGCCTTCATTTAACTAAGTGAATTATTTTTTTTCTAATATTATGATTAAATTTTATTTGAATTTTTTTAAAGATATTAAAGGTATACTCAATTACATTTGTCGGAAGCATTCAAAATATTTTATCTGATACAAGAATGTAAATTAATAAAGCATTGGATAAACAGCTTACGAGTAGACTCAATTTATTTTTATTTATTAAATTTAATAAATGATTAGAAATAATAAAATTTATTAATTAAATGAAAAAATTATTTATATTAAAAAATATAAAAAAAGTATTTAACCAACAATTTATAAATAAATTTATTTTTTATTTATTAATATTCATTTTGTTAATTTTAAAAAATAATCACAAATAACATTTTAAAATTTATTAATTAAATGAATAAATCATAAATTTAATAAAATTCAATCATATAATTTGATATCTCTAGCTCTAAGTTATTTCAGTGAAAAAATATTTAAATGAATAATTATTAATTGCCGTCACATTGAGCTCAATAGAATATTAGTATTCTTTTCTGATTAAAAAAATGTCTTTACATCAAAGAGCCACTACCCTTCGCCACCTTTGACTTTCTCAATTTTAACCAAATTCATTGGCCAAGCCACCAACTTAAAAAAAAAAAAAAAAATGGAAAAAACCATAAAGACAAGAAAATAACTTCAAAACCAAAAAAAAAAAAAAAATCCTCAATTCTAATCTGCCTCAAACTCCACCACTCTGTTCCTAAAGCTGTTTTTTTTTTTTTTTTTTCTTTTTCATTACAAAACGAAAAAGGAAGCAAACGTGGCTGCTCTCTCTGGAGCTTTAGACGAATGGAGGTTAGCTTGCAAAGAAGCAGGCTCTGGAACGACGTCGTAGAGCAGACAAAGGTGGCAAAAGAGAAGGGTGTTGATCCCCTGCTTTGGGCTTTACAAATGTCTTCAAGTTTGAGCTCTTCAGGAGTTGCTTTGCCTTCAACCGAGTTAGCCCACGTGTTGGTTAACTACATTTGTTGGGATAATAATATCCCAATCCTATGGAAGTTTTTGGATAAAGCTTTGATGATGAAGATCGTTCCTCCCCTGCTTGTTCTTGCTCTGCTTTCACAAAGGTTTGTTCTTTACTTTCTTGGCTGTTCCTTTTTGGGAGGTTCTAAATTCTTGGTTTTGTTCAAGTTGTGATATTTGTTCATGGGTGATGAAAGATTGATGGAGTTAATGATAAATTTTGATTCATTTCAAGTTCCTGACTTTGTATCCTCCTTTTTTTTTTTTAAAGTATTTTAATTGGATTTTTCACTTCCAATTTCTTGGAGATATAAGAGATTTTGTTGTACATTATTTTTTCCTTTGAAGTCTAAAAGATTTATCCTATCTACTTCTTTAAATACAAACCTTCTTTTTATCCATGTCTTTTAATCCTAGATAATCTCTGTATTTTTCACATTGGCATGCTGCTGGCTTTTTTCCTAACAAAGGAGGCCGCAGCTTGAGGATATGTGTTGGAGGTGCTGGGACTTGAATGTCATCTCTTAGGTGACTACATGAACTATCTGAGCTAAGCTCCTGTTCATGCTGCTATCTTTTCTGTTATTCAAACTCATGAGAGATTTGTTATAACTGGATAGGCAAAGCATTCTGAAAGTCAAATTTGTTTTTTCTACAGTGAAAAAAGTCAGCAAACAGAAAGTCAAATAGTTCTATTAAACTGATTTTAATTTTTCCTTCTATAATTTAGGATTCTAATGGCTTCCATTTCTTTCCTAATGGCTTCCATTTCTTTCTTTTTTTCTTTTTAATTTTCTCAATCATAGGAGGATTGCCATGTTGGTGCCTGATTAACAAAAATGTTCTTTTGCTTGAAAAGGAAAAAACAAAAAAAAGAAGAAAGTAAGGAAGTTGTATTGAAGCTTGGTTTGAATGGATTATTCGTGTTTATGATGTTGTAAGAAACAGGAAGCTTAAATATCTATATTTCTTCTTTTTCTGTTCTAAATATCTTAAATTTAATTCCTAATTTTCTGGATAGTGGATGTAAAGTAAGTTTCTGATTGGCAGTACAGAATACAGATAGTGGTGTCTCCTAACATTTTGTACATTAGTAGTCTCAATCTGCTAATTGTTCTGTATTAGTTACCGATGGAGAAATTTGGTGGTTCTCATACTATCTTTTCTTACATATCTTATTGGCTGGCTATCTTGATAACTTTCTTTCTGCAGAGTAATGCCCTGTCGACATTCCCATCCAGCAGTTTATAGGCTTTACTTGGAACTTCTTAAAAGACATGTGTTTACCCTTAAGTGTCAAATTAATGGGCCAGATTATCGAAAGTGAGTTCTTATTGTCTGTGTTATTTGACACACACACACACAAAGACTTATGCATATTAGCTAGAAAATAATGAGACAAAAGAAATAGAAAAAAAAAAATTTGTTTGCATTGCAGCTTTGAATCTTATACCACAAATATGGTCTTTGCATATGAGGTAGAAGCTCTAAGGTTTTCGTTTCATATCACAATATCTATATCCAAATTAATGAATGTTGTTTCATCTGCATTATAATAACCATATTCTGTCTTCTACGTGATCATTGTGTTTCAGTTGTAATATTGGAAGATGTGTTAGTATTGTTCCTAACTCCTAAGACTTGTCTAGGCTACGCTTGCGAGTTTGCCTTTCTAAACTACATAGCTTACTAGCTTTTCATGTTTGTCCTGGTGAATTGAAGGGGTCATTTGTTTAATTTATAAAAAAAACTCCATTTATGCTTTGTTCTCATGGCATCTTTAAACTATGGCATTACAGAAAATAGTTAAAAAATGGATACCTTTACTACCTCAACAACTTCGACCTTTCTAGAACATTTACTAACCGTAATACAATAGCTATGGAATAGTGTATTAAGACAATAAAGGCTCCCTGAAGGATATAAATTAAGACAAAGACTAAGAGGGGCTGAGAAAGTTCAGAAGTAGGCTTGCTTCCTGATAATTCGATTGTATTCGAACTTATTATTTCTTAAATTCAAGTTTCCTTGTTCGGAAATATTGATAATAGTACTGAGTTGCACATGAACTCTGTTCCCAGATGGAAATTCATATGTTAGTAAGTTGTTCCAATCTATGTTCAGTGGACATTTGACTTTATCCTGATATAACTATGTTGGACATTTGTTAGATGCCTTCAAATCTTTATGAATATGACTCTTGGACCTTAAAAATCAATGGGAACACTTAAGAAAAATTTTTATGGTCCTGTGTAAAATATTATTAAGTCCATGATGGATTTTAGTTTGTCAATCCCTTTCAAATGCTTTTGATTAAAATGACCATTGCAGATTGTACTGATTATTGTCAGTTTTCTATTTGTAATTCCTGTGTTTTCTCCTCATACAGGGTCATGAAATCAATAGATGCTACTCTTAATCTTTCTGAGATTTTTGGCCTTCAAGCAATGGATCCTGGTATTCTGGTGGTCGAGTTCATCTTTTCAATTGTGTGGCAGTTGTTAGATGCATCATTGGATGATGAGGGATTGCTAGAACTTACTGAGGGAAGGGTGTCCATGTGGGCAATCAAACCTCAAGAAATGGAGATAGATGGTCATGATATTTACGATGAGAAGAAGATTGAATATCATGAGAGGTTGAGGAATTTCAATACTACAATGGCTATTGAGATAATTGGACAATTTCTGCAAAATAAAGTGACTTCCAGGATTCTTTACCTAGCACGGCGAAACATGTATGTATTTTGTGAACTCCCAAAATAGCTTCCCAACCTTTATGTATTCTAGTCTGTCCAATGCTTTTCGTTTTTCCCCCATTGCATTTTAGTTTTCCAAGCATTGGAACAGCTAGTTCTCTTATCTTAGTTAATCACAAAGGCATGAACTGAATACCATTTACACATTTTTTAATCTGTGAGTGCATACATTCAATGAAGTGTTTGTGTATCTGTGCATCTGCACGTGTATCAGAGAAAGTTCTTGCCTTATTTGGATTAAAGTTAGGTTAATTCTCCATTCGGATTCCTTTCAGTTTAGAGCTGTTCTATTTGAACAAAACAGAGACATTATTTCCGTATGATTATTGCTTATGAATCTTACACCACATTATGATTATTGCTTATCAATCTGACACTACATTTCAGGTCCACTCATTGGGTAGCTTTCATTCAGAGTTTGCAGCTTCTTGGAGCAAATTCAGCAGCACTCAAAAATTCAAAAGCTTTAACTTCTGAGGCTCTTCTAGAGTTGACATCAGATAGTCGTATTGTCTTGTCTAGAGAATGCAAAACAAGTTCACTGCAAAAATTCCATGCTATTATGGCTTTTGGATCTCTGGTTTCTTCAGCTGGTCTATGCCATGGATCTAGTCATTCAGATCTTTGGCTCCCTCTTGATCTGGTATTAGAAGATGCTATGGATGGTTATCTAGTTAACACAACAAGTGCTATTGAAATTATAACTGGTAAAGTTAGATATCTTCATTGCTTGAAAAAAGATTTTCAGTTCAAAATGTTACGTGGTTAGTTGGAGCAAAACTGATATGCAAGATGTGAACATTCATGCTATGCAGGTTTGGTTAAAACTCTTCAAGCAATAAATGGCACCAATTGGCATGACACCTTTTTAGGCCTTTGGATCACCTCTCTTCGGCTTGTTCAAAGGGTTAGAATTTCTTTTGATGATTTGAAATTTTCTTTTCTTTTTTCTCTGAACGGTAACTATGTTCTGAACAGAGAATATGATGTATTCTTGAAGCATCAAAATTTACTAAGACTAATTGCTATCCTTGTAACTTTTCAGCCCTGAAATGGACTTAAATTTCTCATGCCCTTAAAAGTGTAGAACTTATTTTTGATGTTGCTGTGCTTCAAATTCAAGATAGAAATATGACTAAATTTTAAAGAAAATTTATGCATACAGGCCAAGATATATATTAAAGGAAAAAAGTTGTTGCTTTGCTTGACCAACTAAGTTTCATTTTTCATAATAAGCAGTACATTCACTCAGTAACAATTGTAGGGGTATTATTATGAAAGATGAATGGTATACTATTCTCTAGTTTTCAGGTATATGAAGTAGTCTGACTGCTGTATCTTACCTTTAGTTCTTAATTGACTGTTAGGAAAGAGATCCCATTGAAGGTCCTGTGCCTCGGTTAGATACTCGTTTATGCATGCTATTGTCTATTATCATTCTTGTGGCTGCTGATCTTATCGAGGAGGAGGAGGAGGAGGAGGAGGAGGGTGCATTTGATGAAACAGAATATGGCTTCACTAATCACTGGAAAGAAAAGAATTTTGCCAGGAATCGTCGTGAGAATCTGGTCTCCAGCCTACAAGTACTTGGTGATTATCAAGGCTTGTTAGCTCCACCTCAATATGTTGTTTCTGTAGCAAATCAGGCTGCTGCCAGAGCAATGTTGTTTGTCTCAGGCATCAATGTTGGGAGTACATACTTTGAGTGCATCAATATGAAAGACATGCCTATCAATTGTTGTAAGTAATATCTTGTTCCACTGATCAATATGCTGACCACTTTTTGGGGGGGGTTAATGTCACCAATAGCCTTTTAATTATAGTGACATGTTCAATGTGATACTAAACTTTAAAAATCTCTAATGTGGTACCTTAGCTATGACTTTGTTAAATGTTTTACTCACTTCTAATGTGGTTAGCTCCAACTGATGACACATGGTTGACAAATAGCCTTTCAAGTACTACATTACTGAACAAATTCATAGTTCAAGTATTATATTAGAGATTTTTAAAGTTTGGTTATCATATTGAACATTTTATTATAGTTCAGGGGTTATTGGTGACATTATCCCTTTCTTTTCATACATTTAAGTCTAACCCATGCGCATGTATTTATGGGGCAGTGGTTAAAGCCACTTGGTGGTTTCCTTGTGCGTTAGGATCTAACCAGAGAAGTTTAGTTTGGGTTCTAAACAATTCTGAAATGGCTATTTGGTCAAGATAAATTGGAGAGCCGAACTTATGAGGGCATTGTTGTCTTTATTTTTATCTTTTGGAGGGGTGGAGGCAGGGAAATTATATGAATGGTGTAAATGTTGAAAGATTTGCACAGTTCAGTTCTGTTCATTTAATATTAAACAAATAATAAGAGTTTATATTTTTAAAAGTATGTTCTTTTTTAAATTTTTTTATGATATATAATTGGTTCAGTTGGAGGCTTCTTTCTCTTTTGCCTACTTGTCTGCCCATAAAATTATTACAAGACCATCTTAATTGTTTCCCAGTGGACCCAAACCAAAACCATAGCAAAGCCCTTAAAAAGATGAGACCGAACTCACTAGTTTGGTTCAGCTTCTTGCTTCAAGGTTACTCCCACATCCATACTTATGCTGCAATCTGCATCTGACTGCACTCTTGTGAGATCTGAAAAAGAAAAGCATAGCAGAGTATAGTCGTGTGACTTTGAACCTGAAGATCACTGGAAGCCAAGAAGCACTGGAGCTTCAGGATAAAGTGATTGATTCCAGAAGTGTTTCTTAATTCTTGTGGCATTACATGCATATACCAGCTTCTTATTAAACATTTAAGAGAAGAAATAATCTTTTTTTTTTTTTTTCTGAAGAATGATGTTAGCATGTGATGGATAAACATAAGTGCAACGCATTCATTAAAATGAAATGATCAAGAATTACCATTAGCTCTGCTCTGTGCTGCACCAGAAAACCTTTTATACCTAGAACAACTTTTTGAAATTTGCTGAAGTTGATTTTCAATTCATCATTAGACCAAGTCCCTAGAATTTTGATGCTGTTTTTTATCTTTCTTCTCGGATCAATATTTTTTAAGGCTTTCTATTCTTATGTTGTGATCTTGTTTTCAGCTGGAAACATGCGTCATCTGATTGTTGAGGCTTGTATTGCAAGAAACCTACTAGACACATCAGCATATTTCTGGCCAGGCTATGTGAATGGACGCATTAACCAACTACCTTATAGTGTGCCAGCTCAGGCACCTGGTTGGTCATCATTCATGAAGGGGGCCCCACTTACTTCAGTAATGACTAATGCTCTTGTTTCAAATCCTGCTTCCAGGTATACTTATTTATTTCTCTTCAAATGATACTTTTGGTTTTGAGACTTTATTTCCACAAAGCTTCCGTCCTATGCTTCTCTGCTATTGCAAGTGTTTCAGAGCTTGTTAGGTTAAATGGAATTATCAACTTTATAGATATCAATTCCAGACACACATGCAAAATAGGATGCTATTGCAAGCGTGTCACTTCTAGTTTCCTTGATGTATATCTATCAAGGTTGAGGGGAGTGTTATGGAGTGGGGTTGGAGGGCATTATTAGCTTTATGTGTATCAATATCATCCTATAATTGCAATAGACATTATCACAAGTGTGGAACCTCTGGTTTTTACTCCTCTCTCCCTCTATCTTGTAACATTTTGCTAGAACTATTCCTGACTTCTCTGTCACTGTAACCTTTAGCTTCCTTTGCAGTAAAACCTCAAACTTAATGCATATGAAAACTTCAGATTGATGTGGTGTTTGGTAATTGGCTTGTGAATATGCTTCTTCCATCAAGGACTTGCGGATGATGAAGAATAGGTTGTTTGACTGGGAAAACTTTTATATAATATTTGTGTGAGTGATAAAATTCTCAATGTAAGAATTTAGCAGGAGGAAAGACCGAGCATGCAAAACCATCTAATAAAGTTAAACCAATTTTCAGCTGTTATTGTCACTCATTCAGTACACTGGATGGGATCCAATGTTTAAAAATCAAGAGTGATCTTGATATATACAAGTTTTCAAATATCTTTTAATTTTTGTTGATTAGGCCTGGTCTTCAGTTATTCCTTTTTCTTTCCTGAAGCCAGGTATATCAGTTGCTCTTTTTTATAAATTTACCAAGGGTAAAGCAACTGAATTTAAGCTCATGGATTTGATGGAAGCTTAGCAGAGCTGGAGAAAATATTTGACATTGCGGTCAATGGATCGGATGATGAGAAGATATCTGCTGCTACAATTCTTTGTGGGGCTTCTCTAATTCGTGGTTGGAATATACAGGTAATAAGATGAACATTTCATTTCATTTTAAAGATTTTCATTTGTGACCCTTATGCAGAATGCTGTATTTTCATACAACTGCACTTTTGTAACATTGAACGGTTCTTCTCCATTTTGTTTTTCCCCATTTTTTCTCTGTTTTTTCCTTTGACTTTGTGTTTTCTATTTTGCCTTTGTTTTATTCTCCTTACTTTCTAATTTGGTTTAATTATATATTCCATGCAGGAATATACGGTTCAATTTATAACTAGATTGATGTCTCCTCCGGTTCCTGCTGATTTTGCTGGAAGTGACAGCCATTTGATAGATTATGCTCCAATGTTGAATGTGCTGATTGTTGGAATAGCATCTGTGGATTGTGTTCAGATTTTCTCACTACATGGCTTGGTATGTTTTGCTAACTTACCTAAGCATATCCATTGCACAGATAAGAATTGATATTGCTGTTGGTTTGACAAGCTTTCGCGGATGAATGATATATTTTTATCTTTGTGCTTTGATATAGGTTCTATACCTTTAGTATTACTTTTACCTCTTCAAAAACATTTAGTTAAATAACACAACCCATAATTTCAATTATAAAATATAAATTAATCATAATTTTAAAGGTCTTTTTAGTAGTAAATTTAAAACCCAACCGGTTAAACAAAATCAAACTGAATACGGTTTGAAATGAGTTAATTGCAAGTTTGGTCTACTAAGAGAATTTGACCAGTTTGGCTGCTGGGTCACCGGTTCAATTGGACCAACGGGGCATTCTGATCCTATTCTGATAACTATTGGGGTTCTGACCTTGTGATAGGTCCCCCCTTTTAGTATTCTTCCCTATTTTGAAGAGACATTGGATTGCCAACATTAAGTGAAATAGAGAAAGAAAGAGAAGATAGTGGGAGATTTGCTTGGAAGGAAACTTCTAATCCTCCTGCAACTGATGCTATTGAGCTGAATTAAATAACTTTCTTCCTACTTTTTTCATATATTGTTGAATATGGTGATATGTAATCACCCTAAAAACACATCACCATATCCAACATATATGTATTTATATGGATCAACCCTAGCAAAGATAAACTACTATACTAATTAATTCAACTAAAAACTCTGTACCAAAAAAAAAAAAAAATTCAAATACTAGTTAAACTTCGTTGAATGGAAAAAAAACCTAAATTTATCTAGTGGTGCGTTAAAAATCATCTGAAGTGGAGCAAGCATGTAGCATATGTTAAATAGGAGGAAATATTTGGTGGGACTGAGATGTTTCCTTCCCCATTTGAAGTGGAAAACATAGCTCATATAAAAGAGAATTAGAAGTTTCCTTCCAAGCAAATTTACCATTTATGTAAGCTATAGACAAGTTTTGTAGAATAATTGTCATGTATAATTCATTTATATGTTCAAGAATGTAAGTTGGTTATTGATGGAGACCTTTATGTAAGCTATAATGTAAATTTTATCGCTTTCTTTTTCTTTCCTGCCAGGTCCCACAACTTGCATGTTCATTGATGCCAATATGTGAAGTTTTTGGAACTTGCATACCCAATGTCTCATGGACTCTCCCTACAGGGGAAGAAATCTCTCCCCATGCGGTTTTTTCTAATGCATTTGCTCTCCTCCTAAAGCTATGGAGGTTTAATCACCCTCCCATTGAACATGGAGTTGGTGATGTACCCACAGTTGGATCCCAGCTGACTCCTGAATACCTCTTATTAGTCAGAAACTCTCACTTATTGTCTTCTGAAAACATCCACAAGGACCGAAACAAAAGGAGACTCTCAGAAGTTGCAAGTTGTTCATCTCCACAGCCTGTATTTCTGGATTCGTTTCCAAAGTTAAAGGTCTGGTATCGGCAGCATCAAAGATGTATAGCTGCTACACTCTCTGGTCTTGTTCATGGAACCACTGTTCACCAGACAGTGGATGGACTTCTTAACATGATTTTCAGAAAGATTAATAGAGGAAGCCAGTCTATAACTTCTGTTACTTCTGGAAGTAGTAGTTCATCTGGACTTGGAAACGAGGATAACTCTCTAAAACCTATGTTGCCTGCCTGGGATATTCTAGAAGCTGTTCCTTATGTTGTTGATGCTGCTTTAACAGCATGTGCTCATGGTAGACTTTCTCCACGTGAACTGGCTACAGGTTTGTCTCATCTGCTTATTTGATTTTATCTTTATGCATTAATGCACAATGAGGAAGATGAGAATCATACATAGGATTGCTATTCAGGAAAAAGAACAAGTCTTTTTGCCCGGAGCAGTTTTTGTTGGAGGAAAATAATAATAGTTAAGGCCAGTAGCCTTTGGGCCAAAAGCCATCTCCTCCATGCGATGATGGAGGATGAAATCGTGGATTGATTCCATATGGCTAAGTAAACTTACCTCATTGAACTGTGTAAAAAGAAGGGGAAAAAGGACTTACAGGAAAGGGTGAAGGTGGCCATGAACTGAGAATCTATGATTCTGCTGGCATTTTTTTTTCACAATGCCATTATTTATTTGACTGGGAAACTTAGAGCAGAAAAACTATTTTTACATGAATTAATGGGACGTCCAGATATGATGCTTAACTCTGATCAAATATAAGCTGTTATAACCAGAATCTTTTAATGTCTCAGGGCTAAAAGATTTAGCTGATTTTCTTCCTGCATCTTTGGCAACCATTGTGAGCTACTTCTCTGCTGAAGTAAGTCGAAGTGTCTGGAAACCTGTTGTTATGAATGGTATGGACTGGCCAAGCCCTGCTGCAAATTTGTCCAATGTTGAGGAGCATATCAAGAAAATCCTAGCAGCCACCGGCGTTGATGTCCCTAGACTTGCTGCAGGTTTTATTGTTGTCATCTTAAATTCTGAATGCTTACATCGTTAAAGTTTACCATGATAAGTATGCTTACTATCGTATACATATTGTGTTTGGACATGCATTCATTGCTCCTTGTTCCTATGTCTTTACAAAATGACAAGAGCATGCTATGCTTTTATTTGGCCTTGAGACATATCAAGTAGAATTCAAAAATTAAATGGGTATTGCTTATGCTGGAACTATTCTTGCTTAAAAATAAGTTAAAAAAATTTTTTTTTTTCATTTCTTTGTTCCACAAACCAATTTTTTGATAGTATGACTGAATGCATATTTTACTAACAGGTGGGAGCTCTCCAGCTACTCTTCCGCTACCATTGGCTGCTTTTGTAAGTCTCACCATTACTTATAAAATTGACAAAGCCTCAGAAAGGTTTCTGAATTTGGCTGGCCCAGCTTTGGAGTACCTTGCAGCAGACTGCCCGTGGCCTTGCATGCCAATTGTGGCTTCCCTATGGACCCAAAAGGCAAAGCGATGGTTTGACTTCCTTGTCTTTTCTGCATCTCGCACCGTTTTTCTACATAACAGTGATGCTGTTGTCCAGCTTCTTAAAAGCTGTTTCACTGCCACACTTGGCTTGAACATCGCACCAATCTCCAGCAATGGTGGTGTTGGAGCTCTTCTAGGCCATGGATTTGGGTCACATTTCTGTGGTGGGATATCACCTGTTGCCCCTGGGATTCTCTATCTACGTGTTTACCGTTCCATGAGAGATATTGTGTTCATAACAGAAGAGGTAGTATCTCTCTTGATGCACTCTGTGAGAGAAATAGCATGTGGTGGTATGCTAAAAGAGAAATTAGAGAAGCTGAAGACAAGCAAGAATGGAATGAGATACGAGCAGATTTCTCTTGCTGCAGCAATGACAAGGGTGAAACTGGCGGCCTTCCTGGCTGCTTCTTTAGTATGGTTGTCTGGCGGCCTTGGTCTGGTTCAGTCGTTGATAAAGGAAACTTTGCCTTCTTGGTTTATATCCGTTCATAGGTCTGGCCGGGAGGAAGGATCCGGGCTGGTGGCAATGCTTGGGGGATATGCACTTGCATATTTTACAGTGCTTTGTGGTGCTTTTGCTTGGGGAGTTGACTCTTCATCATCAGCATCAAAGCGGCGTCCTAAAATCCTAGGAACGCACATGGAATTTCTTGCAAGTGCACTTGATGGAAAGATATCACTTGGTTGTGATGGAGCTACATGGCGTGCCTATGTATCCGGATTTGTGAGTCTAATGGTTGGTTGCACCCCAAACTGGGTCTTAGAGGTGGATGTAGATGTGCTAAGGAGGCTGAGTAAGGGACTGAGACAATGGAATGAGGAGGAGCTTGCTCTGGCCTTGCTAGGAATTGGAGGGGTTGGTACAATGGGTGCAGCTGCTGAACTGATAATTGAGAAGGACTGTGACAGCTAAGTAGTAAGTTCTAATTTCGTCAAGAGAAAGAACACTTGTGTAGTGATAGGTTCTTTTTGTAATGAAAGCCTTAATTTTGTTTTAATGGTAGGATTTTTCACCCTTTTGTAGAGTGAAATATTTCAGTGTTTGTAATTTTTTTTTTTTTTTTTTTATATTTTCAGGCTGCGACTGCTTTTGTATTAAAAAAATATTGTAAATACATACTTGTATAGAAAACTATTGCTTGACAAATTTGTTTGGTCTGTCTGTCAATCTCAAGCTTAAGATGAGGCTGGCTAATATAATTGACATGGACATAAGAAACGTGTACATTATATGGACTAGGATATACATATTTTTGTTTATATATTTACACAAATTGAAACTAAACAAAGTTATATTTAATTAATTATTTATTTATATGATAATTTTTATATCAAAATAATAATACCTGCCTCATATAAAAAATAACTAATGTTTATTTTCGTTATTTATGTAGTTAAAAACTAAACCCTAAAGCACTGTTTTTTTTTTTTTAATAGGCAATACTCCCTTTATCTCATTAATGTTATTGAAGAAAAAATTTAAAAAAATTAAGAAAATTATCCCAATTGTCCCTTGTTACCCTAAACTATAACCACTAACTTTATTCATGTGTTTTTTTTTCAAGTCAAGTATAATTTTGTAAAGAAAATTTATAATCAATGAAAGTAATTAAAATTCATCTTGAAATTTCTTAAACTTTGTGTCAAGTTAAAATCAAACACAATATATGAAAGAAATTAAAATCAATCAGTTAGGCCTCGTCATGTGACAAGTCACATGCATTATAAATTTTAAAAAATAAATAAATTTTGGTCATTTAATTTTTTTAAAAAATTTTTATTTTTATCATTCAATTTTGAAAATTTACACTTTTTTCACTAATAAATAAATCCTCAATTTTTATAAAAAAATAAAAATAAGCATTTGATATTTTTATTACATGAAGTTAAATTATAAATTATTTTATTTTATTATAATTATATTAATTAAAGATTAAAATACTCCAACTACCATGACAACACCCTATTAATCATTAATAATTGAGTGACAAAAAAATATTTATTTAAACTTAAGTGATTAAATTTAAAAAATTAAAAACTTAAATGATCATTTTAAAAAGATCCATAAAATCGAGTGATTATTTATGTATTTAACCTTAAATATTTATTAAAATGGCTATCTACCATAACCGATACCAAAGTCTATAGATTAATTCGAATTAAAGTTAACCAATAATGTCAATATTGAAATACAATGGGATGACTTGCTTGTAAATGTTGCAAACTAAAGAAGTTAAAACTTGAAGCACAAGCAGACCAAAATGATCAAACATGCTACATTGAAAACCAATCAAAGCCCCTGCAAATTCTACACAGGGGACAAGCCCAGAAAACATATATCATGATGGTCAAAATCTAATAATTAAACCATGAAGATCACTCTTTCGAATTATATATAGTTATAATAACATCAATGCTTAAAAACGCTCACTATGCCTTTTGATTTGTTTCTTGAAAGGGAATGTTGTGACTCTGCTATCTGAGTTAGTCACATCCAACTTCAGATAAACAACTTGTCCCTATTATTGTACTTCCCAACAAAATGAAACCAAATAAAATACTCCCCACCAACTTGCCAGTTCCCCCTTTCTTCTTTTTTTTTTTCTTCTTCTTTTCAGTTTTTTGCTAGATCTTACTATATCATAAATTTTAAAGAAAATTTTTAATTAAATTTACATATCATCTATTAAAAAAATCGCTGACGATAAAAATAAAATTTGAATATAATCACCTTTTATATTTTTGCAAAGCAAATTATATTCCATTTTTAATTAAATTTATTTACAAATTTTACATAATTCTCTATCACTTGTGTGATGTGTCATTACTTCGAACGTGTATAATTTGTATTGCCTTTGATAGGTTTAATATGGACTTATTTATTTGTTGGAGTACACAGTATTTTATTTATTTATTTATTTTCTTTTTTCTTCTTAAAATGGTCCACATTGATTATAAGCTAGTATTAAAGATCTTATCCTTGCTGCTTAATGCTTTAAGATAAGGTATTGGGGTTTTCCTTGCTATTCTTTTATATGGCAATGGGACATGATTTGACACGTGAAATATGACAATCTAAATCTCTAATTGCAATCTTTCTCAAAGCTTATGGATAACATTATTGACCAATTAAATCCAACAAAGAACTCCTTTTATTACTGATAAGTTGAAAAGATATAAATAAGATATAAAGAGAAGTGGCAATTAGAATTGACAGTCCACCCCGACTTTGACAATAGGATATAAAAGAAATATACAGGTTATCATGGTTGTGATATACGTGAGATGTGACAATCCTCTTTTACATTGTGTATATATTTTTTATTATTTATCTTATATCTATTTAATTGAAAACGATATTACGTGTACAAGTTTTTTTATTATAAAATCTTGAAATATCAATACTAACAACATATAAATGATTCAACATTAATCGGTTAATTGTGTATATTTATGTAAAAGTAATATAGGACATGGATCAATCTAGAAATTACTCTAATTAAATCATTCTTTACAGACTACATACATGTAGTAAAGAATGGGAGTCTTTTTTTTTTTTTTCTTTATTTCGAGTAAGGGATGTTTCATAATTCAAACCCCCTTCTCGATGTAATCACGAATATAGTGATACCAATGCACAAAGAGCAGCAGCCAAAGCCAAATCCAGGAGGTCCAGACCAACAGCCTTAGTGGTCCCTGGAGAGAGGAGATCGATACCGGATCATATTGAGTTCATTAAAATTTGATGGGGTCCAACGAGTCCTATCTTACGCCTTAGCTGAAAGAATGGGAAAAGGTTGTCCAGGTAAAGGATAAAAAATGTGGGGTTAGGGACCTGTACAAGATAAGGTTGATGCTTGATGCTTGGAACTGCTTTGAAAAGTTCGGCAGTATTGATCAGTGGCTGGCAAGGTTGTAATTGATAAAGGAAACTGTTTTCAAATTGAATCTATGCAATAAAAGAGAACTGCACACGTGATACTGATGTGTTTGATGGTAGAAAGTGGACCCTCACGGAAGCCCTGGAACTCTACAATTATCTGAAAAATCCCATATCTGGCTGGCCAATATATACACATAACCGAGGATTCTCAATAAAATTAGGCTGCAATTAAGGGATCTAATTGGAAAGCTCTATATCATGACAGCCTGTATCTCTGCTTCTTTGTTAGCATAATTTTTAATTTGTTAATTGATTCATACAATTAATTTTAATAAATGTTATCTAATAAATTTAAATATTAAATTTTAATTCTTGCATATTATAATTTTTTTTATTTTTTAAATTACGACTAAAAAACATATTAATTTTATTTTTTCTTTAGCTTTATCTACTAGCTTGATTTTGCTTCCATTTGAACATGTAGATTGATGGGATTTCAGCACAAATCATGAGTTGGTAGGATTTAACTTTGCATTCCACCCTCTCTCCCTATGAAAAACTTTGTTGAGAATTATTACTAGTGTAGTACTTGTTTGTTTTGTACGGTCCCTTTGATTGTGTGGTTGACTTCTGCACGAATGCTTTGCAGGCATATCTTCAATGCTTCATTCTTCAATTTAATACAAGGTTTTGGTCATCATCCAAGTGCCTAAAGAAGAGTTTTATAGTGCATATTTGCTATGAGTGGATTAAATTTTCATTTTATTTAAAAGATTTGGGCTCCCAACAAGCATATTTTATGGCGCTAATCAAGTCAGCATGTTCCACCTAGTTATATACCCTATTATGTAATAGAGGGTGTAGAGGTTCAAATTTCAGTTTTAATTTAATTAATTAATTAAATCAAATCATTAATTTGATTAATCCATCGAAAAAACACTTATAAGAGCACGTGGTTTCCCAAAATTTCTGCCTCACTAATATAAAAGTTCGAGGAATCCATCCAAACACATCCTGGAATCCTGGCAGATGGTGGGTCTACTTATGTTATCTTACAAACAGTGGGACAAATAAGCGTCTTATACAGACAGGGGAGGGCCTTCAAAAATTCGGATAAGTTATACCACTAGCAAGTCTTTTCCCAGGGTTGATTTGTCAGGGCAGACAAGCTGATGAGAGTCTGCCTTGCCATTTTTATTCAATGGGGCCTTTTCCATGTTAAACCAGTTAGCGGCCAACACTTGTCATTCACCACACATCTTCCCCTCTATATAACTCCATGTTCCATGAAGAGCTTTTTCCATAAAAAGCATTTAAACAAGCTTGAATATTATATACATAAACCAAGTTTTTCTATACCTTGTAATTGTATGTCAGGCTTCTGCTTGAACGTGGCAGCTGGGTGCCCAAAATCAACAGGGATACCTAAGCTTCGACTATGGCAGAAGTGCTCAAGGCTTGTCAAGGAGCAGCGAACACGATTTTACATTATATGGAGATGCACAGTGCTGCTTCTTCGTTGGCAGGAGCAAAGTTGTGAAGGTTAGATGAAACATTAGACTCCTCGTAAATTTGCAGGATTGTTAGCGAGAAAGGGGTCTTAACAGTGCAAAGCTCAAAACTTTTTTTTTCTTTTGTATGGAATCAGCAGGCATTATACGCTTTAAGATTGCTTGTGTACAATCCGAGGTTTAGCATAGTTAGTTCATTCAGTCATCTTAAGATACCTGTTTAATAAGTTTGAAGTTCAAATCCTAATCTTTGCAATCAATTGCTTGTCTCTAAGCTCCGATCTCCCTGGTTTTAAAAAAAAAAATGTTGAAATGGTGACTGGGTTTTTTTGGATATAGAAGTAGTGGAATTATATGCCTGACGATCAGGCAAATGGTATGTAGAATGTATATAGATTGTGTTTGTGTAAATGTAGTAATTTTAAAGTATGATGAGTCGAGTTGTTTTTAACCTTAAAAGTTGCTTTCAAACTCTTCTATGTGGCTCAGCTATGATCCCCTACTCTGAGCAACTCCAAACAAATTGATTGGCATACCAGATCCGATCAAAAAGTAGTTAAATTGCGTGATGCAGTTATATTGTACCAGATCTGATGAAAAAGTATAGCGATCGAATCATATTGTTTCCTCGACAGGGACATTTTGTTCATGAGGAACAAGATTCCGGTAGACATCAAGAAAAAATTGTATTGTCTTTCCGATGGGCTTTCTTATAAAGTAGTTAATCCTGCCTACTTTAAATATAAATATAAAAATATATTTAAAAATATATAAAAACATCACAGTTTAATATTTTAATAAAAATTATATATTTATTTGACAAAAACTCAAAAGTATGCAATCCTAAAACCCCTCGGTAAATTACATTCCCTAAGAACTTGGAAAAACCTCAAGAAGAGGAGGATTTTAGTTTCCAGACCATTTTCCTCCTTGATACTGTTTGTAATCTTAAAAATCCCCAGAAAATAAAATTCCACTCCTCGCACTAAACTTAAAAAATCATATTACAAAAAATAAAATTCTTGAAGAATCTTTTTTTTTATCTTCGAACTAAACACCCCTTAGAGATAAGGAGAATAAGACCATCAGTTCTTCCTATTGATTTAGGTAATCCATAATTCTTCCCGGAATATTGTGATTGATAGAGTGAATTATCTTTTCCAGGGACTTATTGTTGCGAGAAGCGAATTGAAATCTGGAAAAAGCACTTAATAAAATTTCCATGTGTTTCATGACTGCCCTTCACCTTGATCTTATTCCATAAGTTCAGGCAAAGCAGAAAAATTATGGAGAAAATTTTATGGTTCGGAAAAATAAGCAATTGACAAATTCAAAATACAAAGATACTTTAAAAACTGAAATCAATAGCGTTTTCTCCCTTTCCTTTAGTTTCCGTTCCCAGCAATAGGCTAGTTAACAAATATTCATGTCTCGAAACAAATTACACCCAAAACATGATGTAAAAGCGTCTTCAAAAATCATGCCTCAATCCAATATTTCATCACCCAAAACTTAAAAAGAAATAAAATGAAAGCCTTAGCCTAAAACATTTGGAAGATCTAATTACATTTGTCTCTACGTGCATGTATTTAGACAACCAAATATGCACAAGAAATCCATTGAGATGTAGGAATCACGTCGCTGAACAAGCATTTATTTCCCTTTTTTCACCCTTTTTTGTGTAGAAACGAAAGAAACTCGCCTCTCAGTATCATTTGCATCAATTCTGATAAATTATAAATTTGTTTCATCTCCTATTCTCAGCAGGTGTACCTTGAACCCTGGGAGAGTTTGAACCCTCGGCAGGTTTTCTCGTGGCTTGAGCTTGCTTGCTTTGGACTCCCTGGGTAATTTATAAACATAATAAACACCAATATCAAACTCCAGCAACTTGGAATAATCATTGGGTATTTATAAAACAAAATTATTTTTACTAAATACAAAGCGGCAAAAGTTTCATTGAATGTGAAACATAATTTGAGTCTAAAACTTATTTGCAAAATAATTTGTTAGTAACCTGCTATCGATTTTGAGGTGATATGTTTTCTTTTTTCTTGTTTTAATATTATACATGAAAACGAAGCAAAGGTGCCAAACAAGGTGGCAACCTATGTAAAAGGACTAAGCATTACTTAAAAGATCAATAAAATCTATAGTTCTTTTTGCTTCTAAATGCCTCTTCCTGCTAAAATAAGAAACAGAATGAAGCCACACATCTAAAAGCTTTTCTAAGGGAAATTCTATTTCTTTCTGTCCACAAAAGCTCAAAAATAAAGGAGGATTAAATCTATCACACTTTTTTTTTTTAGCCAGACAAACGTGTACATCATTCCTGTCCCCCAACTCCACTTCAATTCACCTGCCACTAAGGAAGAGATGCCTAACATAGCAGAAGCGAAGGTACAAGCTGTCTCAGGCCACAAGCAGCTCAAATGAAAATGAACTAATTCCACAGCATCCTAAGCATTTATTCAGAGGAATTTCTCCTCTCTTTGGGATGCTATCGATGATCAACATTCTTTTGCAAGGTACTTCCCAAGCAAGAAAAACAATCTTGGTTAGGGCCTTAGATTTCTAGATTGCTCCCCATGGAAAACTTCTATTCTTTCTATTGATCTCTCTTTCACTATCACTTGATAAAAAGACTTCATTTAGTAAACTCCCTTTTGGCTTTTGCACTAGTGACATGGTGATCATCTCCCCATGAATCTCATAATACATTATACAAGCACAAGCAAAGAACAAGGACTAAATTTTAAGCTCTCAATCTTGGCTGTCTCTCAAATTATGCGCATTCCAACTCTGACCATTAAAGCTAGAGAAGCAAGAGGTTATCAGGCACTGTACAGTACCTTATAGTGCTTTTGTTCTCTACCTATAAACTATTAAATTAAAACAAAAAAAAAAAACCTTTTCAGTTATTAGTTCTTTTTTCTCTTTTTCAATTTGTTGGCACAAAGAAAAACTATTAAAACTTTGGTATTTTATAAATAGAATCAAAACTTTCCTTTTTTTCTTCTTTTTCAATTTAGTGCAAAAGAATGATAGAAATTGATGTTTTATAAATAGTTTCAAAACTTTTTGAAGATGCAAATCTGCCTCAAGAACAGATGGGGCAGATCCATCCACAGCAGAGACAAAAACAAGAAAGAAAATGCTATAAGTAATGTTTTCTTACAGTTCCCTTCTGACCAGTTAGCCTCCTACTTGATGGTGCCCGTGCCACTGATGAAGCAGCAGCAGCTGCAGCAACACGGATTCTGCAAAAATAAAATGATATAGCATCCATTTTTATTTTTCATTCTTTAAGAGATAATCGGATGAATATTAAAGTTCTAACAGTCCAATACCTTTTATGCACATCAACATATTCATCTGTTTCATCCACTATCTCCTCCTGCATTTGTAAGAAATCATCAGCTAATTAAGAAAAACCCAGCAGAAAAGAAACAAGATCCCAAGTGACTCTAATTTACCTGCAGAAGTTCTTCAAAAACATCTTCTAGGGTGATAATACCAATCACTTCACCATCTTCTATATCCTCTGCCATGATAGACAATCCATTTGTTGCAGCATCTTGCCTGCTTAAATTGGCAGGCCTTGGAGACTTATCAATGTCAACAACAATGCTCCCCGGCTTCTCATCCAGCTTGGATAGCAGAGGAGTGGTCAGTTGGGAGTCAGCACTGGAGACTTTGTTTCCTTCAGATTGTTGTCCGTTAACTGTTGGAGGAAGATTCTCATTCTTTCCCTTAACCTTGACAACAGCTGCCATATGACTGCTGCCCTTTTGAAACTCATTCAGTATATCATACAAAGGCATATCAGCTGGAACCCTGTCGAAACATCCCATACTTGAATTCTGAACTAGCTGGATATTTTATACTTATACAGATGATTAAACATATTTATCAATAACGAAGAAACCTTGGAATTCTCCGGATGGAAACAGCACTGACTGGTGTCTCAGTTTCAGGACGTACAGTGAGAAGGCTTTTCACCTTTTTCCAATTTTCAAAGAAGATTAGAAATGTAGAATAAGCAAAATAACCAACAAGATCAGAAATCTTTAGAACCCAAAATGCATCAATGCTATGAGACTTCATCTAAAGTCTTAACTCTAACACATACCAGCAGAAGTCCAATAACATTTTTGGGATTCCCTGAGTAGACGGGGACTCGGCTATGACCACGGGCGAGAATCTTACCCATTGCCTCCCTGGGGTAAATCATTCAAGATAAAAGGTCAGATAGAGAGAGAGAAGGATGAGTGAGAAACTTTATTACATTAATTCCTTTTAGCATTTCAACTAACATTTAGAAAACAACACAAAAGGAACAGATTCAGCAGTTGCATTGGTACTCTAGACTTCACTGACACATACAAAAGATTTATGATTGAAAAGTAATGATAAACATGCTAGTCAACAGGTATAAGTTAATAAGTAGTTGTAAATTGCTCATGCACTTATAAATTATACGATAAGTGGAAGGAAGTTTTAACATATTTATCTTTTTCTTTATGACAGATTTGGAGGGGATTAGTTGTATGAAACTTTAGCGCTTATAATGATAAATGTAATAATCCTTCTTATATTAAACTACAATATGAATTGAGGAGCAAAAATTACCAGTCCAACTTTGAATTGACATCTAAAGAGAAAGTTGATTCTATAGGTGTCATAGCCTCTTCAGCAGTCTGTCCAGATATTATAATGAAACAGGAAAAATTAGTTTAAGATGCTAAGAGAAATGATGAAATTGTTTCAAACAGATCCTAGTGAAGCCACAATGACAGAAAGAAATAAGTATGCAAATTCTAAAACTCATATTAGTTCATAATATCCCATTTTTGCCAGGTAAGTGACCATTATATCAGAAGCTATTTAACGGCCAATCACATCACTTTTATAGAAGAAGATTAAAAGCCATAAATCACATTACTTTTATTGTGATGCATACCTTTTCAGTCAAATCTAGTGCTCCGCTAATAATTGTTGTCTCATCATGAGTGAGCTCACCTCCTTTTCCAGCCTAAATAGTTAAATCAAGAGAGAAATCTTCATTATGAAGAAAAAGAAACATGGGCAATTGGTTATGGGAGCCAGAGCCCCCCCAAAATTTTTTAAACACCCTTTAGCATGTATATATATATTTATATTAAATATATTTAAATTGGTCCTCTAAATTAAAAATGTTAATTTTATTATTTTTTATGTTTTATAACTACATTTTATGTATTGCAATTCAAGAGATATTTAAATCGCATTGATATTTGTTCATTTATTTTATCCAACAATTATTACTTGCAAATTCTTAAAATCAAGAGATTTGTCACCATTTTTAAATCACAATCAAATGAACTTAACAAAGTCAAAACTTTCCAACTTTCTCAACAAGATTCAAGTTTTCGACCAAGCACCAAATGTTTGTTTTTTTTTTTTTGGTACAAGTGAAGTAAAAGTTTAGGAGATTTAGGGAAAGAGAGATTCAGTTTACTATAACTCCTCTCTATATCATTTTCTACCTTTATTTTTACTTTAGATCTTTATGACATTGTAATTCTTTTTCCAATAAAAAAAAATCATATTGGAACTAGTCTACAAAAGGAAAAAAAACATTATAACTTTTAATCTCAAAATTTTATCTCCATTCTTTTAAAAATATATTTAGTTTTCTTGTTTTGATAAAATATTTAATGATTGATTTATTCATACTTCTTTTTTATTTCAATTTAAAATTGTCGAAAATTAAAAAATTGCATAATATATTGACAGATTGTGTATTATTAATTCTATGATTAATTGTAAATCATATTATTGTTAAAAGAATAATATTGTCATAGTAAGATTTTTGTTTTACAATTTTATGAGCTTATCATATTTTTATTAGTATATTGTTTGCATATATATATATATTAATAGTACAATAAAATATGCCTTTAAAATAATAAGATAAAGTATATTATATATTACTAGTCATTTAGTTAGCCCCCTCAAAATTATATGTCAAGATCTGCCACTGAAGAGAAAGGGGATGCAACGGTAATCTTCTACCAGTTCTAGAATTCTTGACAAATTAGCATACTTCTGTCAAGGGATTACTATATTGTGTAATGCGCAGTGACATCAAATTGATTTACCTCCTTGCTGTGGATGGAGACAAGGGCTTTTAGTTGAGCCCGCCTAAACAGTGCTTCATTATGCCCCAGCAACCAATCCAGAACCTGGAAAACATATATACCTTTAGTGTTTCATCAATTCAAATAGCCTGTCAAAACTACACAAATGAGAAGACGAGCTTACTCTAATAGACACTATGTTTAAACACAATCTTTTTTTCCTTCTTTTTTCTTTGTCTTTCTCTTTTGAGCTGGAGAGAGTGGGAAGGGGAAATTGATGCTTCATTCTACACAACAACTCAACTTTTATTAAACCACAGCAAATGAAGGAAATAATATTTCCCTCTATTTCTCTATGATTCTAGTTTTTCCCTCCTTCCCCTCCCCTTTATGCATCATGATTTCTTCCACTTTCAGGATGACAAAATGGTCAAAGTCCAGACTTCTATTAACTCAAAAAGGAAGAAAACGCATACTTAACTACCTCATATTTGAACCCTGATATTTCCCCAGAGAAAATATTTAGGTAAGGACAAGAGTTGCACAAAAAAAAATAGAAAGGCAAATATATATCATCAAACTATCATTCGCATTATCACAAAAAACCCAATTTGCCACTGGTGACTAAAGTGTCCCAGACCTCAGCGCCCCAAGAAGCTAAGAAAGAGGATTTCCTCCAACTTTCTTTAGTTCAATGAGTGCCACAGATTTGATCGTCAGTCCATTGGCCAATAAGCAACCACATAATACTCAAGCCTAGTGAACAGAGTTGAAGTTGTCTTGTAAAAATGAATCATATTGAGTAAATAGACAAGTTTAATTATGAGAACTTTCTCCTGAATCAACTCCATTGCATATAGTATGTATCAGAGGACTACAATCAGCTTTGAAATGACTTTTTCCAGTACGGGAGTTAAAAGAGTGCAACTCATAAGTAATGGCCTTTGAATTTGCCTTTCCAATGGGATAAGCTATTGGATAGCAAATAATCATTAAAATCCGCACAAGCCCAGCAAAATTTGCACCTACAGCAAGTCCATATCTTGTGCATATTGCTTGTGGAATAACCTGAAAAGTAAAAGTAACTCATCTTGATCAACGATTGGAGGGTTAAAGTCAAGCTTATATAATACAAAAGTTTGAACAGCCTACCTCACCAAAAGCTAGAACAAAAGTCACAGAAAGTACGATAGCAACATATTGATTGAAAAGCTTATCCAGGTATATAGGAAGGGCCTGCAAATTGGAAATATGAAGGCGGTCAAAGAAAGTCAACCTTCTCTCGAACATTCTTAGTAAATCTAATACACAGTAAATTTCAAGTAAAGTAATATTTAAGAGGTAGTCATCAAACAACTTCATTATGTTCATTAGATAGCCTCAACCCCCTGTAGCAAGCATAAATAAGACAACTATTCTAAGTTTCTAACAAACTAATTGCTGACATCGCTGTGCATCTGTTAAATGTCAACATCATGTTCCACAACTAGTTACTTGATCATGGGCATCTACCTTAAAACTTACTTTATATGATGTACAAATTGCTTAGGAAAAAGAAATCAACTACCTATAATAACAACTTTAGGTTAAATACTTCTTTGCAATCAGAGCCTAATTGCCTAATTGACAAAATACAAACCCCTTTCTTATAATCAAATTCAAGCAAAACAGTACATGGTGGTGGGTTTGGCACTCATCCCACATGAAAAGCTCCAACAAACTTGCAGGTAAGGAACCATATTAGATATCATCAAACTAATCTTAGGACCTCACTTATCACTGAAAACTTCAGTTTGTGATCTTAAACTAACATTAGAACATCAGTTTTCTAGCAAATCTAATCTCAATTCTTCATATCACACAATTTTGTTAGTCAAATACTTTGAATCTATCCTTCTATCACTTTTTTTCACATAAAAAATCAAATAAACAAACAAACGCACGATAATTGTACATAAATTCATATCAAATTGAACCAAAAAAGTTGTTAGATCAGTTTTTACCTCCATAGCAACAGCATTACAAAAAAGCAAAGTCACCAAAAGCTGATGTTGTTTTTGAACCACTGGCAAAATAGCAGCTAAAAACACAAAAAAAAAAAAGATAAACAATAAAATATCGAAACATGTAGCAATTATCAAAATTCAATAATTTCTTCACATCTATTCCAAATCGAAACCAAAACAAATTTAAAATTTTATTCTACCAGCTTGTTTTTTCTCAGTGGAAGTGCCGCTCCGTTGGAGAATTTCGAGGTCGACGAGACCAAGCGACATGAGTCCGAGAGTGAGACCCGACATTATACCCGCGAAGAGTACTAAAAAGCAACAAAGGCCGGCGTAGATGAACCACCATGGAGATCCAAAGGGAATCCCTCCTCCGACCGATTCATTAACGGAGATCGCCGTGTTCAAAAGCATCCTGGCCGTCACCACCGCACTTATCGGATGCATCTTGTCCGTTTCAATCACCGAGAAATCAGAGACAGAGTGTCTATCTTTTGTTCTTTCTTTTGGTCTTCGTATATACTAAAAAAATGTCAGGGAATTGTGCAAGGACACGTGGCGGGATCTGAAGGTTTTCCTAGGGTGTTTCAAGAGGTTTGGTAGAAAGAGAGTGGGAACAGGATCAACGGTGATGCAGGTAGCATTTTTTTCACGTGGCCGAAGCTATTGGTGTGATCTTCAGATGGTTTTGGTCAAAGTGCACAAATGATTTTTTTTTTCTCTATAATATCACATGTCTACTGCCGTTGATTTTATCCAGCTCAGACTCCATTTTTTATCCGAATAAAAATTAAGATAAATATTAAATTTTGGAATAAAACTTAAACCAGATAATTTCTACTATGATATAACATAAAAATGATATGAATTAAAAATATAAAAATAATTTAATTTAAAATTTTAACAAAAATTATAAATAAATTTAACAAAATAAAATATATATTTTATATTTTTATGTTAATATAAATTATGATACGTAATTTTTATATAAAACATAATATAAATATATAATATTTTAATATTTTACATAATATATATACATAAATTATTAAGTCTAATAAAAATAAAATATTTTTTTTAAAAATAAATCAGATAATATAATACTTATTTCATATTTATATATTTTTATATATTTTATATATTAAATAAATAAATTTTCATTTTAAATTAATTAACTTTATGATTGTATATTTTTGTATTGTTTGATACTTGATAGAATTAATTTCATTTATTAAGTCTGAAGTGTTCTTTCTCCTTTTAACTCTAAAAATCTATTTTATTTTTTTAAATTCTTTTTAAAAAAAAAAACTTTTCTTCTAAGCCCAAAAAGATATCTCAAATTTATTAGTCTAATGAACAATTAGGTTAGCAATCCAATTCTTACCCGAAGAGTTTCAACATGTCCTGATTTTATAGAATCAAACTTTATTTTGAAAATTGAGTATCAAGTCATATTGAGTCAAAGTATTTTAAAAAAAAAAAAAGAGAATTAAATTTTATGCAAACTCGATATGATATATATGTTATTTTTATTATTTATTTAATTTTATATTTATATTTAAAAATAATATTTTATATTAAAAATATTAATTAATATTTTATTAATTTCAAATCAAATTAATTATGAATTTAAATATAAGTGAATTGAATCAAATTTGGATATTAAAACGTAATATTTTAAAATCAGGTCATGTTTGGATATTGAGTTTATAAATTTAGGCAAGTAAAAATTATGCCTCTATCTAACCTGTTACTATTCATAGTTACAACTCTACATCTGTTCATTATAAGTTTGGCAAAAAGATTTTACTTTATATTTGATGAGTTTTAATTTTTTTCGATTTAATAGAGAATATATTTGTTAATCATAATCAAATTGAGATGGATCAAATTTTTTAAGAAATATGAATTCAAGCCGAAACTATATTTAAGATGTTTTATTGCAATTCATTTAGGATGTATATAAAAATATATATTTTATTATTAATTTAATTATATATTATATTAATAAAATTATTATTTAATTTCTTAATTTAAAAAATTAATATTTTAATTCAATAAGAATGTTTATGTAAGTGTTATTTTTTCCTTCTTTCTCTTTTATTTTTTATTAGATAAATTTTGTGAGAAAAAAAATCAATGGAAGTGTTCATGTGTCATTTTTTTTGCTTATTTTTATTTTTTTATTTTTTTAATTATATAATTTTATAATAAAAAACTAATAAATAATGATGAAAATTTTTTAAAAAATTTGACTGACGATAACACGAGGAATCCATCTAGTAGCTATAAATATAATAGAAATAGGTTCGGTTAAATATATATATATATATATATATGTATGAAGAAGAATCAATTTATATAATAATAAAAAAATTTATTCACATCTTTTGGATTTATTAAAATTAATGATTAAAAAATTTTGTAAAATTAAAAAGTTTTTTTTTTTTTGTAAGAAAAATTCAGAGATAAATAAATTATTCAGTCCCTCAAGTCAAAGTAATATGTGTTATATCTGACAACCTAAAATAAGTAACTGTAAGTCTTATATTTGAGATGATCTTAATAAATGACTATCAATAAGATTCGAATCAAAAATCTCATCGTCGAGTAAAATGATATTTTCTCTCGCTATATATATATATGTATATTTAAAGAGAAAATAAAAATTACTTACACTAATATAAAAATTACATTTTTTTTGTCGTTAAACTAAAATTAAATTTATAGTACTTAATTATTTTGATCTAAAAATTAAAAAAATATATAACTTTTATATTAATATATGTGGATATTTTTTATTTATATAAACCTTTAAATCTATTAAAATTAATAATTAAAAAGTATAAAACTAAAAAAGAATTATACTATATATGTAAGTTGATTTTTTCTCATATATATATATATATATATTATATACACACACATACGAAGGAGAGTTGAAAGTTCTCTCCAAACGGTCTTGCCTAAAATTATATAAATATCATGCAAGTGGCTTTCATAATGACGAAAGCCGTGACATTAATGCTCCCTTTGTCACTGTTCTATAAAAGGCCAAACCGATCATTTCCTCCAGTTGAAAGTTGAAACATCATAGTGGTAGTAAAAGGATAAAAATGTCAACCCCTCATTGCTTTGAGAACCCACCAAGCAAGAGCACAGCATGTGGAGCTGGATCGGTTCAGGAATTCGGTGGACTGACTACATATGTCACTGGCCCTCCTGATTCCAACCTTGCCATTCTTCTCATTCATGATGCTTTTGGTAACAACCCTTTTTCCTAAATCATATCAATTTGCTTAATTGACTCACCTTCTTGCTTAATTAGTTTAGTTGATTTGAACTAAGCTCATTTTTGGTTTCTGGTTAAGGGTTTTTTTTTTTTTTTCTTTTGGGAGAATGATAGCTAGGATTTGATTTTGATTGGTTTGTTATTGTGAAACATTTTGCAGGGTTTGAAACTCCAAATTTGAGGTATGTGTGGGTCACTACCATTTATTATCATCACTATGATCACTTCATGATATGACTTTTAATTTTCTTTTTCAGTCTACAATGGAATTAGATATAGGAAACTAATTGGATTATTATCAATGGTAGAAACAAGCACAGTTAGATGCATTGCTTAAGCAAATTAATCAATTTGTTGGTGCTTTAAGTACCAATAGACTGTGTTTGTTATCTTTATATGCGTGTCTAGCTTAGTCCTAAGTTTTTTGCAGTCAAGCAATTGTTTCCCTTCTAAAAAATGTCAGTCAAAGTTATTAACAAATCTTTTCAGTCTAAGAGAACATCTTTGGAAGAAAAGATGGATACTCGTGGTAAAAACTAGGTACTTGAAATTATCGATGCCTTAAAAAAAAAACAACTTTCAGCCGGATCTTTCTCTTCCTGGCTGAGACGATGTTCAATTGATGAGTTCGTGTAACTTTAGCCATGTTATGATCTTGATTACTTTCTGGTTTCATTAAAAGATAATATTTGGATACTTCCACATACAGGAAACTCGCAGACAAAGTTGCAGCAGCTGGGTACTTTGTGGTGGTTCCTGATTTCTTGTATGGTGATCCTGCTGATGTCGGTAATCCAAAATTTGATCGAGAAGCATGGCTTAAAGCCCATGACACGGTTGGTTAATTTCTTTTTATGCTTGTAGAATTGTAGGACAGCTCCTCATTGGAATAGTACATGGTATTTTTGAACTGAGGAAGCTAGGATAGTAATTGGAAATCTGGTTGTTGGTGGAGTAAACAAGTGCTCATGTTGTCACTAGGCATCTTTAGCCAAACTACCATTGACCTGCTAACCTTGCACTAAATAGTTTGGAACTATTGACAACGCATCATGTTCTTCATTCGGACAATGAAGTCGAGTCGACTGAGCAAATGATGAATGAGCACATAGCCATTTTGAACTATATGTTTAAGTTCAGTACAATTCAGTCTGAATCTTTATCTTGTAGGAAAAAGGATCTGAAGATGCAAAACAAGTAATTGCTGCCCTGAAAAGTAAAGGTGTGTCTGCCGTTGGAGCTGCAGGTTTTTGCTGGGGAGGTAGATTATTTTTGTTCTTTTTATCCTCTTAAACACTGAATATCTCAATAGGTGATAAACTGAACCCCCAAATTTTTGGATGCTTGCGTTTGCATCAGGGATGGTAGTAGTAAATTTAGCAAGTACTGATGACATACAGGTGGCAGTGGTGTTGCATCCTGGTCCATTAACAGAAGATAAAATCAAGGGTAAGTTTTCAACTTTCAAGTTCTATAAATAAATGTTTGTCACTGATGGCAAATTGGCACATTGGCTTCAGAGGTTAAAGTTCCGATTGCTATATTGGGAGCTGAGATTGACCAATATTCACCACCAGAGCAACTGAAACAGTTAGGAGAAATTTTGTCAACAAAGTCTGAGGTAGGAAGTTCCCAAATAAGAATTTTTTTTTTTAATTCACTATTTTACAAACTCATTAGCAATTTGATGAAGCACTCAGCACATAGAAGAGGATCATTTTGCTAGCCTCCTAAAGATACATAAGACTCATCCCTTTCCATAATTATATGGTTCTGATAAAGGTTGGCTCCTTTTAGCAGTTGGATAGCTTTGTGAAAATTTTCCCTGGTGTTGCACATGGATGGACAGTGAGGTACAATGTGGAGGATGAATCTGCTGTAAAGATTGCCGAGGAGGCTCATGAGGATATGTTAAATTGGTTTTCTAAGTATGTCAAGTGACGAAAATCGTATACATATAGAATGCAGAGACTAAACCATAATAAGGCAATTGCTCTGAAGGGCCAGATTTCATAGCAGTCTCATTTTTATGATTTCAGGATTCTCTCTTGATTAGCTTTCTCCAGACATTACCAGTTAAAAGGCCTATTGGACATTGGTCAGGCATGAAAACTCTTTCTCTTGCATGAATTTTACTTGTGTTCTGCTGCTACTGCTTCATTTCTGGCAGGATGAGTTGCATTTTGCTTGGCTGGTTTGTTTTAGGCATGTGTCGATTATACCATTTGCAAGCTTGGCTTATGGAGGATTTATTTGTGCAAAAAAAAAAAATTATATAAATGAATAAATAAAATGCATGCATTGAGTGCTATCACATAATAAGAAAAAAAATTTTAATTAAGAATTGAAAATTGTTTAGACAAGAATCTTTAAATAACACAAAATACTAGTTCTATTCCCCTCTATTTTATTATTCCGCAAACAAACGTATTATTGATGACTCGACGAGAAATTATTTGAATATATAGTAAAGATAGATGACCAAATTTCTCTTCATGTGTGGTTCATTTATTAAGCCAATGTTTTGTTTTATTTGTTTATATTCGGAACAAATTCATTTGATTCTCGTGAATAAAATCAATAAATATTTGTTTATATTTTATATTTTATTCCTTTTAACATGATTACTTTATAATTAAATAATTTTTAATAAAAATTTAATTATAATTTAATATTAATATTTTAAAAAGTTAACTTAACATATCTTGAAAATCTTTCATAATATTCTATAAAATATTATTGCAAATATAATTTTAATCGCCTAAATAGACGAGACTTTTTGTTTATAGTCTTTCTATCCCATATAGCTTGAAAAGCCAATGCAGAGAAAGAAACTTTTTATAAATAGGCTTGTTTTCTTCATTTTTTAGAGCCTAAGACATTGGTTTGTAAGACTAATTTCTTAGTTATTAGTTTATGTTCATTTATATGTCTTTGAATATTTTTATTTAATATTTATGAATGAATTCATTTAATTTAAATAAATTGATTTCAAACTGACTATGAATATTCTAATATCTAAACGAACCGAACTTGAACATAATGTAAAATTTTTTTATTGAAAAAGAATCGAATACAAACAATTCTAAAAATAAACAAATGAACCACGAAGATAACAATATTCTTCCATGTTCGATTCATTTACCACCTTACCTAGACTCTTGAGGTCTTAGGCTTAAGTTCAATTGTATGTGCGTTTGGTTCATCTTTATATTAAATTTGTCTAATTATGTTCTAATTTATTTTAACTTATTCGATTATTCAATGATTTATGTAATATTTGATTATATTTATAACTTGTACTTATAATTTAAAAAAAAAATTTAAGGGGTTTAGTGGCCAAACAAATGGTGAGTTATTTACACATTAAGTGGTAGTTTTTTTTAATATTTTTCTTATTTTTATTTGCTAATAAGGATAATATTTTTTAAATTAAGAATCACAAAAAATTACAAACCATTACATCAAAAAATATAAATCACAAATAAAAATTCTTACTTTTCATTTTTTTATTTTTTTAATTATATAAATTTTATAGCTATAAATGTAATAGAAATAGTTCGGCCAAATATATATATATATATATATGTATGTATGAAGAAGAATCAATTTATATAGTAAAAATAAAAAAATGACTTAATTACATCCCTTGGATTTATTGAAATTAATGGTTAAAAAATTTTGTAAAATTAAAAAAATTTTACACTATATAAGTTGATCCCTTTTTTATCTATATATATATATATATATATTAAGAGAAAATAGAAATCCACTTATATTAATGTAAAAGTTACACATTTTTTTATCCTTAAACTAAAATTGAATCCATAGCACTTACACTTAATCATTTGGAAACAAAAATGAAAAAAAAAACTATGTAACTTTTATACTAATATAAGTGAATCACTATTTATATTTATATATATAGACCCTTAAATCTATTAAAAGTAATAATTAAAAAATAAAACTAAAAGGGAATTATATTATATATATAAGTTGATTTTGTTAAGAATGTGTGGGTCCGGCTCTAATTGATTAGACAATTAAAAGGCCTAAAGTTTTTTGCGTGAAAATAAAGTGAGAAGAAGAAAAAAAAAGAAGCTAAGAAAAATAGAGAGAAAAAAGAGAGGGAAAGTTTGTTGAACGGAAGTCAATCCGTGGTCTAATTGAATTAAAATTTTGTCAGCAAATTTATGATTTAGAGTTTTATATTCTGAACAATAGAGATCAGGTTTAAAGCTCTTTAAGAACAAATCTAAGGTGTATTTATTGAGTCACCTATTTGGTGATATTTATCCAATTGTCTCTCTAATTGTTAATTGCTCTTGTTTTAGTTAGAGAAAAACTTTGTATATCCATTATTTGATAGTAGAGATTTTTCTAGTGATTTGTGATTTTTTTCTCCACATTGGAGGCTTTTTTATGTAAATCTTAGTATGCTTTATTTTTCTTGCATTGTTAACTATTGATTGTTATATTGCTGTAGGTTTGTTGCAATATATTGCTTCTATGTTGTTGTGTTTGTTGTTTTAGGCCTTACAAAATAGTATCAAAGCTAGGTTATTTTGATATATCGATACAAAAACAATCCAAGACAGAAGTAAATTTAGTTTGAGATCATAAAACATGATATAGGTTCTATGATAAAATTGACAATATCAAATTATACAATTTGAAAGCCTATAATAGAAGATCATTTATACTATAAAGATTTGTATAAGTCAATATTGAATGATTCGGTTAAACCAGCAAATACGAAAGATGAAAATTGTAAAAAGTTAGACAAAGAGATGTTGGCCACAATCAAAAAATAGGTTGACATCAGCGTGTTTCATCATGTAACATAGGAGATAGATGCCCATATGTTTGAAAAAAATTGACAGTATTGTATGAAAAAAAAATAAGCATGAACAAAGTTATACTTGTTAAAAAGCTTACAACTTTACCATACAAGAATGAATGATCGATTACAAAGCACTTGAGTAATTTTTAAGATATATTTAATCGGATGACTACTATAAAGTTTAAGATGAATGATGAAATGAATGTGTTGTTTCTTTCGGGTTTATTGTCAAACAAATGGAATACTATAGTTGTGATTGTTTTCAATTTAACTCTTAATTATAAGGTGATATTGGATATGGTAAATGACAATATGCTTAATAAAGAAGCAAGGTGAAAAAATTTAGACCCTAAAAATCAAGCTCTTATCACAGAAAATAAGGGTAAAAACATCGACAGAGGTCAAAACTCAAAAAATCATAGTAAGTCTAAATATAAATCCAAATTCAGAGATAAAATGAAGTGCTTTCATTGCAATAAACTAGGTCATATAAAACGATACTACAAAATCTTGAAATAAAAATGAAAAGATAAAAAAGATAAGAGTTCAAATGATGAGAATGTTACAGCAGTAAATTTAGATAATGATTCAGTTACTTTAATTTATACACATAGTGATTATAATCATATTGGTGGTTTTAACATTAAGTGAATAGTTGATACAAAAGTAACATATTATTGTGTTTCTAAAAAAGAGTTATTTATAACTTACAAAGCAGAAGATTTTGATTACACTAAGATGGAAAATAAGAATGTGTTACAGATTGTTGGGATCGGTGATATTGTTATACAAATTAATATGGGCTACCTGTTGATTTTGAGAGATGTCAAACATATTTTGGATATGAGAATAAACTTACTTACTATTAATAACCTTGATAAAAAAAGATATGAGAGTTTATAAAAGAATAGGTAGTGAAAACTTCTTAAAATATTTTTGAAAGTTGCAAAAGAAAAACTATGTTGCATAATGTATAAGACATGGATGCAATTGAATGGTAACTAGAGAAATAGCATTGGGGATGATACATTAGAAAATATATGGCGTAAGAGGTTGGCACATATTAGCGAAAAAGAGTTATAAGTTTTAGCAAGACAATCTCTCATTACTTTGACCAAAAGTATGTATCTCAATTCATGTGATCATTATTTATTTGACAAGCATCGTAGATTTTATCTTTATAAGAAATATCAAAGAAAAGAAAATAGATTGAAAATGATTTATTTTGATGTATGTGATCCTATTAAAATTGAGTTATTAGGTGGTAGTAAGTATTTTGTTACGTTTATTGATGATGTTTCACGTAAAACTTTGATGTATATATTGAAAAATAAAAGTAAGATATTATAGTATTTTCAAAAATTTCATACAATGCTGGAAAGGATAACAGAGTTACCTTTGAAGTGTATTTGGACTGATAATGATGAAGAATATGCATCTAAAAACTTTTAAGAATACTGTTCAAAGCATAAAATCAGACATAAGATGACAAAATTTAGAACACTATAGTATAATGGTGTATCTAAAAGAATAAACTGCATTATTGTGAAAAAAGTTAGATGTATATTGAGGATGACAAATTTACCAAAGCCATTCTGAGGTGAAGTAGTCAACATAACTTGCTATTTACTTAACAAATTACCATCAGTTCCTTTGGGCTTTGACATTTTCAAAAAGAGTGTAGACAAAGAAAGATGTTTTATACTCTCATTTAAAAGTTTTTTGGTGTAAAGCATTTATATATATGTCGAAAGAATAGAGATCAAAGCTGGACAGTAAAGTCACACAGTGTGTGTTTGTAGGATATGATGATGAAGAATTTAGCTATAAGATATGAGATCTAATGAAGAGAAAGACAATTAGAAGTAGAGATGTAGTCTTCCATGAAAAAGAAATCATAGTAGACTTTGAGTAAAATGAAAAAACTATACGATTTACTATTGAATGTAATGTTTTAACACCGATAGGAGTTTCACCAGAAAGAGACATAGATGGTGAAAATGAGTAAGAACTAGAACTTGAGGATATGAATAAGCTAACCACAGTTAGTGATGAGCCAAATACAATCAATTTTGAGTAGAGGGAGCAATCCTTTCTACTTGAGAGTGTTGAACAGAGTGAGTAGTCTTTTTTCATTAGAAAGTGTTGAACAGAGAGAGTTACCTTCAAAATCAGGTAGTGTAGAGTCTCATTTTAGGAGATTTACTAGAGAGTATAAGCCATCTACTAGGTATCTAAGTTTAAATTTTATTTAATTACCAATGAAAGGGGAGTCGAAAAGTTTTCAAGATGTGTATACTATTTCAGATAGAAAGCACTGGTTAAAAGTAATGAAAGAAGAGATGAAATCATTGAGAAAAAATGATACATATGATCTTGTTCAACTTTTGAAAGGAAAGAAACCATTAAAAAATAAATGTGTGTTCAAGTTAAAAAAAATGATGACAAATTAGTGAGGTACAAAGCTTAATTAGTAGTGAAAAGTTTTTTTCAAAAATTCAGTATTGATTTTGATGAGATATTCTCTCTAGTTGTAAATATGAGTTTCATTTAAGTGGTACATTGATTAACAGCTAGTTTGAATTTTGAGCTTGAGCAACATAATGTTAAAACTATATTCTTGCATAGTGACTTACAAAATGACATTTATATGGATCGGCTTGAGGGTTTTGAAGTGAAAGAAAAAAGTATTTAGTTTGAAAACTGAAGTAAAGCTTGTATGGCTTGAAATAAGCTCCGTGACTATGGGAAAAAAGTTTGATTCTTTTATAGTGAGCCACAACTATAAAAGAACGACAGCGGATCCATGTGTATATGTCAAAAAATTTCTTAATGGTAATTTCATTATTCTTTTATTATATATTGATGATATATTGATTATAGGATAAGATATTGGTATGGTTCATAGGTTGAAAAAATAATTGTTTATGTCCTTTGACATAAAGGATTTAAGTCTAGCAAAGTAGATTCTTGATATGGATATTATCCAAAATAAGAGAGCTGAAAAGTTATGTTATCATAAAAAAGTATGTTGAACGGGTGCTTAATAGATTTAACATGCAATATACTAAATCGATTAATAGTCCACTTGCCAACCATTTTTATCTGAGTAAAAAATCTTGTCCGGTAACTAAGAAAGAGTAATTGTTATGTCTAGTATTCCTTGTTCTTGTATAGTCGATTCTTTGATATATCTTATGATTTACAAACAGCCTAATATTATTCATGCAATTAATGTAGTAAGCAAATTTCTTTTTTATCTAGAAATGGTCTAGTAAGAAGCAATAAAATGGATTTTTAGATATTTAAAGAGGTACCTCAAAAATGTCCTTGTGTTATAGAGTTTCACAACCAGTTCTAAAAAGGTTTATTAATGCTTATATAGTAGGTAATGTTGATGGTAGAAAATCTACTTCGAAATATTTGTTCATTTTTGCAGAAAGAGTAGTATCATGACAGTCTAAGTTGTAGAAGTATGTTACCTTGTTAACTATAAAAGTTGAGTATATTGCAACAATTGAAGCAACTAAAGAAATGCTTTGGATGAAATATTTTTTTTAAAATTGGGATTGAATAAAAAATAATTTGTGATATTTTGTGATAGTCAGAGTGTATTAGATTTGAGTAAGAATGCCATGTACCATGCTAGAGTAAAACATATTAATGTTAGATATCACTAATTACATTCGATGATTGAGAAACAACAGATACTGTTGAAGAAAGTCTATATTGATAATAATGCAGCAGATATGTTGACTAAAACACTTCTTAGGAAAAAGCTTGAACTTTACAGTAACTTCATCGAAATAGATTTATTGGTTAAAGTAAGTTTCAAATGAAATTGCTATGATGTTGAATTTCCTCCTATTAGGGCTGGAGGGGGAGATTGTTAGGAATGTATAGGGTTCAACCTAATTGATTAGCCAATTAAAAAGCCTCAAGCTTTTTTTCCCTTTGACCATGAAATAAAGTCCTAAATATAAAAGTGGGGTAGCTTTTTGGTGTGAAAAGAAAGTGATAGAGTGCGTCAAAAAGAGAAGAAAGAAAAGAAAAGAAGCCAGAAAAATAAGGACAAAATATAGAAGGGAGAGTTAATTGAACGAAAGTTGATTTGTGATCCAATTGAACTAAAATTTTATCAACAGATTTATAATTCAGAGTTCTACATTCTGAATGGTGGAGAACAAGTTTGAAGTTTTTTAAGACCAAATTTATAATGTATTTGTTAAATCATCTATTTGGTGAAATTTCTATTATTATCTCTTTGGTTGTTAATTAACTCTAATTTTAATTAGAGAAGAATTTTGTATATTCATTATTTAATAATAGATATTTTTTAGATGGTCTATAATTTTTTTCCTTTATATTAAAAGATTTTTCTCGTAATTCTTAGTGTATTTTATTTTATTTTATATTATTAATTATTATTATTAATTATTATTTTATTGTTATAAATTATTATGATATATTATTTTTATGTTATTATATTTATTGCTTTAGGTTATACAAATTTCTTCTCTTATATATATATATATATATATATATATATTATATACACGTAACAAGGAGAGTTGAAAGTTCCCTCCAAAAGGTCTTACCTAAAATTATATAAATATCATGCAAGTAGCTTTCATAATGACGAAAGCCATGAAATTAATGTTCCCTTTGTCACGTTTTTTGTGAAAGGCTAACTGATCATGTCCTCCAGTTGAAAGTGGAAACATGGTGGTGGTACAAAAAAAAAAAAAAATGTCAACCCCTCATTGCTTTGAGAACCCACCAAGCAAGAGCACAGCATGTGGAGCAGGATCGCTTTAGAGAGACGAGAAGAAAAACGAACAAAATAATTTTGGGGTTTTATAATAGTACCTAAACGGAAGAGTAAGGAAAATTCTAGAGAAGAAAAAGGAAAAAAAATGAATTGACACATGTTTTTAAGAGTAATTTTCCAAATTACAGCATTTATATATTAGATATATAAATATATTTATTAATTTTATGCATTTTGCTTATACATATATGATAAGTCTTAAGAAAAATAAAGTAAAATATAATATTAATTAACTCATTTAAAATTAAATATTAAGATCTGTTACTGTATAATAAATTCTTTTTGAAATAAAATTCAACTTGTTTGTGCTTTTGGAAAGTCCATTCTCCACTCAATAATTCAAGATATGAAAAATTTTTTTTATTCAAAGTTAATTGTTTAAAAAAACTAATGTGTTCATATAATCAGAAATATAAATTAAAAAAAATGAATAAAATTTACGGTTAATGAGCTTCCTTTTTAAATTGTGATTTATTTGTATTAATGATCAAATTAATCATAATTCATTTATATAAAGCAAGGATATTAGATATTTTAAAAAAATAAGTATAATTAACTTAATCAAAATAAATTATTTTTAAATTAAAAATGCATTAAATTAAATCAAATGTATTAATTAATAGATATATGACTTTAACTTAAACTACCCATATATTAATAAAATAGATTATCTATATAAAACAATTATCATTTTTACCAAAAATTTTAACTTTTATATATAATTTTTAATAAGATATTTTAGTTGTTATTGTAATTGTTACCATTTCTATCTAATCTTATAATCCACCGATCCCTTATCGAAAAGTCCAAAATTAAAACTTCGATAATGTAAAGTGTGACTTTTCTCTTTTAGCCTAATAATTAAAAAATCAATTGAAAATCATGTAAAATGTGAGTTTTACCTTGATATCTCCTTTTTCTTTTTTTTCCTTATAAGGACATTAACCCTCTTTTGAAATAAAAAATAATGTAAAATGTCTTTTTCATTGAATTTGATGAAAATGAATTTTTTAAAGTTTTATTTGATTGGGCTTTTTTTTTTATATCTCTCTTATTATTTTTTTTACGAGTTTCATTTAATTTATGTTTCTATTTTTTATTTTTTAATACAATAAAAAAGGTAAAAAATAAAAATATATTTTAAAATAAAAGATAGATAATAAAAATAAAAATAAAAAATACCAATTAAATAGAACCTTAAATCATCAATCACATTAAACTAAACTTTCGAATTTTTATCCTCGTAGGCTGCAGGAAAATTGGTAACTTAAAAATTCGGAGCGAAAATAATATAAAATTATAATATAAAAATAATATAATTTAAAATTTTAATAATAATTATATTTAAATTTAATAAAATATTAAAATATATTTTATATTTTTATAACGATATAAATTATAAAATATAATTTTAATGTAAAATATAAAATAAATATATTAATTTTAATATTTTACGTAATATAAATATACAAATAATTTGATCTGTTCAAAAATAAAAGTAAATAATAAATAATATTACAAATTATATATATAAGCAAAAGATCTTAAATGTGGTGACGTAATAGATGATGTAAGCATATATATATATATATGTATGTATATCTATATCTATCAATAAATAAATAAATAAATATATATAAAGTAAAACTGATGCCTACCGAATGTTCGGGTAGAAGTGAAAGTTTAGTGTAAGTTAGAAGAGAGAAAAAGAATGTCAGGTCCTGAGTGCTGTTCTAACCCACCAAAATTAAACCCCGGAAGTGGAGTTGGTCATGTCGAGGAGCTTGCTGGCTTCAAGACTTATGTCACTGGATCTCTTCACTCCAAGCTGGCTGTTCTTCTTGTCTCTGATGTTTTCGGTAATTACCCATTTCTGCTTCAATCTTTGATGTGTTTTTTTTTTTTTTTGTGTGTGTTCGACCATGATGATTAGTTGTCTGTTTAGGAATTGAGCAGGGCTTCGAGTGTTTTCACTCTAGATATGCACCAAAAAAAAAAAAAGACTCGTCTTTAGCATTTTTAGCTTTTACCCATGTTCTGATCTTTTTTACTTAATTTTTTGACTAGCTTGCAGACTATTTTCTTGAACCTATTCTATCTGGGTTTTGTATTTGAGTATGGGTTTTTATCATATTGGCTTTGAAACTTGTGATGGAGTTCTCTGTGAGCTACTTTGATACTGTAAACAAATTGGTCGAGCAGAAGGATTTTAGGGGTGTTTTTGCTTCTGTGTTCCTTATCTATCTGTAACAGAACTTTTTCTTATGTCATGGTTTTGGAAATTTTTTTACTATATATTGCTTTCATTTATCATTGTTTATGCAATTGCTTGTCTCTCTTCCATGAAATATAGATATTTGTTGTCATCATGATCATGATATTCGTCACCATCATCTTGATCATCTGCTAATTTAGCTGTTCTTGTCATGGCTCCGCAGGATATGAAGCTCCAAACTTGAGGTAAGACTAATTTTGCAAGTGAAACTAATTGTTGCTGATGTCCCAATTTCAGAATAGGCTCTAGTATACTTATATCTCATGCAATACTAATTGTAACAAAAAAAAAAGGATATACAGTTAGCAAATTTAGTGCTTGGCATAATCTAATAATTCAAGTTGTCAAGTCATTAGAAAGTAGTTGATGGAAAAGCAACTTAGCAAGGTCCTTTGACATACGGAGTGCTTCTGGCAGTCCATCAACGTGGTCCCATATCTCATATGGAATTTAATTATATGACCCACCTTGCCTCTATGGAAAATTCATTAGATGATTTATCTTGCTTCATTTCTTCAATATTTGTATGGATTGATTGTTTTATATTGAGTTGTTCTTTCCTCTCGTACTAGTTATTCTTGTCTTAAAATCCAGAGTGACCTCTCATTGTCACATTTTGAAAATGGAAATAACTGCTTTTGATATGAGAATATGGATTCTGAAAATTATAATTTAGCAAATTAAAATTTGGCATGCCTCTAACCGATTTTAACACATTTGGATTGTTTTGTTCATAGATGAGACTGTGATAGTATGGTAGTGAGCCTGTGGCATGGTAGTGTGAACCAATTTTATTTAACTACACGGTTTGCTCTATGTAGCACCTAGAGTTGAACTGTACCAGCTTCTGGAACCTAATTTCATTTGCTTTTGATTGTATAGAAAGCTTGCAGACAAGGTTGCAGCTTCTGGGTTCTATGTGGTGGTTCCTGACTTCTTATATGGAGAACCCTATAACCCTGAGAGATCTAATATAGCTGTTTGGTTCAAGGATCATACAGTGGTTAGTGGCCTTTTGACAAATACCTTATTAGTCTAGTTGTATAATAAAGGTCCTTTGTTTAATACTTGATTTTAACTCTTTTTGGTTCCAATTGTATTTTGGACTCTCCTAAATTTATAGACCTGTATTAGTTTCTTTATAATTAGATTTAGTTTTGATTTTGAATCTGCTAACTGCATTCTGCTTTTGTTTACCCATTATAGTAACTTCTATTTTTCTATATCTCTTTACCTAGACAATTATCTAATGCGTAATGATGCATCGCATCATTACCTTTTGAAGTTTTATGCTCTGATGCTCTGATGCAGTGCATTTGCTCTTTTAGGATAAAGCTTTTGAGGATGCAAAGATAATAGTTGATGCTTTGAAAAGTAAAGGGTTTTCATCCATTGGAGCTGCTGGCTTCTGTTGGGGTGGTGAGTTTTCATTTATGCACTATATTTTAAATGGTTTCATTAAGACATCTTTACCCTGTTTAGACAAGCATGTGCTGGACTTTTGCAATTGGATGATATGATTTAAATATTTCATTTTTTAATCAGTTTAACTCTGCGATTGCTTTATTGCCTGAGATGGCTAATATTAAGTCTTTGGTTTATCTCAGCTAAAGCTGTGGTTGAACTGGCAAAGGATGCACTTATCCAAGCAGCTGTGATGTTACATCCGTCATTTGTGACTGTGGATGATATCAAGAGTAAGATTCTAGTTTTTCGAATATTTCAATTATCATTTGTTCATTTCATTAGCAAATTGGTTTTATTTATTAACTTTAAGGTGAGTTTTACTGTGCTTTATGGTAGAACACTGGTTGAATCTTTGTGAAATGTTTTGCATAGTTTGTTGCATTAGGATTCAGTTAAGTTTCATGAGGCCATGTTCCCTGAGCAGTTTCTAAAGGATTCATGGCATTTTAATCAAAAGATTCTTATTCCATTTTAGTTAGAAAAACTCTCACTTGCCTCTCTTCCTGTACTGTAAAGTGCCTGAAAATCTTAAAATCACTCTAGACGTTGTAAAAAAACAATTAGGTTCTGATTGACCATGTCACTAAAAGGAACTGTCTAACAGATTTGGTACTTCCCCCTCTCTCGTGTTTCTGTATGGTGTGTGTGGTAGTGGAAAGTGTACCTTATTACTAATGATTATGTGCAAATATTTGCAGGTGCGAAGGTGCCTATTTCAATACTGGGAGCTGAGATTGACCAAAGGTCTCCCCCAGAACTTTTGAAACAGTTTGATGAGATCTTAAATGCTAAACCTGAGGTAAGAAGGCCCAATGTTTGGTATCAATTTACAGTCAGTAGCTGTCATCTAAAAAAAATATTGGCTGCTGTTTTCTTCTCTTTATTGAATAAGCCAAAGAATTTGGTAAAAATTTGTATTTTCTGTGATCCATTCAGGTTTTCTTTCAATGAAAAAAATTTGCTTTGACATCTTATATTTTCTAGAAATGAGGAAATTCTCTGTTCCATACTCTTTCTTCACTGCTGCCAGCTTATATATTACAATTAGATGTTTCCCTCTCTGCATTTTTCTTATTCTTGGTTAGAAGTTTACTTGTGACAAGCAGCGACATTGAGTTAAATTTCACTCATTCACACACATTTGTAAAACACATATCCAAATTAATGTCTGGGTTTTATAGTTTCGATATTATAAGTGCTGTTGACTTAAATGTGTGTTGGTAACAGCAAAGAAATTGAACTTATGTATTGAAGAAAAGCTTAGTTGTTGTTGATGTTGTCCTTGGTTAATAAATAGCTGGTATATTTTAAAGGGTTCTATTGGAAATTTGATAATGCTTAGTCTTTGATTACCGGTTGTGGGTAAGTTTTAAGATAGCGGTAGTAATAGGTAGTAGTTGGCTATATTTGTCAAACCATCAATCCCTGATGCCCACCACACCTTGTTGTGGTGCCCTCAGGAGTGCCTTTTTCTCTTATTGCCTTGCACTGCAAACTTGTAATAACTAGACAAAATACAACTCCAGTTACTTGGGTCTGGTTATGACTTTTCCTGGTTCCCTTTTAACTTTGGTACATAGGTTTTGTTACCGTGGCCTGCTCGAATTTGAAACTTTGAAGATCTTGCTTCCTATAACCTTAGGCTGCAAGTAGGGGTATAATTGAGTCGAGCCAAACCTATATAGTGAGAAGTTCGAGCTCAATTGAAAACTTGCTGCTCAAAACTCAACTCGAACTTGAGCTCAATCATGTTTTAATTTTCAAGTTTGTGCTCGATTTGAGATAAAAATTGAACTATTCAAATTCACTCGATCAGGCTCATTTAACAAATAAAAAATGAGCTCGATCCCTATGCTCGACTTCAAGCTTAATTATTTGTGCTCAAACTTGAGTTTGATAGTAATTTTCTAATTAAAATGATAAAAATATATGTTAAAATATAAAAGCTCAATTAAACTCATGAGTTACTCAAGCTGAGCAATAAGATGCTTGAACTCAGTTCGCTCGAAAAGTCAATCATTTCTGTTGCCATGTGTCATTCACTTGAGGTTACTTGAGCCGAGCGATAAGATGCTTGAACTCAGTTCGCTTCATAAGTTGGATTTTTTTTGTGGCCACATGTGTTATTCACTTGAGGTTTTTATTGTTCTCCCGTTAGATCCCTGGCTACAAATTTTGTTCCCGAATGTCTTGAATTATGTACTTTATGGCCATTTTTATCACTACATGACCTGTCATTATCTCGGTTAGAAAATAATATCTTCAAATTTGCAGGTTGACAGCTTTGTGAAGATATTTCCAAAATGTGGCCATGGATGGACGGTAAGATACAATGTTGATGATCAAACAGCTGTGTCATGCGCAAACGAAGCTCATAAAGATATGCTAGAGTGGTTCGCCAAGTATGTCAAGCGAGAAAACTGATCAGATGATGTTAATTAGAACTCTGTTGCTGTTAGTGTTAAATGGCTGAGAATGTACCTTGAGTTTATACTATGCTTGTGTGTCTTAAGAACGCGAGTGAATTCTGAAAAGAATAAATGAGGGTTTGAATTAATTCTGGAAGAAATTAGAAGTGGATTCAGTGATACTGAGTTTTCAGACCCCACGTCTGAATTGCTGACTTTGAATCATGCTGACACGGTAGAGGAGTATTATAAAGAATATTATTATGACTTTGAATGCTCGTCATCTTCATCAGCAACCTCAAGCCTGAAATATCTAAAGCTTTTAACCCAAAACCGTTGTTCATGCTTTTAAAGATACTGAATAAACTGAGTTAAGCTTTGGACATGAGGCTTTGGATATGCTCTTAGTATTATTATTGAAAATAATTTTTGCATTAAAAAACTGCTTTTGATCTTATCTAAATATTAAAACAACAAAAAAATGGTTTTTTAAATTTGAAAACCTAATTTGTCAATCTAAACGGATTAATCCAAAAATTATGCTTTTACAGTGAAAAAATATATTTAAAATAAAAAATTACTATATTATTTATATATTAAATATTTTTTAAACATTTCTATCGTTCAAAATAATTTCTCATAACAAATTAAATATTCAAAAATTTTATTCACACTTTTTAAATATATTTTTTTACTTCACTTTTTTTTTTCTGACTTAAACAATAATGCTAAAGTAACCTTCAACTTTTAGTAATAAAAAAAAATCAAAATAGGTTAGATTCGGTTTTTTTTTTATATATTATATAATTTTGATCCGAATCAAATTTTTATATGATTCAAATCAAATAAAATCAAATTTTACTGATTTTATTGAATTTATTGATTTTAATTTTTAATTTTTTTAATTTTATATATTATTTTAATATAAAGTTTTAATGTATTTAAATAAATTTTGATATAAAAATATTATTTTTATTTTATAAAAATTTAAAATATATATAAATACTAAAAAATATATATAATTTATTTTTTTTTAATTTTTACAATTCGGAATTTAATTCGAATTTAATATATTTTTAATATTTAAATTTAATTTAAATCAAATAAAAAAATCGATCAAATATTATAATTTCATATCAATTTTTTAATTTTTAAAATTTTTTTCTTATCCCCGATTACTTACACATTAACTTCTTCAGCCTTATCATAATCATTACTTTATCCTTTGGGTGAAAAGATCAAGCAAAAACTTCTCAAGTGTAACATATAATTATAGAAAATGAACTAAATAATTAAAAATTATGGCCAATAAAACATGGAAAACATCAACTAAGTTGAGTGGCAAAAAGTGTCATTTAAAAAAAGTTATTATGTTATCCTTTTCAATCCCACTTTCTTTTTTTTTTGGCCAGATGTTTTCAATCCTACTTTAAATTGCTTTAATTAATTAATTTATATTTTCAAATTATATAATTCCATTTGAGCCCTTCTCTTTCTTACACACAGAAAGCCTCCAACATGAAGCACATCATTCTTTGATCTTTCCTTTTTTATTTTTCACTTGAGATCCAAAAGCATTTCCACAAACCCAAAAGCCCTTTTGTTCCACTCTTCAAAATAAAAAAGAAAAACCCAATCTTTTTCTATCTTCTATAAGCATAATAATTTATGTATCTCCTGTTTTTATAGTGTTAATGGCCTTATATAGATTCTCCAAGTGACTCTCATTTTCCAGCTCAATTTTTTAGGCTCATCCGCCAAAAAGCCAAAATCTTTTGGCCTTATTGTGTTTCTTGCCTTCAAAAAAACAATCATCTTTTCTGTTTTTCAAATTTTTTCTATGTTATTAGCAAAAAAGTTGTTAATTTTAGCCTAAACACTTGAACTAGCTAACATTTGCTGTTGCTTTTGAACTTAAACGTTTTTTTCAAACCATTTCTTTGGGGGGTTTTTGGTAAGGTGGTTTTGATTGTGATCTTGATATTTTGGTGAAAATTTTTCCTTTTTTGGAATAGTTTTAAAGTCGGGGCTTTTCCTTGGAATTTGGTCTTGGCATTACTGGAATTTTGTTTTTCTGTGATCTTTTGATTTGGGTTTTAAGTGCAAAGTGACATTAGTTTACTATTGGGGCTCCCTGTTAGATGCCAATTGTTTTCTTCCCAAGCTTTTGATGCTAAGATGCAGCCTGATCAGAGAAGAAAGGTAACTTTTTTTTAGTTTTTATATTTACTTGTATGAATATGGTGAATGTAAGATCTAAAGAAGTGAGATTTTATTTTGTTTTTGAATGTTATTCTGTTTTGTGTTAATTGGAATAAACTGTATCTGGATTTGCTTGGGTCATTAGTTAATGAATCTGTTCATAAATCTAATTTCTTTACTTACTGAATGGTTGTCTTGATTGCCGGCACAGCTCTGTATCTGGATGGAAAAGTAACAGCTTGTCATGTTTCATGTCTCATCTTCTAAGCCACATGCTTCTGTCCCTAGTTTGCAAGTTTATGGGATGTCCCACTTAAAAAAATGCTTGTCTTGTAAACTGATTGTCTCTTGTCTCTTTGTTTTGTTTTGGACGTTATAGGTGACTTAGGATTACTGTTATTTGTTGTTGATGTTGGAGCTACCACTTATGGTCGTTGGTTACTTGCTTTAACGCTCTGGAGGTTGACTAAGACAAGTTATAGGTTATAGTTTCATTTTATTTATCTATTCATCTGCTTTGTTATTGAAGTTTCCTTGATGGTAGAAACAAAATTTCCCGCAAGGCAATAATTTTGGTGTACCTTGCAATAATCCATCATGCCCTTATTGTGATTGATTCAGTTCTACTCTTTTTATTTAATTTTCACTGCTTTCAACCTCACTGTGTCAGTTTCACTTTATCTAGGGCAAAACTTCTGATGTTAATTTTCCTTTTCTTTTTTGACTTTCGATTTATTCATTTTGTTTGTTATAGGACATAGAGGAATAATTCCAATATACATGTATTTGATTTAACCTGGAAAAAAGTTGCACGAGGGATAACACATAGTGTTTTTATCATATGGCCTTAATTGATTGCCAAATGCTTAGGTGTGTGGAATTGTACTCTTATTCTCAATTGAGTAAGCAATCATGTTTATCTGTTGTAGTCCCACTGTGTTGGCATAGAACACTACTCAACCTTCCTCTTTTTGTATTTATGTAAAGCCTGTTATTTATAAGATTTAAACCTTGGTTATTACATTGATAATGCATTATGCTTTCCCTTTACAATGCAGTCTGCTGTGGATGTAGATTTTTTCACCGAATATGGCGAGGGGAGCAGGTATAGAATAGAGGAAGTAATTGGTAAAGGAAGCTATGGTGTTGTTTGTTCTGCATATGATACACATACTGGAGAAAAGGTTGCAATTAAGAAAATCAATGATATATTTGAACATGTATCTGATGCCACCCGGATCCTTCGAGAGATTAAACTTCTCAGGCTCCTACGTCATCCAGACATTGTTGAGATCAAGCACATCTTATTGCCTCCTTCGAGAAGGGAATTTAAAGATATATACGTGGTATTTGAACTTATGGAATCTGATTTACATCAGGTTATCAAAGCAAATGATGATTTGACCCCAGAACACTACCAGTTTTTTCTTTATCAGCTTCTTCGAGGCCTGAAATACATTCACACAGGTTATTCTCTTATTATAGTTTCAGCTATAGAATGTGATTTGATCCACTGGTTTGAACATAGATAACATTTTGAAAGTTACGTATGCATTGATGCTATTTCCAATTCTTGTTGACTTTTTCATTTCTGATGATCCTTCTTTTACTCGTTTTTGTTCCTGTAGCAAATGTTTTTCACCGGGATCTAAAGCCCAAAAATATCTTAGCCAATGCTGATTGCAAACTGAAGATCTGTGACTTTGGTCTTGCAAGAGTAGCTTTTAATGATACCCCCTCCGTGATATTCTGGACAGTAAGTTTCCTTTAGATGATGCTGCATTCAGGAAATAGTTTATATATAATTTGCAGAAGTTTGTTTCTTGGTTCAGAGTTGAATATTTTCTACTGGTTCCTTTCTTAGGATTACGTTGCAACGAGATGGTATAGGGCTCCTGAATTGTGTGGATCCTTTTTCTCAAAGGTGCAAAAATTATTCATGCATTTTATTTGATTGAAAGTAGCTTGCTTTTTTCCCTCTCTTTTATCATGATCCTTATTCTGGTTGGTTGATGTGAGGTTTTTTATTTATTTGCTAAATGGGCGTTCACTTTCCTCTCCCCCCCTCCCTAGAAAAAAACCTGTTACTTTGCGGTGTTGGAGATGCATTGTGCAATTAAATTTGTATTGTTGCCACATATGGAGTTAGTGTTTTAGTTCCTCTTATTTTTAAGATGACAGTTCTCTAGTTAATAGGTCATGCAGCCTGGCAGCAAAGCACTTTATAGTTAAATCTAAGATGTGCATTCTCGCTGTATTCTGTTGATTTTGTAGAAGGAAACTTCAGGCAAAGGCAAATTGGTCTCTCCAGTGAATACATTATTGGGTGTGTTTGTGTGTTTCCCATCAAAGCACAATTTGGCTGTCTGACTACTCACTTTAACGGAAGCCATGGTTTTAACATCATTTGTTCTTTGTGCAACCAGCAGTAGTTGGCCTGCTGCAGATATCCCAGCCATAGGAATTTTTCCTCTTATTTTTTTTTTCTCTAGTTGCACATTTCAAGCGTCTATTACCATCAAATGGCCTTCTACTCTATTTAAATGTGCCCATAAACCTTTATGCTTATATTCATTTCCAGTTTTTCTTGTTTTTCTTTTTTTTTTTTTTTTCATGTTTTCAGTATACCCCAGCAATAGATATATGGAGCATTGGATGCATCTTTGCTGAACTTTTAACAGGGAAACCTCTGTTTCCTGGAAAAAATGTTGTCCATCAATTGGATCTGATGACTGATCTTTTGGGAACGCCATCTGCTGAAGCCATTGCTAGGGTATGTTTTCTGCTAATAGCTTGTTCCTCCACTTTCATTTGTTTACAGTATTCTATTTAAGTCATAGCCATTCAGAACCAGTTGTTCTATGCTAAAATGGAAATCATCTGAGCAGGTACGTAACGAGAAAGCTCGCAGATACTTGAGCAGCATGCGAAAGAAAAAGCCCATTCCATTCTCCCAGAAGTTCCCTAATGCAAATCCTCTTGCACTTCGTTTGCTAGAAAGGATGCTTGCTTTTGAACCCAAGGATCGACCTACTGCTGAAGAGGTATATGTTTGTTACTTTTCATCTACTCTTTTACAATGTATAGTCTCCTTCTAACATGGATATCTTGATTGTTCTTGTCAGGCCCTTGCTGATCCATATTTTAAGGGCTTGGCCAAAGTTGAAAGGGAGCCTTTTGCTCAACCAGTTACCAAGATGGAATTTGAGTTTGAGAGACGTAGGATTACAAAGGAAGATGTTAGGGAACTCATATACCGTGAAATTCTTGAGTACCATCCTAAAATGTTGAAAGAGTATTTGGAAGGATCAGAACCAACTGGCTTCATGTATCCAAGGTATTGTTCTAAATTAACATTTGTTTTTCTGGCATCTTTAACTATATGTCATCGTATTGAACCATTTGGGTTCTATTCTTGATATTTTTTCCAACCAGCCTTAATTCATTTGGTCTGCTATGGATGCTTTATTTCCTATGTCCTTTAGTGTTGAGAGGATTTTTGTTGCTTGATATATGATTCTCTTTAAAAGAGAACTTTAGCCATTATATGCATAAATCAATTGAAGAACCTTAATTAACGGTTGCTGATTCGACTCATTGGGGTTAACCTATAAGTTCATGCCATCCAAGTCTGGAATAAAGTCATTATATACATGAACAATTAAAGAAACTTAATGCATGGTTGCTGATTCGCCTTGTTGGGATGAAGCTATAAGTTTGTGCCATCCAAGTCTGGAATCAATAGACTTCAGCCTTGGATATTTGGTGCTCATCTATAATAGTTTATTGATTTTCTTCCAAGTAGAACTAGAGCAATTATATGCACGAAATGAATACAAAACCTCAATCAATTATAGCTGATTCCCCTCATATGAATGAAGCTGTAAGTATGCCATCCGAACCCTGGAATCAATGGGCTTCCTGCCTTTGAAATACCTACTTTTGTAAATATTCCTGTAAATTAAGGCTGTCCTTGAAGGCTAGAAATCAGAGACTTTGTGCCACTGCTTTGTTGATTTAATGCATTTAGTTCAAAAGATATGTTGTTCTGCAGCCAAATGTTGATTTAATGCATCTAGTTCAAGAGATATGATGTTATGCAGCCAAGTGTTGACTCCTGATTTCTCAGATCTTTTATTCCCTATTGAGTTGCAATTCTAATTCTCCTAACTGAATAGACTATTACTCATATGCGAGTTTCTGAATGCAGTGCAGTTGACCATTTCAAGAAGCAGTTTGCTTTCCTCGAGGAGCACTATGGAAATGGTACAACTGCAGCTCCACCTGAGAGACAGCACGCATCTTTGCCAAGGTACTCTTATCAATATTAATTTGGCATGCTGCTTGCCATGTCCCGGGATGCCTCCCAGGTCTTAAAATTATACATTTTCACCATGTTTTTAAAAAGGCAAGATGATTTTATTTATAGGAGAAATAAGTACAAAATCCCATCATAGGAAGTAATAAACACCCATCAAAACCAATCCATCCAAAAGTATACCCCCAATAACCTTCATAGGAAGTAAAATATACATTTTCACCATTATGCCACCTGGTCTATTTTCTATACTGACTCCCGGATGAAAATGTTTGCATGCAGGCCATGTGTATTATATTCGGATAATTCAGTACAAAATTCAACAGATTTGACGAATAACTTATCTAAATGTTGCATCAAGGAGTCTGAGGAACGCCAAACCGAGAGAAGCTGTTGGATACCTATGACAAGGCTTCCCCTTCAAGTTCCTCAAAGCATCCAAGGTATGAATGTTTTTCTCAATAGATACAGATTGGGTTATCATTCCTTAAATTATTGTGTCCTTGTTTTTTTTCTAAGTTTATATCTCATTGTGTCTTTGTTTTTTTCTAAGTTTATATCTCTTCTTCAACATTTATTGGTATACTTGTGTCTCACTGATATTGGTAAATGGTTACAAGCACTGTCTTTCATCTCGCTTTAGAGGCATCAAATTCTTATCTCTATTTCATCTAAATCTGTAGATGGAAATACTTATTGCTTTAACTTTTCAGTGTAACTTAGCAAAGTAATATGAATGAATTAATTGATTTTCAATGTGTGCATGTAGCTGTGGTCAAGACCATAATGCGTTTAGAATTTGATGTTCCAAGAGGATTTTTGGTTTGTCTTGCAAGTTTAAAATGGTGTAATCTTTGATATCGTCCAGACCAGGGGTTAGGAGCGCGTCATATTTGACTGGTTTTTTCTTTTGTCATGATTCATTGGTGTTTTATTAATGCTTAATCTGTGTACCTTTTTCTGTGGGACAAAATGTTTTTTTCTTTTTTTTTTTTTTATAAAGACGACTCCTCCTTAAGGCTAATCACCAGTAAAAAGTTGCAAAAGTTGCAAAAGAAACATGGTTGTTACAACCCTGAAATGTAACATTTAAGGCATAATTTTGTTCATTATGCGATACAAGTACATGCTTTAAAATGACAGATGGAAAGTAAATATCCTACAAACTTACTGGGGGCAGCTGTCATGGACTTTAAAGTTTTATATAAACTGCTCTTCTCTCTACTTTTCCGTCTCCCAAACACTGCTTCTGCTCCTAGTACCCTGTAGTATTTTACAATACCAACTCATCATAATGAATGCAGCAGGTGCTCCCAGGCCTGGGAAAGTAGTTGGATCAGTGTTGCGATACAACAATTGTGGGTCAGCAGCAGCAGCTGAGAGTCTTGAACAGCGAAGAATGGTTCGGAATCCAACAGGTCCAACTCAATATACTGCCACAAACAGTTCATATCCACAAAGAAATCCAGCCAGTAAAAATGGTAGGAGAGAAGATGAAATAGTTGAAAGTTCAAATGGTTTGCAGCCAAAGCCCCAGTACATGGCTAGGAAAGTTGCCGCAGCTCAAGGCAGTGGATCCGGAAGTCATTGGTACTGACCAAATATCAGCTGCCAATGGCTAACCAAACGCCAGTGGGAATTTATTCAGTAATTGATCTTACAAACACTAGGGAGCCATCGGATGAAGTGATATTATCCGTGCTCCAGCAGAGCTGGTTAAAGAAGATCAGACAAACTACAAGTTTAGCTATGATTTGTAATTTATAAAACTAATCTCAAAGAATAGATTAAACAGTGCCTACTACCCTTCACCTCATGGTTTTCTGGTGCAGATCAATGACAAGATATAAGATATGTGAAGTTACAGAATGGAGGAAAAGGCCAAGTGAAATTTAACGTAGCAAGTTCTCTTATGTTCTCATTCTTTATTGAGGTAACTATGATGGATTTTTGTTGTCGTTTCCTTTTACCCTCCTTTTTGTACCCGAAATAAGTGCTGTTATTTGTTTCTTAACTTAAACAAGCATTTCGAGTAAGAAAATATGTTGATTGATATCTGATATTTGGTCTTAAAAGAGAAACATGTATGACTTCTGTATATGTTACAAACATTATTCCACTTTTACACCAATCCCAGCAGTCTTCATTCATAGTGTTTGAAACTAAGAGGTGACTTATCAATTGGCTTCTTGTGATTGTCACAAAATTTCATGGTTCTTACTTCGAGCTTTTAAAGACAAATAAATGCAGTAAGCTGGATTTTTCTTTTTGTCTGCTATCAAAAAAATAAATTACTGACGTGCTGACATAAGTTTCACATTCCTATATCAAAGAAAAGTGTATATTTGAATTCAAAATTTAGTTCAATTAATTTATGTGATCATCTTTGATAAAAAACATTCAATAAATATGAAGTTTGAATTTTAATAGTTGAAACATCCTATAAATTTAGAGTATGAATCCCATTCAATGCAATCTCTTTTTCTGTTTCAAGTCTCTCAAGTTATTCCTCTATGTACCCAAAAAAAAAAAATTATACATTTGCAATGAGCAACTCCGCGAATGAAGTTGACCATAGATATATGTTCAGTTAAGCTTGGCCAGAGTTAGATTTGACAATTTTGTGTATCCAATACTTTAACAAATTTCGTGTCTGACACGTAAACAATACAAAAATTATTATCACTATTTGCATTAAATACCAAACAATACACGTTTTTTAAAAAAAATTTATTAAATCAATTTTAAATAATATCATTTCCGTTCATATTTTCTTTCGAATTGGGTTTAAATATACAGTGCTATCAGATATATCTACCTAATAATCATGGTGTGATTTGTTAGATCTTAGTTAATTTTTGACAAAGAGTTATATACCATAGGCTTACTCCACAAAGATCTGAATCTGCATAAAAGCATGAATTGTGACCACATCTAGGCCTGTACAAACTCAAAAAAACACAGAGCCATTGAACATAAATTTTTCATGTAATTCATCAATGTTAGAAAAACCCCAAAAACGCCTAACGCTATATTCTAGCTTTACTTCTATTAGTTTTCATACTGAGCAGAGGCTGGGCTATATGTTATTCCCTAAATCACTGTAGTCTTGGTTTCACCCGCCGGCCATTAACATCACTGCCATCTAACCATGTTTCTTTATGATATCCACAAGCAATAACAGAATGCTCCCCTAGTTTCGCGACATATTGTAGCAGTTGAGTAAGAACACTCGGACAGCATTCCTTCACATACTCAAATCCATCTGTTTGCATCACAGCTGAAAAGAATACAACTATTTTGTCATTCCTCATGATCTCAGAGGAAAATACAAAAAAACAAATTAAAAAAGAATTACTTTTCAGAACTCAAGATCTATGCAATCCAGAACATCTATTTCATTCTAGAAGTGCAGTGGTGAAGTAGACATCTAACAGTTCATAATCACACACCACTATGGATTCATTTTGTTGGTCACGGAAAACAAAGTGATGCTCCACATATTGGTGAATAATGTACCAAGTAATGTAACTTATTGGTTAAAATTAGCATACGACATAATGCATTCTGGTTCTGGACAGAGATTCTTATATTATTAATAATGAATATAAAACAGAATTGGGTTTTCACAGTTCCTACCTTTCAAATTTTCCGGTGATGCAACAAATTTTAGACATACAGCTTTCAAATGCAAACAGTTGTGTTGTTCTGCCAAGGCTAATGTAGTTGCTACTGTGTTTATTGCAACACCCTCACAAAGTTTAGCCTCGCAGAGCAATCTCAATCTCTCAAGTGCATAACGGTCAGCAGCAGCAAGCAGATGCTGAGCCACAAGTGTAGAAGCCCATTTAGAGGCTGAACCCACAAGTTCTTCCATGTCTGGTAGGGCATCCCAGTAAATAAAATGTAGTAATGTCTGCAAATATCCAACCATGGTAATAAAAAGTTATACTCATGAAAGTTTACCAAGCCACCTTGGGAACTTTCAAAAAAAGCTCTGCAGGTTTTATGCTTAGAAAAATCTAGAAAAGCAGAGAATGCTAACTTAATGTGTTTAATCAGGAAAAAAAAGAAAAGGTTAAAATATCGGTTCATGACAAGGCAACAGGAAGCAGAGCCAAGAATCTCCTAGCATGGACCTGATAATAAAATCAGCTTCCATATTCCAACTCCATGTTCACCAAAGTAAAAGGAAGCCATGACATCTTCTGTATCAAGTTTCACAGTTGCTAAGATATGCTTCATTGCATTTTTCCCACTACCACACACAGTAAGCAACATTTAGGAATTAAAATAGATACGAATGCGAAGGAAATATCTGACACTCAGGAAATTCAATGCTGATGTTGCGAGACAAACAGCTGGATTTACTCATCCAAATGCAGTATCCTTGACACATTTAGCTGAATCACTGTTGCAGACAGCTAAGAAATTTTGTCAAAACATTTTATTAGAGTATATGATCATGAAATCTCATTGGAACATGCTAGCTGAAATTATATTTGATAATAGTCCACTAGTTCCAATAGGTAATACTAACTACACCATGTGGAAACTAATGCGAAGAGGCAGCTAGAAAAGAAGCAAAGAAGATAGTAAACCTTAGCTGAGGTTAGGAAGAACTGTGTACAGGAGCAGCACCTTAGGAGAAGAATCCCAATGTATGCTCCTGTATAAACGATCCTGTATGGCACACAATTATTCACCTACCAAAAAGAACCAACAGACCTACCTCTTCCTAGGAAACTTGCTATACCAGAAAAAAAATGCTTATATAAAAAAAAAAGAGTTGTGATTATAAGTTCCTAAGAAACACAAAGAACTAGATGGGGATAGTTTAGGAACAGCCATTATCTCATGCCCCTAATCACAATAACTTGTGCTTCATAAAACAAGTTAAGCATTTAATAAACTTTGAAATTTATGATACACCAACAGAAAGACAAATCTCACGCGAAATCTCAATCCATGAAACCAGAAAAAATAATACTATAAAACCATTCCCTCTATATAACAATTAACACTAAGACATCACATCAATAAAAACAGACTTCTCTTTCTTGATACCTATTACCATTCAGTTAGTGATGAAGAAAATGAACATTACGAAGCTTAAATTCGATGTACAAGTCTATGGGGACTCTATTAAGAACTCTCTAGCAATGGCAACTAATACACAGTAAGAATCCACCAAGTAGCATTCTGATGAGCCTTCATCGTTCCCGTCTATATATAAATTGTGTAACTAGAAACAGTTGATTACAAGGATGAAAAAAAGCCCAAAGTTGCTTAAGTGAAGAAAAAGCCTGCAATATATATATATATATATATATATATATATATATATATATAGACATACATACATACATACATATTTGTTGCTTCTTTCTTAGGCGCTGATATTAATCATATCAGGTTTAAATCTGACTTGATAGTTATAGACTACCACAAAGCTACCAAAAGAGCTAGAGAAGATCAGAAGGAAAGAAAATGTAAAGAAAGAAATTATCACAAAGGAACATAACTAATTGGAGTTTCAACACCTATAAAACCCTAAGCATCTGGTATAGTTGAAAACTAGATCTATTTTTTAGCAATATTACGAGGTTAAGGTTAAGAGGGAAAAAAGGGGGGGGGGGGAGGAAAAAATTGGAAATAAGATTATGTCAAGAGAGAAGGGAACCTTAAAAACAGGGGCTTCCATATCTTCTACTCTAATGCACTGGCTGTTTCTATCCTTCAATGGACCAAAAAATTGTGCCCTGAATACAGGTGAACGAGCTGCCAGAACCAACTTGTGAGCATCAAATATTTCCCCATCAACTTCAAACTTCACATCAGCTCCCTTTCCACTTTCTAATAGCCTCCCAAAATGCTGACCAAGATCAGAAGGTGGTACCACAATGGAATAAATTTTAGGTCCCTCTGTATGTGACTTAACTACACCAACACAACAGCGAATTGAGAGGCAATCATCTTTAAGGTAGTCTGATGTCTCCAGAAGAGTTCTTTTGAAAAAGCGTTTATAACCCCTACAACACATAACAATGGCAGCCATTTAATGATGTTTTCACACAAAATAAAACACAAAACCTCACCACATACTCCCCCAATAACTCATTTGATTTCCCTATCCCATTGGTGAAGAAAACCACAAATTGACATTGAATTTTCATAACTCGCCTTCCATAATGTAACCAGGCAAACAACTCACTCTCATTTGAAACTGTCAACAATAATAATCTACACCAATTAACCATTATCAATTCTAACTATCAAGGCCAAAATTCAATCAAAGATAAAGGCAATAAAAGTACTTTTACAACGCAAAACAAACATAAAAAAACTCACCACATGCTCCCACGATACTTAAGTGCGTAAGGCCCGCTCTCAAGCACCCTCCCGAAATGGCTATGCATTTTGTGACGACCTTTCCCACTCTGGTCCAAAAGGGTCAACTCAAAAAGGGCCCTTACGTCCGTTCCTTCACTTGCCAGAGCAATAAAAAGCGAAACGTAAGAAGCATTATCCTCAGCACTCTTGCCATCCGGGTAAAAATAAATGGCCCATTCATAGCCACCCACCATAAAAGTCTCTGAAGCTATGTATTTGCCCACCCCCATGCCCTTTGCAAGGGAGTAACCGCTGATCTTGAACTGGTGAGACCCATTCACCGTCTCGGTTCGAGATGTCGAAGAGGTTGAAGAAGATGAACAAGGAAAAGAAGTTGAGGGTTTTGGGAGTTGTCTGTGGAAGCTAATTGTGCCCATCAACTATGGAAGGGTAAATTTGGGATTTTGAAGATCTGGGTATTGTTATTTTGGTAGAAAAGGAAATTGAAATGAGAAATCGGTGAAATTTTACAGTTCTTTTGGGTTAATTGGGAATCGAAACTAGGAGGGGTTTTTGCGAAGGGGAAGCGAGATTTTTGAAGGTAAGTTTATTTAGAAACTGAAGAATTGGGAATTTCCTATTTTGATTGGAATCGAAAATTGCTAGGATACGAATTAGGGTTTTATTGATCGAATTGTCGTTAATTTGGATCAAAACTTAAGAACCCTAATTTGAGAGAAGCCTCGAAAACAGTAAAGAATTAGGATATTTGATCAAGAGGCAGATATGCCGATGGATGAAATCGAAAAAAAAAATTTGAGAAACTTGAAATTTGGAGATTGAGAAAATTGGTTCTGGGAATTTAGGGACAAGATTGAAAAATTTGCAAATTGGAAATTGAGGGGAGAGGTGGCGAAAGCTGTTTTTGATAATGATTAAGCCTGACGGCAGAGTTTAAGAGAGTGATATTGTTTTAAAAATGTTGAATGAAATGGCACCTTTATGGAAGGAACCTCGAAGTTTCTCAATTCCCAAAAGGAAAGATCTTTGATTTTTAAGTGCTACTAAATTCACTCAACCCTTTCTCATTTTTGTACTCTAATTTTTTATTTAATTTTTTTAAGTAAAATTATTTAATTATTTTTTCCTTTCAAATAAATTTTTAAAAATAAATTTCTAAAAAATTTTAAAAGTTTTGAGAAATGAATTTATGAAAACATTTAAAAAATTCTTGAATCTTATAAAAATATTTTAATATAAAATCTTATAAAATTAAATATGAAATTAAATAAAAAATAACAAGCGATTTATTTTTAATTTTATGTTTTTCTTACTTCAAATAGGTTAATTTTTAAGTGCTTTTTCACTTTTAAGGACTTTAATTGTTTGTTTTTTTTACTTTTTTATTTAATTTTGTGTTTAATCCCATAAAATTTAGTGTTAAAATGTTTTGATATGTTTAAGAATTTCTAAAAATAAATTTTTGAAAAATCTTAAATGTTTTTGAAAATAAATGTTCGAAAGCCTTAAAAAACTTTCGAAAATTATTTCTTAAAAGTTATATAAATTTTTGAAAATTTATTTTTGAAAAAATTTATTTTTGAAAAATTGTGTGAAAATTTAATGGTAATTAAGTAATTTTATTTAAAAAATTTTTGAAACAAAAAGTTGAGGTATGTAGATAAAATGTTGAGATGCATTTAATAACATTAGGGTTGACAGTCTAATCCAAGCCTATCGGGTTCTGATTTAACTCAATTTCATAAGATAATTTTTTTTTAAATCGAGTTTTGAGTCGAGTTGGGTCAAATATTATTAAAAAAAATTGGGATCAGATCGGGTCGAGTTTAAGTTTTAGACAAATCCGATCAAATCAATATTATATTAATTTTTTAATTTTTTATTTAAATATAATTATATAATTATATTTTAAAAATAATATTTTATTAATTTCGAATCGAATCGGATACTGTTTATATAATATCAGGTCAAATTTGAGTTTTATTATTATAAAATCAAATCAGATTCGAGACGAAAAAAAAATCATCTCAACATGTTCTGTTGCCAACCTTTAGCAACACTCTTGATTTTTTTAATTGTTTTGGACAATGAAACCCAAAAAGATAATTTACATATTTATATTGTAATTATTTTATATCAAATATATTTAAAATATAAAAATTATTATATCATAAATCATATGAATATCTCAAATAAATTTTTTTTAATGTTTACTAAATATATAATTTTTATTAAATTTTAAATCGTTCATCTTTTAAGATTGATTTAAACTAATAGCGGATGGCTCGGTCATTGACAATCCAAATGGAGCAGGTGTAGGGGCTGTTATACATGACCATAATGGTAATTGGTTTGCAAGCTACCATAGACATATTGGAAGAACTACGAGTGCTGAAGCTGAACTTTGGACTCTTAGGGACGATCTCTTCTTGTTGTCAAGAAAATTCACCATCTTGAATTTGAGCTTGATTCTGTTGTGGTTATCACCTTCATATCTGTTCCAAACCTTAGCACTACTAACTATATTTTAGGACCTCTCATTTGTGATTATAGGATTCTGTTGAACCGATTGCAGCAGAGAAGCGTTTCTCACATTTTTCGTGAAGCCAGAATCAATAAATCAATAACTTCATTCAATCAAACTCAATTGAAGCATAAATTAAAAATTAAAACTTAATTTTTAATGATACAAACTAAGAATTTATATTTTTGCAACATATTCAAATATGAAAAAGCGAAACTAAAATTTAACAATTTAAATTTGATTCATGGTATTTATACTATTTAATATATATATTAAAATTAAATTACATTAATAATTGAATATATTTATTCATAATTAATTAAGTTCATTAGTATTATAATTAAATAAGAAATTATAAATTTCCTTTTATGATTAAAAGAAAATTTTTAGATATTTAAGAACAATTAAAATCTAATAATTTTTTGAAAAAGTAAAGAATAAAAGCAATACATTAAAAGGTTGAATTCTACAAATGAAAAGTTCGGTAAAAATAAAAAAAAATTATAATGTACAATTAAATTTGTAATTTTATGTGTACAATATATTTAGGTAGTTGAATTTTTTTAATTGTATTTTTTTTTTGCCTATATAAAAATGTTTTGATATAATAATTAAAATCATTATGCTTGTTTAATTAATGAAAAAGAAATTTTCATTTTGAAGAACTAAAAAATTCAATGAATAATGATTATATTAAAAAAAGATAAATTTTTTATAAAAAGGGAAAGAAAATTAAATTATTTATTGCATCTACAAGTAAAATTTTTAACAATTTATAAAATTTACCATATCATTACAATTGTTTCTAAAAAAGGGCGTGCAAAATATGATTTTACCATCTTTTTGATGAAAATATCCTTAACTAAGGAACCATGGGGGGCCAGGGCCCCATCTTATTCCATAAATATCTTCCTCTCCCTCCATTTCAGTTCAACATAAAATTTGAAGCTCTAATTGGAATAATCCATGGTGGTTGAGAAAGAACTTTGCAATTTTGCTTTTATGCTAAACCATGTTTTGGAGCATCAAGAAGCAAAAGCCACAGTACTTGATACAAGCAGAGGAGCTAATAAAGCAGTTTGTGTGTAAATTTCTCAAAACATCCCCTTTTGAAACAAAAAATTCAGTTCAATAATTATCTGGCCAAGAAGAATAGTCCAGACATATTCATGTAGTTTAAGGGATTAGAAGCAAAGGCCTTGGGTCCCATTACAATCTTTAACTTGACACAATAAAACTCTTGCTGTGACCAATCCCTGCAAGCTATAGCCGACCAAATCGTCACAACTGTAAACAAATTTTAATTACTAAATGACAACAAGAAACTTGGAAACAAGCCCAAGTCAAGTAAACAACCAATCATCCTAAAAATTAAAAGCAATGTTGACATTATATTGCTTGTTTGATTGTTATTGTAGGTGATTGATAGACCTATTCAAATCCAGTTGTCTTTAAATTAATCATAATTTTATGTTGACAGTCCCACATTATCTTGAATCCAGATCATCATCATTTCTTTTCTGACAGCATCCTTCGTAGGATGCATTTTCCAAATTGGTTTGATGAGAGCATGACCTGGTAAAATAACATTAGTTTAAAAGGTGGTTGGCTGCATTAATTATTTATTTTCATTTCTAAGCAGCGACTTGGATGCAGGCCTGTCAATTTATATATATTATATATATATATATGTTTATTTCGTGTGTAATACATAAAAGATACGAAAATCGCCGATTCTAATTGGATGTGTAGAAGTGAATGCTTCCAAGAAAAAAATGAAGGGTAAGGTAGATCAAAGGAGATGGAATAAACCAAGCAATCTCCTCGTTTATATATGTGCATTGGCTGCATCTTTTTCCTGGCTATGCTCCTTAAAAGATTATCATTTCAAGTTTCTCAAATGGGATGATTCAAATAAAGCAATCACCACTCTTTGAATATTAGAAACTCCTCCACTCCAAGCCATTCTTTTAACATCTAGTTGTTCAACAAAATTTTCGTATTCTTCCTGAAGAATTAAGCATCTCGTTTTCTACAGGCTGGTTTGATCCTGAAACATGGACCGTGGAAGTTCTTTGGAAGATGATGGAATTGTTCGTTTGCAGATTAACGAGCTTCGAAAGCTTAGTAAGAACAGTGGTTCAAACACCATTTTTGAACCCCAAAGAAGTCCTGTAGAATCAGTCTCTTCAGCGCCGGTGGTTCCAGCACCAGAAAAGAAACTAACACTCTTTGCTCTTAGGCTTTCAATCATTGAGAAGACAGCTACTGGCCTTGGAACTCTTGGGTTTATCTGGGCAACAGTAGTTCTTCTAGGTGGTTTTGCTATCACTTTAGATAAAACTGACTTCTGGTTTGTCACCATTATCTTGTTAATTGAAGGAACTCGAATATTCAGCAGAAGTCATGAGCTTGAATGGCAACACCAAGCTACATGGTCGATTACTGATGATGGAATCAATAGTTTCCGGGCACTGAGATCCACCTCACACATCCTCATTAAAGCCATGAAAACAATCTTCTATCCACTTTCCTTGATGAGGAAGCAAAGTAAAAATACTAGAGAAATAACACCACCTGGTCATTCACAAGTTGGAAGATGGAATCATAGAGGAGCCCCAACTCGAACATGGATAAGTTCAGATGTTCCTCTTCTACCTGGTAAATGGGTTTTCCATTCAAGAAATATAAGCAAAGTCCTGTACTGGCTCCAGCTTTTATCTGCAACAACTTGTGTGGTACTTTCATCCATGAAGCTCATCAAGCGTAACTATGGGGATGTACAAAAGGGAGATACTGATAAAAGGAACCGGGAATCTGCTCTGACTATTTTCTATGCCTTGGCCTTGGCAGAAGCTCTGGTGTTTTTGATGGAGAAAGCTTATTGGGAGTGGAAAGTCATATATTGTAAACTTTTGGAGGAAGTGAATAAGGAGTGCGAATTCGGTCCTTCAGGTATGGTTTCGATCAAAAGGTTCTTCTATGATGCTTATTCAAGATGTGTTAATGGAAGCATATTTGATGGCGTGAAAATGGATATTGTTACTTTTGCTATGGATCTGTTGGCTTCAAATTCCCCTGATGAACAGCTCATTGGAGCTAGAACTCTTCGCCAGTTTGCGATTAGTCCAAAATATTCGGATGACACCTTGCAGAAGATTGGGATAAATTTATCAGTGATGGAAAGATTAGTTGAGATGTTGAACTGGAAAGACCCTCAAGAAGAAGAGATCAGGAAATCAGCTGCTGAGATACTGCCAAAACTAGCTGGTAAGAAGCAAAACTCTCTGCGTGTAGCTGCCATACCAGGTGCAATGGAATCAATATCATCTCTGCTTCATACAAATAGAAATTGTGGTGATGGAGCAGATGAAATTGGTGAAAAGAACATCATTCTTGATCATCCAAATTACAGTTTCTGGACATTCAATCATTTAGGACTTCTTATTCTGAAAAAGCTTGCTCGTGATCATGACAACTGTGGAAAGATTGGAAACACAAGGGGCCTGTTACCTAAAATCATAGATTTTACACATGCTGGAGAAAAGTTGTTGATGGATGAAAATGTTGCACCATCTCAGATTCTAACTGTTAAACGATCTCTGCAATTGGTGAAAATGCTGGCGAGCACGACTGGTGCCACAGGAAAACATCTCAGAACAGTAATCTCAGAGGTAGTTTTCACAATCAGCAACATTAGAGATATTTTAAGACATGGAGAAAAACACCCAATGCTTCAAAAACTAAGCATAGAAATTCTAACCAATCTGGCACTGGAAGAGGAAGCAACAGAAAGGATTGGTGGCACTGGCGGGGTACTAAAGGAGTTGCTCAATATTTTTCTCAACCAGGGAATACCAGAGCAACAGAATTACGTACGACGTGCTGCAGGAGAAGCGCTAGCCATGTTGGCCTCAGAAAGCAGAACCAATTGCCACCGCATCTTGAAATTGCAAGCACTGGAAAGGCTTGTGAAAGCATTGGAGGTTCCATTACTTCGTGTGAATGCTGCAAGAATTTTAAGAAACTTGTGCACCTACAGTGGAGAAGAATGCTTCTACCAGTTAAAGGGTGCCATAGCTGCAGCACCAACAGTAAGTGTTCTCTTCCATTCAACAAGAAAGCTATACCATTTCATATAAGTTAAAACATAAGCTACAACATATATTTGCACTCGTCTCTTGCCAATTTGCAATGGTTATAGACTATATTCACAGGCGGATCCAAAATTTTCCTTTGAACACCTGTTCTGTCCATAAAATTGGTAGCTCTGTCGACAGTTTTTTACATACATTATAAGTGGACACAGCTGAAAAATAATCCTGAATCCGCCGCTAACTATATTCCTTCCATTTGAGTCTTGATATTTAACCATTGTGGCAGGTGCTCAAGGCAATTATGTCAGAAGAGAACAAGTTGCAAGAAGTAATGGTTGGACTAGCAGCAGAAGTGTTCAAACACTTGACATCTGAAGAATCAAGCATCATGTTTGAAAAAGCTGGAATCAAAGAGGAGGAATTAGCTAAAGCATTGGTTCAGATTCTTCAAAAGCACAGCCATCCATCGGCTAAGGTCCCAAGAATAAGGAGGTTCACCGTAGAGTTGGCAATTTGGATGATGCATGACAATGTGAAGAATGCATACATTTTTGAGGATTTGGGAATGGAGAAAGAGCTGGAGGGTGTGTTAGAGACCACAGCAGAGATAGAAAGCTTCAACATGTTCTCTGGCACTGTTGGGCTTAGGCGGCACAGCACAACAATTCACTCACTGGTTGAAACTGCATTGAAGCTGCTGAAGGAAAAATAAACAGTACAAAATACATCAGTTCAAGTGTTTGAATAATCGGTCTAGTGAATATACATTCATAACAGCTAAAGCAGATTCTTTTTCTCTAAGCAATAATCAATGTTGATTGCTATAAATTATTCTTTTTATTTTTCAGGTTCTATATAAAATTTTTTAGTATTTTTTTGTTAAAAATAAATATCTTTTTGTGCCAGTGAATGCTACATTATCAAAACTTCCACTGTACCAAAAAATCAAACAAGCAAATTAAACAGTAACCTACTCAGAAATTTTAGGACCAATTGCACAATTGTATAGTTGACAACCAAAACCTGGTATTGACAGACAATCATTACATATTTTTCCTGAACAAAAACCGATAGATGATGAAAGCCAATGTCAATAAAATCAACTTTCTTAACACATTGACAAACTTTTTTCCCTTTTTTTTTTTCTTGTTGCCTTTCCTTTTTTGTTGATCATTTTACAATGCTTCAATTCCTACGCTATCTTAGTTACAAAACAATACAATCACCAGGCAGTCCAAACAATGTCATCTTTAACTTTCACCGACAGTTTCGACAGAAGTTGAGATCCCAGAGACGAATCAAACCATCTATGATGTTATTAAAGGGGATTCCAACAACTCTTACAGTGGCTCTTGTGCTAGCTGACATGCCAGCATCAGATGAACTTTGGATGCTTGCTGAGGTATCGATTCGTGCAAAGGTCCCTATACTGCCTGATTCCGCGGTTGAAGGAAGCGCATCAAACGCAGGTTCCACAGATGACACACTAGTATCAGGAGATGTGTGCTCCAGGTTGACATTGGTGCTATTGATTGCTATGGTGGATTCTGTCTCAATGGGCGCATGATGTGGTACCTCAGCTGATATGGTTGAAGAAGTCAAAAACGTCCCCCTGATCATTTCTTTCAAAAGCCAAGGATCCTTCATTTTACACCCAAGGGTAAAAAACTCTTCAGATGCTTTTTTAATTGAAAAAAAATGAAAATAAATTGACATTAAACATACGGGTAGAAGAAAAGACAAATGGGATAATGGATGGACTCGACATAAGTAATAAAGGATGGGATGGAGCTCACGTGCGACAGTGATAAGAGGCAAATGGGTTGACATATCTAGGGAATAAGGAGGAAAACATACGTATGTTAGATGTCAGAATTTAACCAAAGGAAATATAATAATATGAAGCTGAAACGAGGCAACATTTTATTCAAACTCTTATGAGCCCACAAACATAAACACCCTCAGCCTCCTTCCTCCCTCACTGATTTCAACGCACGCTCAGGCAGGCCACAGCCTCTTCCAGTCACAAATTCAACGATTTTTTTCCAACCCCATTCAAGTTCAACAGCAATTAACCAAAAAAGAGGTAATTTTTTACCTTCAAATTTCTTCTTCTTCCACACTTGATCTCGATTGAGGTTGAATTTGAGTGATTCAATTCAAGATCAAGGGTTGCTGATTTTTTTTTTTTGCTATTTTCTCTTTCTCACTTTCATGGGTTCTGCTAATAATTGAATTATTGTTTTTATTTTTGATGTGATTTTTGTTGGCATGTGATTCTTATTTCAATTGATTTCTTTTTCCTTGTAATTTTCTGATCTACTTGCAAAGACTTGAATATCCTTCAGTGCTAAGCCCTTCTCCTTATTGGATATCGTTATCAAATATATCATAAAACTTGTTGAGCTAGAGATAGAATACATCGCTTGTTAAAACTATGAAATAGAATTCTATATAACTAATACTCACATACCCTAACATTTCCTAAGAATTAAGGCATTTAAAAATGCATTTTTTTGAATTAAACAACAGAATAATTCAAACAAAAGCTTAAGAGGGTGTTGTGAGCTAAGTATTTCTAATGATGATGGACCTTATTGTGGATTGTAATGAGCTTTACTCAAACTAGGCCATGTTAGTTTATTCTTGTTAGTTGTTTATTTCATTTCTTCAATATTTTGTTTGCAATGGCTCTATACTTCTTCTTTCTTTCTCTGTTATTCAAGTTCTGGAATATTGTGTTGCAATTTAAGCCTTGTCAATTGTTTATCATAATATTTATAAACTAGTATACTCCACATTGAAATTATTTTTTAAGATCAAATCTTGAAAAATATGATTTTGTTAAAATCTCATGGAAATAATTTGAAGTTTTGAAAAAGAAATATAAAGTCAAATCTTCTTACTTGGATTAAGCAATCTGTTTTGTTTTGAATCAAAATTCTTAACATGAAATCATAAGTAAATGTAGTATATGGTTTTTCTTATGCATTAAGTTGTTTATCCATTATTAACATCTTATTCCAATCAATATATATATATATATATATATATATATTTCTAGGGATTAAGCTATAGCTTAATCTTGAATTTTGCATATGTACTTCAATTTTTTTAAATTTTGATACCGTATTTTTAATTTTTTTTATTTTTAGGTAAAAATTAATAAAAATAAATTTTTAATGAAATGTTTTGTTAATGCAATTGTATTTTCAATTTCATTGATTTTAAATAAAAAGTAATAAAATTAAATAAATTGATTTTAAATAATTAACTAATAAATTAAAATATAAGTAAATAAATTTAACATAAAATTAAATTAAATTCACATAATAAAATTTAAACTTAAATTTTAAAATTTTAAAACTTTTTTCTTCACACTAAACTATTATTTAGTTTTAGGAGTAGAAGGTTAAAGCAGAGGAAGGGGCAGTGCAGCAATCAAATCAAACATTGCATTTGCAGGAAAGAAGAGGGAATGGCTTTAAATGGAAACAGTTGTTGTTGGATTCAGGAGCGTCTCTTAAGTGGAAAGGGAAGTGTGTTCCCCAATCCCATCCATCGGCCCTCTGCTACCATTTTGCCCTGCAAGTCAACCGCCCTCTCCTTTTCCTCCTCCCTCCAACTGCAAGGTATCTCTTTTTTTTTTTTTTCCTTCATTTCATCCTTTTCATACTAATAAAATATTAATATATATTGATAAAATCAGGAGTTGCGGCGGATAGGAAGCAGCGCTCCTCCTTTGTCCAAGCACCGGCCATCCGTTGTGTAGTGGGATCCCTTACCAAAACTCAAGGCCTTCGCTTTGCTGTGGTCTGTTTTCCTTTAATTGCCATTTGCAATTTTTAAGTCAAAGATTGTTTCTACTGCTTACTGCTTTTTATGTGTGGATTGATTATTATTATTATTATTATTATTATTATTATTATTATTATTATTATTGTAATTGGTTTATTTTTATTACATTGTCAAAGGTTGTCGCCCGTTTCAATGAGATTGTGACAAAGCAGCTCTTGGAGGGAGCTCTGGACACTTTCAGCAAGTATGCAGTTAATGAAGAAGACATTGATGTGTGTAGCAACCACTAACAACCCTCCTACTCCTACATTATATACTAAAATAAAAGCTTCCTTTTATCTCCTATCTCTATCCCTAGTTACATGTCTGCTTTGTCCATCTATCTATCTACACGCCTGCGCTTGCTTTGCTACTGCTGCTGCAAATGTTAACAATTATTTTGATAGAAATGCTATCAAAGTCTTTCTCTTCTATGATTCATGTTTTGCTCTGGATATCTTCTTATTTACAACAATCCTTTTTTCAGCATGTGAATCTTTTGACCAAACTCTTTCATTAATATTTAGATAACATTTAGCCAACTTTTAGCATGGCTTGATCATGTCTTCACTTTCTTATCAGGTTGTATGGGTCCCGGGTTGTTTTGAAATTGGTATTGTTGCAGAAAGGCTGGGGAAGTCTCAAAAGTATCATGCAATTTTATGCATTGGGGCTGTGGTATGATTTCTTTCATATTCCTTGGAAATCTTCTCATAAAACTTTTTGTCTGCTCATGAGGGGTCCTTGCAAATGCTATTGCTGATTACATTTTACTGAATTTGTTAATCCTTGATCTCTTCATTGTTAATAGATAAGAGGAGATACTTCTCACTATGATGCCGTGGCTAATTCTGCAGCATCTGGGGTGCTTTCAGCTGGCTTAAACTCTGGTCAGTCTTCATGTTTAACGTTATTTTGTAGAATCCATTTCATGTCGAATGCTACCTTGGCTTCAAGAGTCAATTGCAGATTGCATCTCACCTATGAATTAAGACAATTGGATTTACATTGATCAAAAGCATATATCTCGCTGTTGTTGTTTATTCATGCATATGCATTTAACCATTTTGATGTTGTGGATCTTGTAAGCTTGGCTTACAAATTTTTAGACTGCAAGTGTAACCATTGTCAAATCATCTTCGATATGTGCTATTTTCAAGGTGACTTCTACTTTGTCACCTTATATTCCTAATCTTTATGGATTTTACTCTTACTTGATTACATAATACTATTATGATAATCAGTTAATCGCAAATTCCATTCATATTCTCTTCATTGTTTTTTAGACAGCACAAGAGAACACATTACAAGATACTTTGGTTTTGAAAAGTTGAAAGTTACTATCCTTTCAAACTGGGAGGACAATTTTTTATGTACCTGTTGTCAAATAAGATCTGCACCAATATCATGCCCTGGAAACCTGAAAGATATTTCTATAGAAAATGGTTACCTGAAATTTCTCATGAATTAATTAATGGAGTAACCCATAGATTACTTGGCTGTTGGTCTCTTTCCTTATATTTGTCAATTTTGTATTATTTCTTCTGATTTGAAGCTGTTACTTATCAACTTTGTAGGTGTTCCTTGCATATTTGGTGTTTTGACTTGTGATAACATGGACCAGGTATGATACAAAAGTTGCATAAAAGATCATTTTGCATTAAGAACTCTCTCGTTCTTCTTGTTAAGCCAGACCCAGATGGGTTGTTCACTGGAGCTGCTTGGACAGCTATAATGGGGCTGCCTCTCTAGCTTCCTTCACATTACTCTGAGAGGGAGGGGAAATTCTTATGTCATGCTTGTGTAGGTTGTGCATCCCAACTCCCAAGTGACTGTGAGGGTAGTCTTGTGTATGTCATTGCCTTGAGAGTAGTTTTGAGATGATATGTTAGAATATAAGCGGGGGTTGGTGTTTTACATTTTTGGATGCAATTATCATTCAATCAGGGCGTGGCAAGAATGGAACTTTTTATGATTGTTTTCTTTCACATGACAACTGTAGGCATTAAATCGAGCTGGTGGTAAATCTGGGAACAAAGGTGCTGATTGTGCTTTGACAGCGGTGAGTTGATAGTAGAGTAATGGAGTATTATTTAGTAGAAGCAGTTACAAAGTTAATATTTATTTATTTATTATTGGCATTTATTTTCAATTTCTTAATAATTCCAATTTAGTTATTAGGAGTTGACTGGAGGTGAGTAAATAGAGAAGGGGATTACCATCCCCTAGCTCCATGTCGCTAATGAGCGAGCCTGTTGGTCTATGTTGCGAACTTTTCCTGCACAAGGGTAGGGTTGAGACCATTCAACCAGAATTCTACTTGTTCCCATTGTCTTTGGCTCTTAGCAATACTCTAAATAACCTCTGGTACTTCTGGGTTATTCACTGGTTATGATGTGTGACGTAACCACACCGGCATAACTAATTTGGTGCTTGAGTCACTTCCATTGTTTGTCTTTGATAGATTCTGTTGATAATGATAATGATTAGAGTTAATGTAATGAATGACCTTTAAACTATAGTGAATTGTTGAATGTGGTACCTTAACTTTAAAAATTTTCAATGTGGTACCTAAACTATAAATCTGCTAAAAAAAAATCTCTTAGTTGAGGTACCATATTAAAGATTTTTAAAGTTTTGGTATCATATTGAATATTCACTATAGTTTAGAGGCCATTCATGACATTAATCCTAGTGATTATAATGCGTATAATTTTCCTTTGCTTAGTGCAGTAACTCCTTTGTTAACTTGCAAGAAAGCTGTGCATATCTGGCTAGCCAATGCATATTTATATGAATTACATCTAAAATATTGTGACTCAGTTAAGGATTAATGTTATGATATTTGCTTTTGTGCTTCTCAAAGATGATTTTACCAACTCTCTCATTTCTTCTTACTACCCCATCCTTCTCGTTTCAGTAACTGCCTTCATATATTTGTGATGTGTTCCATTACTGATAAAGGATTTAAGAATTTGATAAGAATCTGAATAGAGGTGAATCTTTATCCTTTATGCGCTAAGTATGATAAAATATAATTATCACTGCATTTTTCTGATATCATTTTCCCCTGTCGTCTGCTTCTATGTTAATGCTTGCATTATCTGATTAGATATCCAGACTGTCTCGTACATGTTGATAACACATGGCAACAAGGAAAAAGTGCTTAAACTTTTTCTTTTCTTCTAAATTCTTAACGGTTCAATTTCTTTTGGATTGTATTGCAGATTGAGATGGCTTCCTTGTTTGAGCACCATCTTAAGTAGTGGCACTGTTATTCGTGACATGATAGGGAGCTCGACGTGATTGGATGCAGCACTCTTGTTCCTGGTATTTTCCTTCTTGGGAGTGAGTGTTTTTTGTTGCTATAGGATAATCTCTTTGTGGGAAGTTCTTGGAAAAGCAAAATGGTAGACATAGATCCTGAAACCATAATCCGCAATCTGCTTGTCTCTTAACTTCTTCGAGAATTGTCATTCCATTGAAGCATGTTTGATGTAATAAATTACCAGTGCTTTATATATATATATATATATAATGTAGACACACATATGTGCGAGAGCGCATAAAACTTGGGTTATGACTTTGGTACGATGAGAAGGGACCGTCCAAGTGAATAAGAATCTATTATATGACAGTAAGTAAGATTGATTCGGATGAGATTAAAAATATTAGTGGTGATAAGATTAGTTATAATAGTAATAAAATTAAAATCAATGGTAAAGCATGTGTTTAAATGTAAACACAATAATGGCAGTGAGATAAAATATAGTGAAAATAAAAAATATGATTAAAGATGTTATTTTAAAATTTGTATATAATAAAAATTTTATATTATTTATTAAAAAAATCAAATAAATAATTAAAAATTAATAAAAAAGAATGTACTAATTTTATATATTTTTTCAATTTTTACTTTATTTATTAATTAGTTTATTATATAATTATAAAAACATTTATAATATTAAATTAACAAATTTATTTTAAAGTTTTTAAATAAAAATAAAATGAAAAAACAAAGTCTAAGAAGGGGGGACATTTTTGTTTCCACGATATTATCGATATATAAAAATGTAATTTTCAAAAGTCTTAATAGTGATGGATCTAAATATTAATATGAATTTTTAAATTAATAAATTTGTCTATAAATATAAAAGTTATATCAATTTATTAAAGTTTAATTTAAATCAATTAAAATTAGAAATAAAGTTTATATGAAATTAAAATAATTAAAATTCTAAAATTTTATTTTCAAATGTGTTAAAAGTGATTGGTTAATATATCTTTAGTAAATTGTTTTATAAATTTTAATTTAAATGAATATTTTTTATTATTAAATTTTTTTATAATTAGATTAAAAAAGTATTAAATGCTAATATTCGGTTTATGAAATTTTAATTTGAAAAATGTTATAAGTGATTGATTAAAATATCATTAGTAATTTTTTTAAAATTTTAATTTAATTGATTTTTTTTATTATTATATTTATTTTAGTAAGTAGAATTTTTTTTTACATCAAATAAAAATAAAAATGGAACGAGATGAAAGCATAGTGTGCATGAGAGTAAAACAATTATATAAAGTTTGTTTATTTAGTTGTTGGAAAAATAATTATATATATAGTTTGTGTTGATAAATAAATTCAATAAAAATAATTATAATTAAGTCATTGAACGAATATTTTTTTTATGTCTTTTAATTTTTTTGTTTTAATATATTGATTATATATATGTTAATGATTTTATTATTTATATGTTTTATGAGTTGATCATTTGATCATTAATAATATAATTAAATCTTTTAATCTTTTGAAATAATTCTTTAACATATTATTTTTATAATTTAATTTAACTTTTATAATTAATTTTTTATAATTTTTCTCTAAAATTTTATAATTATTATTTTATGGACAAAAACTAATATCAAATCAAATGTAAATCAATTGCATCATCTCTACTAATAATTAATATTATGTAGTTTATTGAATATTTTAATTAAATTTTTTGTCTATAAAATTAAATGATTTTGGATATTGTGAAATTATTAATAATTTGAGATTGAATTTCGTCAAATTATCATGTGAATTATTCACCTTGCTTAAAACAGAAATACGGAGATCCATCGGCTAAGGTCCCAAGAATACGGAAGTTCACCGTAGAGGTGGCAATTTGGATGATGCATGTCAATGTGAAGAATACATACACTTTTGAGAATTTGGGAATGGAGAAAGTGCTTGAAGGGGGGGCGATGTTAGAGACCACAGCAGAGATAGAAAGCTTCAACATTTTCTCTGACACTGTTGGGCTTAGCTGGCACAGGATCAATTTTACAATTGTATATTTGACAACCAAAACCTGGTATTGAGGGATTTTGCACCTTAAGTTCTTTTTTTCACCCCGCATTATTATTAATATTCATTTTTTTTTTACACCTCAAATGAAAACATAAATTTATTAAAAAATTCAAACACCTATCTCCTTACATCTCCTCTTCTTCGACCAAAAGGCAGTAAACCCTTCAAGAATTAAGCCCTAAATTAAACTTCAATCACCAATTTGACATTAGATAGTTTAGAATAAGAGGTAAATCACTTTTTTTTGTTTGATTTTATATTTACTTTCAAAAGATTTAAGATTTTAAGTTTTGATGTACAATTTATAATACAATTCATGTATTCTGAAAATTAATTTTCAAAAATTATTAAAAATTTTCAAAAATAAATATCTAAAAACTTTTTCAATGTATAAAAAATTATTTCCTAAATCATTTAAAAGCTTCTAAACATCCATGTAAGAAAACTTCTAAGAATTTTTTAAAATTTTTAATAATTTTTAGAGATTCATATCATTTAAAAGCTTTCAAAAATAAATTTTTGATGCACACTAACATAGCATTGTAACAAAGATTAACTCTAACAATGTTATTAGCATAATGACAAATTTAATAATAAAAAATTTTAATCTTTTAACCACTAGACATTGTTCGTTTAATAACGTTTGTAAAATTTTTGTAATTTTAACAAATGTACATTTAAGAGAAATTGTTAAGTGGAGATCCTCATGTAAGTTGGTTACTGCATCATGTCCAATAGAATATGATTGACTCATAGCACATATTACAATAACCACTTACACGAATGTCTCTTTATAATTACTGATTTTTTTCATATACATATTTGTTAGAATTGAAAAAATGTTACAAATATTATTGAACGATTAATACAATCAAAATATTAGAGATTTTTACTATTAGATTTAAAATAATCTTTACCTTAGAGAAATTATTAGAAACTTGTTTAAAGATCATTAGCAAAGAACATCTAATATTCTTGTGTCAAACACTGATGCAGATATTGTTAAAAAGAAACTAAAGTAAAAAATTACTTCCAATTTCTGAATAATTGTAATACTTTTTATAAATGCATTTTTAAATAATTACAATACTTTTCGAAAATGTATTTTTTAGTATAATGAAGAAATTTTCAAAAATGAATTTTCAAGACCTTGATGTAAAAGATAAAAAAAATTATTAATTAACGGGTATTTGAGTAATTTTGTTGAAGGTTAATTTTTTTAGGATGTATTGAGAATTTTTGGGTAGCTCCACTCATAAAAGAATACAATCACCAGGCTATCCAAACAATGTCATCTTTAAATTTCATGGACAGTTTCGAAAGAAGTTGAGATCCCAGCGACGCATCAAACCGTCTATGATGTTATTAAAGGGGTTTCGTACAACTGTTACAGTAGCTTTTGTGCTAGCTGACATGTCAGCATTAGATGAACTTTGGATGCTTGCTGAGGTATTGCTTCGTCCAGAGGTCCCTATGCTCCCTGATTCCGCGCTTGATGGAAGCGTATCAAACGCAGGTTCTGCAGATGACACACTAGTATCAGGAGATGTGTGCCCCAGGGTGACATTGGTGCTATTGATTACTATGGTGGATTCTGTCTCAAAGGGCGCCTGATGATGATCCACTTTAGCAGAAATGGACTCTGGGGGAAAGGAACTACACTTTTCTGTGGTGGAAGAAGTATCCCTGTTGTTTGTTTCATCTTTCTGTAAAGACTCTGAAGTATCGGCACAAGCCTTAGGTTGCTCTTCTGTCTGAGCACGTCGCCTCTCCAAGTCCTCCAAGGACTTAATTATGGCTTCCATAAACATCTGAATATAACAAGTATTGACAATGGGATATGAGTTATTTACGTAGCCAAGAATGTTTCTGGACATCAGTAGACGATTTAAGTTTCGACTCACCCTTTCTTCCTCCATATTATATGGAAAACCTCTAAAGTCATCCAGTTGATATTCCACATACTGATCATCATCCATCGTTGTTGGCACATGGGGGCCAAATGGATGACAACTGGATAATTCAAAGCTTATCATATTGGATGATGACGGACCATTATCACCAATGGTATCTTTATCCTGCAGCAAACATCATTTAGTGTCAGTGACGCCATTATCTTCCTCCCCTCCCCCATCCTAAGCCACTTTATTTCTAATTCTTATGACACTTTCCACTTCAGCTTGTCTTTTGTATCCATCTCACAACTACCTTTATTAATTTATTTAGCTTTTTCATGCAGAGGCTGACAAAACCACGGAGATTAACCAGCAAGTGGAGAACAGAGTTGTGAAGTATCGTTCTGATAGCATAAAGACTAATTACAAGCTGCTATATACATACATACATACATATATATATATATATATATATATTTGGTAACATGCTATATACAAATTGAATGTTATGCTCTATCAACAGAGCTGCAAATTTAAGTTGTTTCCTATGGTGATATCATACCGGGAACTTTAATCGTCAAATTGGTATTATATTACAATTAGCAAGCATCTTATTTCATATGTCATATGTATTAATCAATGTGAAATACATAATAAGCTGACATAAAATGGATTAGGCGCCAGAGTTCGTGTTTAGTGGCATTGTAAAACTTGACAATAAGCGTTCTTCCTGTGCATTGCACGTTAGATATCTAGTTGAAGTAATGAAGCAAACTCAGAAAAAAAGAAAACAATACCTGACACCCAGGGTGATTTTCTTCAGATGGGATATCAGAAGGAACCTGAGCATAATCAAAGCTACAAATATTAGACAATTTTAAAAAATTAAACCGTTTATGAGGCCTTTGAATTCATAAACATTGCTTTTCTTTTCTTTTCTTATCTTTTTTTCCTACTTACATATGTTTATTTCAAATAGAAAGCAGAAGATCACGGTTGTTCATCCATGCACTTTTCCAAATTTTCATTAGATTATATTACCCCTTGAAATGCAGTGAATTTGAAGAAGAATGTTTAAAGAAATTATTTTACAAGTCATTCTTGAAAAACAGTAGAAAAATAAAGAAACTAAAACCGACCTCTGTTCGACTCATAGGACTTTTAGAATGAACTTGTTTAATGGCATCTTCTGTGCGTCTAGCCGCTGGCTCTGTAATAAAAAATACCAGCAAGACAATTGAGTGTAAGACAACACCATTAATGGATGAGGCAAAACTTGGCATTTAAGTTAAGAAATACAAGGTACATTAGTCATGCCTTTAGATGCAGCTGAAGACTCTGGGACAAAACCTACTTCAGGGACAACCCAACTACCCTGAAGGTAAATCAGTTAAGAATTAGCAATGGCTTGTGGATTTGACATGAGGCACTTCTAATAAAACTAACACCACCAAAGATTATTTTAGAGCTCAATTTACCTTACCAAAGTAATCATGTATTGAATCATAAATAGTTGCCCCCACCTCATCCTCAGGAGGCCGCAAGAAATTGTGGAAAAAGATATTTACGGAATTGAAGTAAAACCGAGGACGAGGAGAGTTGTGATCTCCCTCAAATTTGATAATATTCTTATGACCCTGCAAAAGTAGTGCATCAATAGAAGGCATAGCTTGAAATGCAAGAATGACTAGAAAACCAAAAGAAATTCAAGCATTCAATTGATCACCTTTCCTTTATAAATACAGATAATAAAAAACCATGTTTAATCATGCACAACGAAATTTGGAAGATAACCCTTTTTGTATGGATGTATCAAGCTAATGCAAATGGATGCAACACTTAAAAGTTATCAGATTCTTCTAACATGAACTGCATACTTTTTCTTTCATGGCCAAAAAAACTCCATATTTTTTTTTTTCACAAGTGCAGGCCAAGTAGGACAAATTTGAAGTAGAGAGATAGTTCAAGAACTATTAATTGGAATATTTCCAATTATCCTGAAAGCTGAGGGATATATAGGATCACTGTTTTTTTTTTCCAATATTCCATACCTTAAGATTTCCTCATCAAATTCTACCACTAGAAAAAGAAGCAACTTACCAAATAAGCTTCAAATATACGATCTGAGTGATGAGGGCGTATAAAATCATCACCAACAGCATGGCCAAACAGCACAGGAACAAAGCAAGAATTTACCACCTAGATTAAAATGAAGATAAGTTAAAATGTAATTCACTTCCATGCGGAACAATTAAGAACAATAAAAAACAAAAGCACTGACAAGAAATCACTGTATCATTGAATTTCAAATTTCATGAACAGAGTGTGTTAGACTTCCCTCACCCCTTTTTTCATGTTCTCTATGGTAGCAATACATCCCGAAGCAATTCCATGCATAGTTTTATGAATTTCAAAAGCTATCTGTTGGTGTCATTTCTCTGGCAGTGTCTATTCGCACAGATCCATAATAATCCCTTTGATTTACAGCTAAGGATACTCAATCAGGCAAGATACGCTTCAAGAACTGATTTTTAGTGAATGGTCATGCACAAGCATGTGAGTGTCTGTGTGTGTGCGCGTCAGAGGGAGAGATGATATAACAGAAGTTCTTTCAAGATCACATGTTACTGCTCTATATTGAACTCAGCTTGTTTGCCAAGATGAATTGAGTAGCAAACATGAAATGGTTGGATATTTCTTAGTGTTAATTATATTGTTGGATTGAGTAGCAAACAATACAATTGATCTATCAGGTTCACTTAATAGTTGGTCAGACAATAACTAAAACAAAAGCATATGGTACTACGCCAAAGAATTGGTTCATCAACTTGAGCATAAAACAAATGTGTCGAGCAAAACATTAAGGCATTGCTTGGTACGATGGAAAAGTGGGAGGATAGAAAGGGTGGCTGAACAGTCGCAAGAAAATGATTTTCAGTAATGCTTGGTAGGAGAGAAAAATGGAGGAAAGAAAATAGGAGAGATGGTCATGTTCTACCCTTATTCATAAAAACAAATCATTCCAAATTGAAAAGATTTGAGGTTTACAAGATTATCCTCCTCTAGATTTTATCTCTTTATCTCCACTTAAAGAAGGTATAATGGTAAAATAATGTAATTTTCATTTTCTTTCCTTTCATTTTTCAACTCTCCAAGCAATGGATGGAAAGAAAATCATTTTCTTCATCCACTTTTCCATCTTTCCTAAAGCACACCAACAGAAAGAAAAGCATATTTTCTATCTTTCCAATTTTCTCCTCTCCTAATTTTGCATCTTTCCATTTTTCTATTCTCCTTACCAAGCAAAGCCTAAGATTCCGTTAATGGTTTCACCAATCAATCAAAGACAAAAGAACATTAAAGCAAAACTGCTTATCAAAAGAGATTAATGCAAAGATATCAGGAAGAAACTCCACCATGCGAAACCAGATAAATGAGTAACATGATCAACAGAAAAAGGTAAATTATCTTCAGACTAAAACCTTGATGGTGTTCAGGTCTGTTATGTCAAACTTTGCCTTTTTCTGGACTGCTTTTCGAATGTACCAGATTGCAAACTTAACCTGGAGCAAGCAAATGAAAAAATTTAGGGTCATAGGACAATAGAAGCAATTATCTCTAGGTTCTTATACAAAAACTTTGCTAACAACTTTGCTAAGGAAGTAAAATCGCTAAATTGGGCATGCTAGCATCGGTAGATCCCACAAATGAACGTTGATAACTCATGTTGAACAGCAGCATAACCTACCAACCTAAGCAGCTTAAACAAACTTTACTTGCAGCATATGCTGTATTTCCAATTTTAAGTCATTGTTATTAAAATTTTTCCTTCTGTTCGTAGTCTTTGATTATAATTAATTAGAAAGAAAATGGACTACAATCAACAAGACATAGCAAATAAAATGTAATACAATGCATCTATAGAATAAACTTGTAAAATGGAACTTGTCCATCATTGGGTTGATTGAACAATCAGAGAAGGAAGTGGACATGCTAATATCGGGATGTGTTAGAATGAGCACATGTAGAACTACAATTTCACCACTACAAGTTTTCTTATTTATCTTATTTTGGATATAACACCACCATTCCTTATAATAGTTGCCAGCACCAAATTTCCTATACAATCTCTAGCACCAAAATATGCCGTTGGTTACAGTCGTTAATTAGCTACGCACAAAGAAAAAAGGGCTAGAACCAACAAAATATATATAATAATTAATAAAATGTATCTACTTACTGAGAACTTGGGCAGACGGAAATTAGAGGTATCTACTAGTTCCATCATCAGATCGACTAAGTCAGAAAAGGGACTGTCAATAACCATTCCCGCAATTGAAGGATCCTCAGCTCCATACATTAGGCTGTGAACAATCATTTACATCCTTAATAACATAAACATGCAAAAACACATCTACTATATTAGGTTCATATGAATAAAACATGAAATTATATCAGCAGAAGAGAAAAGACAGCAAACTGAATCCATTTTTTTTTAATAAATGATTAACAAGGGCAGGATAGCATTGAAACTCCATGATGGGCTTCCATGCTCAAAACTCTACAACATCAAGCTCAAAGGAAGATGGCAAGTGCTTTAGAAAACCTGGTAACAGCACCCATTGAGCGGCCCCATAAGCCAATCAAAGAGACATTTCCATCTGCCCGCAAATAATCAACCACTGTTTTCAGATCATCCTTCTGAAAAATAAGAAAAGAACTCAGGAAGCAATTTTATGACATGCAATAAACACCAACATGGACATCTATGATGTCATATAGAGAAGAAATATGAGTTAAATGTATACTACCAGGTGAAAAAGGTGTAAAATGATCTTAATAGAGACAGTTAAGGCAGTGCAAAGTTGGTGACAAGTATGCATTTGATAAGAATAAACACCATTCGGATGACAGGTTGATACTTTTTCCAGTAAGGAGCAAAACTGGTGACAAATAGTTAACCTTTATTTTTTTTAAATATTGGGAGTGTTCTTTGTAAGAACTTTCAAATGTGAATACATAAGAAGAATTCACTTCATGACAGAGAGAAGGATCAAGGAAGAGATTTAGGCTTCTTAGTATAGTTACAACTTACAAGTTTGCAATTTCACATGTCATACATTATTCAACCAGAGGTTAATTTTGACGAGCATAATCAAGAAAAAGTTTAACGCATATGTAAACTTACAAAACCTAAAAAACCCTAGTATTTACTCCCAAAACAAGTTTTCCCAGAAGAAACTAATAGTCACCGTACAACACATCTGTCTAAATAAGAATACCCCAAATAATCCATGACAAAACAAAAGTTAATGTAACCAATTTGCTAAGAGCCACATAATCACAAGCTCACAACCAGTAACAATTGTATGCAAAAAGTTACTAAAACTATTAATCAAACACTAGAAGAACCATTTCCTGTATCCATAGCAAAAATGAGAATAAGAAGTTCTAGATTTCTTCAGTTAGTTACCACTTAACTTCATGCCAACCCAAGCTGACATGTTCTCCTCCAGATAACCCAGATCCTGAAAAATCAAGAGTGAAAACTGTAATATTTGAAGGCAGCAAGATTATGGCAGCTTCACTAGCATCAGCCCTGCAGCCACTGCCAAAAATCAAGATGTTCTAGCAGTCAGCAATGATGCGTACAACACAGTAATAATAATAATAATAATAATAATAATAATAATAATAATAACAATAAGCAACTATAAACTTACAACATTTTGAGTTGGTTGGCTGCAAGGATAGAAAATTTAACAAAAGGAGACACATATATAGTAAGAACTAAAGTAAGAAACATATAGGATAAAACAGAAGCTAGTCATGGATAAAAATAATAAAAAGCAGGTACATTTGTACAACATTTTGAGTTGGTTGGCTGCCAGCATAGAAGATTTAACAATAGGAAACACATATACAGTTAGATCTGAAGTAAGAAACATATGGGATATAACAGAACCTAGTCATGCAATCAATGAACATTAGCCAACAACAATACAGCAGTGACACATGTACAGTACTAAAGCAACTGATATCTTTTGAACAAAAATAAGCAACTGATATCTAATACTAACGCAATCTACTTCCAACGATTTTTGCAAAATGCATTATCTCATATTTTTCTCCCAGTTATCAAACAGTTCTTGCTTATAAATGTTCATGAATGGGAAATTCTTAATGTCATTTGACAATCTGTCAGCAAGAATAATGCTCTGATATTGCTTTTCACACCAACTATTTAATTCGCACTAAAAAGATAAATAAGAAGTCAACTAATCCACACATAAGGTTACTAGTGGATAACAATAATTGGATTCTAAAACCAATATCCCAATTACAATAACCTTCATACAAGTATATTAATTCCTTCATTTTCCTACCAATCCAGTAAAAAAATTTTGTGCCTAGATTATAGAAAAGTGACGAATGGGAGTTTGCAAACACTAAGCTGTACGAAATCAATTTAAATATAAAAGAACAAATTCTCTATCTTGCTACTGGTGGTATAAGCAGTAATAACATGATTGCATTTGAAAATATAGTCAGAAAAATCAATATCCTAACTAAAAATAAATGCAATTATAACTACCACAATTTCATAATCACCGGTACAAGTTAATACCTAGTTGAAGAAATACTATATAAGCAAGAGAAAGAAAAGAAAAAGTAACTAACTGAAAAAATAAGGCATTTTTATCCAGATACAACTGTATTAAAAAAAAAAAGCGATAATATTATATGGCTGGTCTTGATTGAGACATGCAAGTTGGACCAACAAGTCTGTTTTGATGTGAGCACAAATTCCAAAGTTTTTTTTTTTTAATTTCCACAAACAATCATTGATAATGCCTGCAAGTTCCATTGGGATCAATCAAAACTCCTTTGTCACCTGTTGCCATGGCAGTATATCACACAGGGCAGAGGTTTTCCTTCAGGACTAACCAGAGGCATGTAATGACTACACAATAGAACATCTCCCCTGCCATTTTTAACCTGAAAAATGGCCAAAACACCTCTCTTATGACGTAGACCAACTTAAATTCATCCAAATTATAAACAATCATAAAAAAATTTCTTCTTGTAAAGTATGTACAATTAATGTCGGCTAACCCCCACCCTTTTTTTGGCCAAAACTGATGGGACAAATTTTTTTATTTACAAATCTAAAAAATAATCACATAAACATTACATTAGAAAATCGACAGTTATAAATAGTTGTAGTCCTATATTAATAATTACAAGTATTCCAGATTGACCCAAGGCTGTTAGCCTGTTACTTTGTGCTTGAAGACCTGAAACCTTTCAAACCATCCTAAACACATCCTCAAAAGAATTTTCTCCTTAGTGTGTTGATGCCAAGAGATTTCCTTTCCAAGTTGACCAGATCTCAATTCCAATATTACTGCAAGTCAATCAAATCCTGATTTTGCATTATATCTAACAAAGGGACTACTTATCTTGTTAAAACGCACATCTGACCTGCCCACCCAACAAGGATATCATGCAAAAGTAGTTTCAGATCTTTTTTTGCCATTGATATAGCATCTCATCAGATGAATAAGTATGCTTACATGTAGAATGAATTTAATCTTAACCTATCCTGTATCAATATGCAGAAGACAGGCTAGCACTTCTAAATTTGTAGAACTTTCAATCTTCCATTAAATTATGGCATCTCATAAAGCACATGCCATCATAAATGGTTACCAAGTGCTGAAAAGGAAAATTGACACAATTACAAATTAACTCAAACAAATGTTTAAAAGAAATGACCTCTTCTGTAATGTTTCCTTTCAAAGGAAAAGAGAAAGCATAGACGTACAATTGCTAGGGGCACCTAGCTAACTGATTTTAATTTATGAGTAATTTGAACAAGTTGACGACAACACAAAGCGATTGTATCTATTGTGCTACTACATTTTAGAAATAAAGCTATTTAATTGAAGGATCAGCGAAATGAACAGGTTAACATCATAAGTAAGTTTGAACAAACCAGAAAGTTAAGAATTCTAGGAAGCTAATAAATTTGAAATTTCCCCCCGGCATCGATAATCTTAAACCATACCTCTATATCCTTTCTTTGGTACCATTTCCCTTTCACATTGAACTCTTTGTCCAACAGATCACTGTCTGGATTGTAATTAGCTCTGCCACCAAAAAATGATGCCCATTAGAAATTGAGCAAAAGAAGTATAATAAAATTATAGTAGGGAATAATTTGTAGTCCTAAATTAACGATGTCCCGAACATTTTTAACTATCTCATTACAAAAGTCCCAGACAAACTTTCCACTCACCTTGCTTTCCTGTCTAATATCTCAATGAAAGGATCTGCAGGTCCTTTCCATAACTTCGCTGGTTAAAAACCATCTTATCTTCAACGTAGAACAGCATTACAACAGCAGACTTCAAGCCACAAAACTTATGTTTCCCAATTTTCTAGCTATAACTTTAAGTTCTTGAAGATCTAATTCTTACCCATAATAGTTTCAATTTCACAGTTAAGCTGATTAAAATTATAGCATGCAGTTTTTTGCCCAAGACTCCTATCAAACTAAATAAAACAGTTACTTAAAAATTTCATCTTTCAACTGTCTCTTTATCAATTACCAACCTTGTAACTGCTGAAGCTTTCAGAACCATATGAAAATACAGCAAAGTAGAAAATCTTGGTCTAACAGAAAACAATAACTAAATCAACCTAAGACCCACATGCCATCACCCTCAGAAAAGTTTGAGATTCACAAACACAGAAGCCCCAACAACAACAAATATATATATACGCATATATATATATATATATGTGTGTGTGTGTGTGTGTGTTTGTGTGTGTATCCAAAAAACAAAATTATATTAAAATAAGAAAATTAATCAAATCAAGTAGCAGTGCATGAGAGCTAAAGAAAACCAACACAATTAATCAGACATACTCTGAAATTATGGAAAGATCATAGGGAACCAAGTGGTGAGCTAAATGATCAAATTCCAACAGTAAATAGCCACGTACTAATATAATCACTCCTGAATGCTTGCTTAGAAACTGATCAACATTAATACAAAACAAAAACTTCAAATCTGATGCTATATAAAAAGGGTCCAAGTATAAGCAAGTAGTTAAATTAGTCTCATTCAAGCAAAAGAGTTTTCCTTGCTTGTTCCCTACAGACCAAAAGCACTTCAATTTCAAATCCAAATTTTCCTCTCTCTTCCTAATTTTTCTCGTCAACCAAACAGAACAGAACCATAAGCAAAAAAAAAAAAAAATCACATTTAAATTCAATAGAGGAAAGGAAACAAGATCATTTTTTTTCCCAAAAAGTAAAATTAAAAATCAAAAGACTACCTAGGAGGCCGTATTACAAAGTTGACAAGCGGCTCCATAGATTTCCAAAAATGATAGCCAAAAGATCTCTTTCACTCAGGGATAAGCTGTTCTTCTTGAGTTAATTTACCAAACCCAACAATAAAAAACTAAAGTGTATGAAAAACAAATCCTTTCTATGTGTGTGATAATACTTTTTTACTATGATAAAGAAAAAAGACAAGACAAAGGGAAAAAAAAATGAACAGAGCTTTGTCGAATGTTGTTGGTGTTGATGTTTCCCATATTTGAGTTTCCCTCTTTCCTTGCAACAAAACAATAAAAAGAATTATTCTTGTATGTATTTGTTGCCACCCAAGTGGCCAAGCATCATTGTTTGCCACTCTGGCTGTTGCATGTGCTTGAGTGAATGATATGTGTTTTGTTTTATGAAGTACAAAGCCACAGAGTTCCTCTCCATCTGTCTCCTAAACTCCACAGCAACTTTCCCACTGCATATTTTATCAGCCTCAAAGCCAACGGGCTTTGCCAAGTGAATGGAACTTGGCATATCAAAACTTTTCCCTTAGTTGACATGCCAATTGCATGGATTGTGTTAGAAGTGCTGGCCAAGTTAGGCAATAATGGCATTAGGACAACAATTATTACAAGTATTTCTAGCAGTTCTCAGTTAGCTTTCCAATATAGTTGCAAACTTAAAGTTGACTTAAATATTAGAAGTGTACTTTGGTACTAATCATGAAAAGTTAGGAAAAAAACCTGTAGATTTTTTTTCTTTTATTTAAGATCAAAAAAGTAATTGAGTAGGAGTTGAGTGTAAATGTAAAGATCAAATATACTTAGAAGTGAGAAACTTATCTTCGAATATAAATTATTAAAGGTAAGATAATTTCTTATAGCTTTGTTTTCAATAAATTCTTTTTTTTTTTTTTTGCCATTGAGCATTTTTCCTTTTTATATATAATTGAAATGAGCCTCTTTTCATTAAAAACAAAAAACCATTGACTAAGGTAGGATACCCGGTGGTGAGAACAATGGTTCAGCCATCGAAAATATCCCTATCATCAGACAATTCACTTAGGTTATAATTCAAAATTTAATTAAATTAATTTATATAATCATTTTTAAAAAATAATATTTAATAGGTTTATATTCAAATCCCAAATTTTTTTTCTTTATTTTCAGATTGCAACTTTTATTATATACATATATATATATATATATTATCTAAACAAAATATAGAAATGTGCATGAATCGGGTCGGATTATATTGAGATTAGAGTCATATTTGATATTAATAATTTATATGTTTGACAGGTTCCGTTCATTCCGATCTAAAATTTTGAGTCTCAAAATTTTTTCAAGTTCAACTCAAATTAAAAAAATAAATTTTAAGCTCACCTATTTAAATAAAAAATTAAAATAAATGATTAAAATAAATTTAATAGAATTATATTAAATTCACATATATATAAAAATAAATTTAAAAATTATATATTTAAAAATTAAAAATAAAAATTATATATAACTTAAATTTGCTTTTATATAATTTTTATTTTTAATTTTTATATATATGTGAATTAATTTATATATACTTCAAGTATATAAAAAATAAAAAAATTATATACTTGTCTTAAAAACGGAAATGCCCTTATGTTATTACACCTTCCTATTTAGGTTTGGGATCGAGCAAGAGTACACCTTACTTCAACAAAATGTTAAATGGCCTTTGGGATGGCCTGTTGGAGGCTACCCTGGTCCTCAGGTGATAATAGGACTCAATTTTTATGAGGCTAAAACAGTTGTAGAGGACTGTAAATTCATGATAAGTGAACATGATTCGTTTACGCCAAATTCAGGGTCCTTATTACTGTGGAGCTGGAGCTGACAAGTCATTGTGCGTGACATCTCAGATGCTCATTACAAATCTTGCTTATATGCCGGCATTAATATTTGTGACACCAATGGGGAGGTTATGCGAGGCCAGGTCTGCAGCCATGGAGGCCTTTTCAACTTGCTAATGAAAATGAGCTACTGTTGCAATCATGCTTGTTTGTTCATTAGTTATCACCATCTGATTTTGTAAATTACCATGCAGCGGGAGTATCAAGTTGGTCCAAGTGTTGGTATTGAAGCTGATGATCATATCTGGTGTTCCAGATACATTCTTGAGGCATTTCTTCTCCATATGATCTGGTTGAAAGGTAGGAAAATTTTTTTGAATAACTTACCAATGTTTTTCCTCCGTTCTTACAGGGAATCACTGAATAAGCTGGTGTTGTTCTCTCTCTTGATCCTTGTTAGAAGATGTGTTTAGGATTGCTAATGTGGATTCATTGAATGTTTCATGTTGTTTCTATTTTTCTGATGTTGGTTATTTTTTTTGTTATTCATGCTGGTGATCATGGCTTAATCTTAGGATTATGATTTTAGTGGGTAGTTATTAATTAGGCTTTAAATTGTAATGTTTCTGATGTTAAGAAATGCAACAGTGTGTAAAGTTTTCTTTGCTTCAAAATAACACATTTGGTATCAGAGCTTTCTTCTTAAGGGATCTGTGTGTGAAATTCACGTGTCATGGAAGCTGAAGCCAGTTTCTCCGCAATTGCTCCAACGGTGTTCGACGGAGATAACTACCAGATTTGGGCAATACGTATGGAGATATACGTGGAAGCTTTAGATCTTTGGGAAGCAGTGGAAGAAGACTATGAAATTCCTGCACTTTCAAACAATCCCACCATGGCACAGATTAAAGCACAGAAAGAAAAGAAGACAAAGAAATCAAAGGCAAAGGCCTGCTTGTTTGCTGCAATCTCATCCATCATCTTCACTCGTATCATGTCTCTGAAGTCAGCAAAAGAGATATGGGTTATCTCAAGAATGAATATGAAGGAGATGAAAGAATAAAGGATGGCCAAGTCCTAACGTTGATTAGGGAATTTTGAACTTTCAAAGAATGAAGGACCTCCGAGACGATCAAAGATTACTCCGATAAGCTTCTAGAGTATACGCCCCAAACAAAGTAAGGGCTTCCTGGGATCTGAATTTATTGCACTCAGAATTGTAGAAAAATTTCTGTTACAGGTTCCTGAAAGATATGAAGCAACCATCACTGCCTTGGAGAATACAAAGGATCTGTCAAAAATTTTTCTTAACAGAATTGCTTAATGCTTTGCAAGCACAAGAACAAAGAAGACTGGATGAGGGAAGATACACACAATTGAAGGAGCTTTTGGCAGTCACAGCATCCAAAATGTGACCAAAGCAAAAGAAAGAAGAAAAAGGATTTTGAAGGAAATGGGGCAAGTACTGCATCAGCCAATGCAAAAGAAAAGAATGAAAATCAGAAGAAATCCTATTCACCTTGCCAACATTGTGGAAAAAAGGGTCATTTTCCATTTAGATGCTGGAGAAGACCTGATGCTAAATGCACTAAATGTAATCAGATGGGGCATGAAGCTGTTATCTGTAAAAACAAAATTCTGTAACATGGTGAAGATACAAAGATTGCTGATCAAGAGGAGAAAGATCCTGTTCATAGCAACATGTTTCTCCAGCATCGAATCAAGTGAGAGTTGGCTTATAGATAGTGGTTGTACTAACCACATGACACATGACAAGGATCTATTCAGGGAACTAAGCAACGTAAACTCATCGAAAGTTCGAGTTGGTAATGGCAAGTACATAACTGTAAAGGGAAAAGGAACAGTTGCAATTTCAACTTGTTCAGGTACAAAGTTCATTTCTGATGTATTATATGTCCCTGAAATTGATCAAAACTTGTTAAGTGTTGGACAACTAATTGAAAAGGGTTATAAAGTTGTGTTCGAAGATAAAGGTTGCTTGATTAAAGATGCAGTTGGCCAAGATATTTTCAAAGTAAAAATGAAAGGAAAAAGCTTTGCTCTAAATCTATTGGAGGAGGAGCAAACTGCTTTTTCAATAAAAAAAATATCACTGAAGTATGGCACAAGAGGTTCAGGCACTATCATCATCAGGGGCTGCTGCAGATGAAATCTAAAAAGATGGTAAATGATTTTCCAGAACTTGATGATCATATTCCAAACTGTAAAACATGTCAGTTTGGAAAGCAAAGTAGGAAACCATTTCCCAAGGCAACATGAAGAGCATCAAACAAGTTACAATTAATTCATACTGACATTGCAGGCCCACAAAGAACGCCTTCTCTGAAAGGTAGTCTTTATTATGTTGCATTCATTGATGATTTCACCCGTATGTGTTGGATCTTCTTTTTAAAGTACAAGTCAGAGGTGGCTCAAGTCTTCTGGAACTTTAAAGCCAGAGTTGAGAACGAGAGTGGCTGTAGAATTCAAACTTTCAGATCAGACAATGGCAAAGAGTACACCTCTGAAGCATTCACTCATTTTTGTGAAGAGGCAGGCATCCAACATCAATTAACTGCTCCATACACTCCACAACAAAATGGAGTAAGTGAGAGACGGAATAGATTCATATTGGAGATGACACGATGTATGCTACATGAGAAGAACCTACCAAAGCAATTTTGGGCTGAAGCAGTAAATACTGCTATTTTTTTACAAAACAGACTTCCCACAAGGACAGTGAAGGATCAAACACCCTTTGAGGCATGGTATGGTTATAAACCATCTCTGAATTTCCTTAAAATATTTGGATGTTTGTGCTTCACTTATGTTCCACAGACCAAAAAAGATAAATTAGATAAAAGAGCACTTCCAGGCATTTTTATTGGCTACAGCTCAGTTGTAAAAGCTTATAAAGTTTTCCAGCCACAAACTGGAAAAATTATTATAAGCAGGGATGTGCATTTTATGGAAGATGAAGAGTGGAACTGGGATGATGTAAAAAAGATGGATCCAACCTTAAAAGAGCACAAGCTCAAGTTTTCTAGCATTGGAGACTGAGAGAATGAAATGGTGGATGATAGTCCTACCAGAGGTACAAGATTACTTTCTGATGTTTATCAAAGATGCAATATTGCTGTGTGTGAACCTACAAATTATGAAGAGGTCAAGATGGATCAAATTGGATTGTTGCAATAAAAGAGGAGATATTCATGATTGAAAGGAATGAAACATGGGAGTTGGTTGATCGACCCCAAAACAGAAAAGTAATTGGAGTCAAATGGGTGTACAGAACCAAGCTTAATGCTGATGGCTCCATCAACAAGTATAAAGCTAGACTTGTGGTCAAAGGATATGCTCAAATACTCGGTGTGGACTACTCAGATACTTTCGCACCAATCGCTAGACTCGACACTATCAGGCTCTTACTCGCCGTTGCAGCATAAAAGAATTGGAAAGTGCACCAATTAGATGTCAAGTCAGCATTCTTGAATGGTTTTCTGCAGGAGGAGATTTATGTAGAACAACCAGAAGGCTATGTCAAGGAAGGAGAAAAAGATAAAGTTTATCTTCTTAAAAAGGCACTTTACGGATTGAAGCAAGCTCCAAGAGCTTGGTACAGCAGGATTGATGAACATTTACAGAACTTAGGATTTGTCAAAAACTTATCTGAATCAACATTATATGTCAAGCACAATGGAGCTGACATTCTTATCATCTCACTATATGTGGATGACTTACTTGTAATAGGAAACAACACAAGTATTGTGGAGAAGTTTAAGCAAGAGATGATGGAGTTTTTTGAAATGACAGATCTTGGATTAATGACCTTTTTTCTTGGAATGAAAATCAAACAGAATGAACATGAAGTCTTCATTTGTCAAAAGAAATATGCCAAGGAGATTCTGAAGAAATTTAAACTCGAAGAATGTAAAGAAATGAGGACACCAGTGAACTTAAAGGAAAAGCTCTGTAAAAAAGATGGAACAGAGAAGATTATCAGGCATATTTCAGAAGCCTGATTGGTTGCTTAATGTTTCTCACAGCAACTCGGCCTGACATTTTGAATGCTGTAAGCATTTTGTCTCGGTTTATGCATTGTGCAAGTGAATGGCATCTCAAGGCTGCAAAGAAGGTGCTTAGATATGTGAAAGACACAAGTGATTTTGGCATTAAATACACAAAGAGCAAAGAGTTCAAGCTGGTTGATTTCTCAGACAGTGATTGGAGAGGTTCCATTGATGATATGAAGAGCACTTCAGGCTATTGTTTCACACTTGGTTCTAGTGTTTTCTCATGGAGCTCGAAAAAACAAAAAATTGTAGCTCAATCCACAGCTGAAGCAGAGTTTATTGTTGCAACAGCTGCTGTTAATCAAGCTTTGTGGCTAAGGAAGATTTTAATCGATCTTAACTTAGAGCAGGAGGAAAGCACGAAGATTCTTGTTGACAATCAAGCTGCCATTGCTATCTCTCAAAATCCTGTGTTTTTACAGGAAATCTAAACATTTTAATATTAAATTATTCTTCTTAAGGGAAGTACAGAAAGATGGAGTTGTTGTTCTTGTCTATTGCAAAATAGAAGATCAGGTTGCAAATGTTTTCACCAAGCCACTGCCAGTTAGCAAGTTTGAATTTCTAAGGATAAAACTTGGTGTTTGCAGCTCCTAAAGCAAGGAGGAGTGTTAGAAGATGTGTTTAGGATTGCTAATGTGGATTCATTGAATGTTTCATGTTGTTCCTATTTTTCTGGTGTTGGTTATTTTTTTTGTTATTCATGCTGGTGGTCATGGCTTAATCTTAGGATTATGATTTTAGTGGGTAGTTATTAATTAGGCTTTAAATTGTAATGTTTCTGATGTTAAGAAATGCAACAGTGTGTAAAGTTTTCTTTGCTTCAAAATAACAACAATCCTAAACCAAGAGAGGTAATTTAACATTAGGAATACTTTTTAAGCACAATTTTTCCGATCCAAACTTTTTCCAACCGCAACAACAATACTAAAATAGCCCTGAGACAGTTCAATTCTTACCATTAGTACATTAAAGGGGTTGCTCAATTCTTTATCCTGTTGCTAGGGTGACTAGAATGGTGCTGGATGCCACACCAATTACAGTTACTTGTTCATGACCGTTCTTAGTTTAAATAGCAACTTTGGAATTTTTATGCCTCTTTGCAAATTTATGTAGTAGCACTTTTAATTAAAGTAATAAGATTCTATTAAAACAGTACAAAGAGCATGAGGGAAGATGGTGGCTATGAAGTTATAAAGAAAGCGATCTTGAATTTGTCACTCCGACATAAGGAGCATATTAGTGCCTATGGTGAAGGAAACGAGAAAAGATTGACAGGAAAGCAGGAAACAGCCAACATCAACACATTTTCTTGGGTATGTTTCATGAGATTTCCATAGCTAGTAATGGAAGCCATGGAAACGTTACATACTTTGTTTAATGTTCATAAAATTTCGTAAATTTCAACTTGCACTAAGAAGAATGGAAAATGTATTACCGTAAACTTGATATTTTGAACACTACAAGATGATACAATATAAAAATCATTCGAAAAAAACACAAAAGCATTATGATTTAAAATTTTAACAAAAATTATATTTGTGTTTGATAAATTTTAAAAAATGATTTTTATATTTTACACGTATTAAGAAGTCTAATTTTTTGACAACAAACTTCACAATGATGCTCTTTCCATATTCATTTTGTTAGGTTACTTGGAAGATCGGCAGCCAGCTTCAATCATGGAACCTTATGTTGTAACATCGTTGTTGGCGGAAACCACAATATCATATGAGCCAACACTTGAAGCTGAAGCACTTGCTGCTCAAAAGATTGCTTTGAAGGTTTTATTGAGGCAATTTGGGAGACAGATAATGGTACTCAAGAAGGAAGCAGTTTGGTTTACTCAGCTGATTGACAGGGATGGTTTTGCCCTTTTTCTAATTAGGCTTTTAGGAAATGTCCCTGTAAAATAAAGGCCCTAAAATGAGTAAATGCCTTGTGATTAGATAGCTTGTCAAATGGATTATGTCTTTTAAATCAGAATTAATGGTCTTTTCAACTATCATCGGTTCATGGATATTTTAGATGTTTACTGATTTATGATTCTTGACGAAAGGGTGAGCATATATGTAATTTCAGTAATTTAAAATACCGTACACCAAAACAGTATTAAAAACATAAAAATGATTTAATTTAAAATTTTAATAAAATCTGAATTCGATCAAAATAAAATATATATTTTATATTTATTATATCGATATAAATTTAATACGTAATTTTTATTATTTATATTTACTAAACATAAAATAAAATATGATATAAATATATAAATTATTTAATTTATTACTTGATTTATTAACCGAGATAAAATTAAAATGAGAAAAATTAAGATAAGGGTAGAATATAGGTATAATTATATACCCAAATAAGATAGAATAAAATTCATGTATATACAATTATTTTTAAGAAATTATTTAAAATTTAAAATTCAACATTTACAATTTTTTTGTCTTCAAATTGCAATATCTATGCTTTAATAAAAAATAAAAAAAAAATGCAACACTGGTGTAAACTGACAATCAATGCTTGGTACCATTTCATGCAACTTTATTCTTTGTTTGTTTGTGAGGCAGGAAAATTTTATTCCATGGGTAAAGTTTAGTCCTATGGGTTTAATGCAAACAAATTAGCCAACTAAAATAAGATTGGATATCTGAATTCCATACTTTTCCCTCTTTTGAGGCAAACCTCAAATGAGGTTTAGGAATCAAGCCATTCCTTTGAATTGAAGAAGCTTCATTTTCTTTACAGGAGGAAACAATGATTACTTCATTTTCCTGGTTAGAAAATAACAAGTTCTTGCCTATATATTTAGTCATTTCTGCCTGAATTGCTTAACAACAATTGTAATCTTCATCTACCCCAAAGAAAAAAGTTCTAAGCCATGGCTTCTGAAGGACCAAAGCCAGCTGCAATAATGCTGTTGTTTCTCAATCTCGGGCTGTATATCATTGTAACAATAATAGCTGGATGGGTAGTGAATCATGCAATTGAAAGAACTCATGAAACAGGTGAATTTGATTTGTTTTTATTTTGGCATAAGATCATACAGGCCTGTTTTGCTGTCACTTTCATAAGTGATTTGTTTTTTTTTTTTTTTTTGGCTGCAGCATCTGTTTTATCAATCCCAGCTCGTATATTTCCCATATACTTTCCAATGGGGAACATGGCCACCGGTTTCTTTGTCATTTTCTCCCTCATTGCTGGTGTTGTAGGCGTTACCACCTCAGTTACTGGTCTCACCAATGTTCTTCAATGGGATGCCTCTAATTTAAATGCTGCTGCTGCTTCATCCCTGCTCACTTGGACACTCACTCTGCTAGCCATGGGGTTAGTTTAACTTCATAGTTTCAAATCGGAAAACAAAGCCGTGATCATATTAAGTTTCTATTCATTTATTAAGTTTAAAAAATGATTGCAAATAACATTTTAAAATTTATTAATTAAATAAATAGATCATGAACATATTAAAATTTATAAATCAAAAGAGCATTCAACAAATATTTCATGAACATACTCAATTTATGTTTATTTTTATTTATTAAACTTAACAAACAATTAGAAATAATATTTTAAAATTTATTAATTAAATAAACATATCACAAATATAACAAAATTTATTTATATTCGATTCATTTACATAAATAAAAAAAAATTTTGACAAACAATTTATGAATATACTCAATTTTTGTTCGTTTACATATATTTATTTATTAAATTTAATAAACGATAACGAACAACATTTTAAAATTCACTAATTAAACGAACAAACATAACAAAATCATTCATATCTGAGACACATCCCCACTTCCAACCCCCCCCCTTTTTTTTTTTTAACATTTTATACATTATTTTAACCGTGGGTTAAAGCCATGTTATGCAGATTGGCATGTAAAGAGATCAACATTGGGTGGGCAGATGCCAACTTGGTAAGCCAAAAGTGTATTTTGAATAAAATGTAATTTCATATGATTCTAATTATAATTAGTATTTGAAATTGTTGGATTGATAATGCATTGCAGAGGACTTTAGAAGTGATGACTATAATTGTGAGCACAACACAGTTGTTTTGCGCCGGTGCTATCCAAGCTGGGGTTGAAGATGTTGCTTCAAAGAGGAATCCTGCTTCTACTGGGCCCGCTTGATCAGTTTTACCACTATATATATATATATATACAAAGATAGTTCAACTGAATTTCCATCCCCGGTGTGTTTCTGTTACAATGTTGTTCTTTTCATTTTATTAAATCTTGTGAAATTTCAGAGACTTCGTATTAATTAACACATTGTGTTGGATTTTAATAGAATTGTGATTTCTAATGATTGAACCATGTTAATTTCTGCATGTACTTGGCCGAGTTTTGATCTCATGGATCCGATTTCATAGTAGTTATTACAAAACTTTGATAGCTTTCAATCTTCAATTCAATCAATTTGATTAATGAATTTGATTTTTTCAAAACTAATGTTTTAAAATTTTGTACAAATTTAATTCTCTTTTTTAATAATTTTAAAAACACGCACTTTAACGTTAACACATGTATTCAAAATTTTACTTTTAAAATATTTAATAAAAATTTAATTTGTAAATACCATTAATTAATAATCTATATTTAAAAGTTACGAATTAAAAAAAAAATTAGAATACAAATAATAAAAATTTATTTATTTAGTTAGAAAATAGTTTCATTATAACCAACCATTCCGGCGCCTTTAAACTTATCCATTTTTGTGGTTAGTGACAAAAGCTTGGTTAAAACCTATTTTTTGACTGTGGTTAAGTCTTAAAAGATGTAAATAAAGTTTTGTAGATGAAATTTATGAAAATTTTATTAAAATAATTAAATTAAATTAAATTAAAAATTAAAAGGGTTTGTTAAAAAAAAAAGGTGTGCAAAATTTTTTCAAAAATTGACAAATTTTAATATCTTTTTTAGATAAATGTTTTTAATAAAAGTTTTGACTGATAAATAAATATTTAATAAATTTAAATTATAAATAATATTTTTAATAATATTTTTATATTATTAATTTTTGTATTGAATTTTATTAATTTATCAATTTAAAACTTTTGTTAATTTTTTTTTAAAATTTACTAACTTTATTAAAAAAAAAAATATTTTTTCTTTGTTGGGCCAATTATAAGATCCAAAATCCGAATACATTACCCAAATTCCCGCCATCAATTACAATCACCTTAACAAGAAATGAACTTCACTCGCAGCACAATCTCAACTCCTTTCCAGTTCTTGTTCAACCCTAATTTCAAATCCCTAATCGACCCAAACCCCGCCCGAATTTTAATTCTGCCCCAAAATCATCCAAGCCGTAAACCCCTCCTTTCACATAACAGTAAATTCCCTAATCTTAATTTGACTGCAAAGAAGAGGAATTTCCAAATCAAAGCTTCAATTGAAAGTAACAATGGTGAAACAAGTAACTGGTTAAGCTGGTTACCCACGGGAGGTTTAGCAGCTGATAAAGTTTTGAGATTGATTTCAAGTGCAACTTCAAGTCCCATTTGCCAGTTCATTTCTTCACCTACCACTTTTTTGCATTCAGTGGACCCTAGAATCAAATTGGTAAAGATTTAAATTTTCAATCTTATAAGTTTTTTTTTTTTATGCAAGATTTCTTTTTCACGTTGAATTTTGATGAAATTCGTGAATTTGGGTTCTTGTGTAGTTGGTTAAATGCTAATTTTGATTTTCATTTCGGGGATAATTTGGGTTGATTGGTTTCATTATGGAGTGCAATGAAGAATTTCTTTGTCAATTTCTTATTGGTTTTTTTTTTTTTTGTCTCTGCCTTAATTGTGCATGTCAGTGGAAAAAAATTGAGAGAGTACATGTATATTTTGTTGTGAGATTATTTCCCTATAACTTAGATACTAATCTTGATTATGCAGGTATGGCTGTTGGCGTTGGTTGTTTTACCAGCACGTTCCCAATTAGTAGTTCGTTTTGGACTGGTAGCATACATTGCTCTTTTGTCAGTATTAGTTCTCCCAAAACATGTGTGGATGGTAAGGTTTTAAACTTATCAATTGCTAGAGCTCAGTATCTTGGTAAATTATTCAGTTTATCGATGCAACTTTCTTGTATATTGCTTGAATTTTTCCTTAATGAATTTGATTAAGTTCAGTTTTAAATTATTGAGGACAAAATGATGCATATTGCCTTTTATCTGGTGAATCTCGTTTTGTAGTTGGAGATTAAGCTGCATTTTTTTTTTTTTATGCCAAATGGTTTTTTTTTTTCAGGGAGGTTCTGTTACTCTGGACAAGTCGGTATAGTTATATGACTTGTTGTAGGTTTTTTCATCTGCTGTCTATATGCTGTTTTCAACTTATGCTATTGTTTAAAGACATCCTTTAGACCATGAGGGCTTTTAGTTGCTGCCTTTGTTGCATGGTTGTTGTGCGTACATTAAACTGTGTTCTGAACTTCACATTGTGTTTTGAAGTTTAACTTGGACGGTACTAGGAAACATTCTACGCATACTAGATGCATGTAGTAAGATTTACCTTCTAAATAACATGCATAAATTACAGTACTGGCACTTGCATACTGATTTCAGCAATTCTTGTAGGATCAATTGGGAAGAGTGTCACTACTTTGTGGAATTTTATTCATACTATCAGGGCTTGGTACCGATGGTGCACCACAACTTGTTCAGTTGAGAACCCCAGCATCTTCACTCACAGGGTTGCCTGATCTTCCTACATCGTTAAGTGGCTATTCATATTTAATTATGAAGTTAGGACCATTACAGTTTACGAGGAAGGGTTTGTCTGTTGCTACTACAGCATCGTGTTTAACCTTCATTGTAAGTTAGTAATCCCCCCCTTGCTGGCATTCAAGAAAAGAATCCCTTACAATTTTCATAACCAAAGCTTATATGACCATATTTATACACACAATAATACTTTGTTGTAGAGCTGCCAAAGCTGATCCGAATCCCAAAAAAACCTGCCCAAACTCAACCCAACCCAATTTCACCAAGAAAAGTCAACAATTCAAACCCAAAATGATTGGAACCCAAATTAACCTAAATCTAAAAGATCTGAACTTGAATTATCGGAAAGAATAACTCAAAATGACCTAAAATTAAGTTGATTTAACTTTGAAACGCAACAATTTGGACCCAGAAATGATCCAATCTAGATATCTAAACCTGAATAGCCCAAGTGTCAAACCCGAAATATTGAAACCTGAAGTAATGCAAACCCGAGATGACCCAAACCCAAAGCAACCCTAATTTTCTGCAACCTGAAATGATCGGATCCAAAGTAACTCAACATGCCCAATTGCTACCTCTTCTTTGTTGAAATTGAGTGCCTACAACATATGAACAAAAAGTCTATATTACTTTCTAAAATTGTCTATTATATATGCATAGACAAGTGCATAAATACACAAATATGTATATGTCCTACATACTAGCTTGGTAATATGTCTTTTGAGAAACAAATAAACTTTATTATTTTAAGATTGTTGTCTATTCTTTTTTAAAGATCTTTCAAAGTGCAAGCCTTTGCTTGGCAACTACAACTCCAGAACAACTTGCATTTGCCTTGCGGTGGTTTATGCTCCCTTTGAGGTATATAGGTGTCCCAGTGGCTGAAATTGTTCTGACACTTATGCTCTCATTGAGGTTTATCAATTTAGTTTTTGATGAGGTAAGAGAGATTATGCTGGTTACTCTGCATTCTACTAAGTAGGAAAGTTCCTTTTTTTCTTGTTTATGTTTGTTAATGGAAGATTAATCATTTCAAACTTCATGTGTTAACAGGTTCGTAATGTTGCAATGGGGATTGTATCTCGTAGGATAAATTGGCAACAGTTGACAATGATGGAGACGATTGATAGTAAGAATATAAACTAGACAAGGCTCTCTCTCTCTCTCTCTCTCTCTCTCTCTCTCTCTCTCTGTATGTGGGAGGAAAAAGATGGATAGGGGAAGGGGGTGGAAGAGGAGGGTTTGTTACAGTTTCTAGTAGTACAAACTAAATTTAGTGGGCAGTAATGAAGTAAAAGAAAATGTTTCTGCATAATGGCTGGCTTTGATAAAAAAATTACAGATTGCCTGCATCTTCATTTTAAATGATTAGGAATTCAATGACAGTTTAGAATTATGTATCTGAACTCTGTGTGAATGGGGGAATCTTTAGCAATTCTTAATGATGAAAATTTTTTGTGAAACTTGCTGCTTTTTTTCCCTGTAGATAAAACGTAGAAGGAAAAAAGTGATGAAAATTTTAGGATTGCTAAAAACATGCTTGGTAGGTGGAACAATCAGATTTAGGCAACAAATTGCAGAAGTTAAAATGCATAGAATTAATCGTTTGCAGTAGATTAACATAACTCTTACAATAGGTAATTCTTGGGAAATATCCTTTATTTCTTATTTATTCATTTCTTTGTTCAAATTGGCTTGTCCATTACGGAAAAAATTTATAGTTTTTGTTAATCGACTGTTTTGAAATTTTTAAAACTTTACGTACAACATGTTAATCTTAGAAAAATTATAAGTTGACTATAAAGTTTAAAATTTTTTTTTTAATCATATTGTCTGATATACAAACACATTGAGACAAAGGGGGCTTTGATTCTGCCTTATCTGCTTTTGGTTTCATGTATTCATTTGCTTATTGTTTTCCTTGGGTTTCAATTTCAGTTTTTGCCTCGTACATTCGGCGGATCTTCAAAAATATTTTTAGCCATGCAGAGCAAATATCCCAGGTCAATATTCAGACTGAGCTCTTTTTCATGCTACTTTTCTATCCAATATTAAGACAATTACTTCTAAATGCCATTTTCTATATTTGATCATTTTGTCATGGATCAATAGCTCTCTTGTGGCTTTTTGAATTGTTCAATTTCAACATTACCTCTGCTGACGATAGAACCAGGTCATGTTTAGCCATCCTACTCTATGTCCAGTTGGAATATACATTTTGACAATCAGTTTTCATATATTTGGATATGGTTTTATGGACTCTCAGTCAACAAACATTACTTTAGGTGTGTCCCTAGAAATTGCCATAATTAGGGGGTAATCAAACCGAACATGAATGAACATTGCTATTTTTGTGAAATGTTTGTTTAATAAGCGATCCATGAAATGTTTGTAATCATTTGTTAAGCTTAATAAATGAATATAAATGAACAAAACCTGGACCTATTCATGAACTGTTCATCGAATGTTTTGTTCTTTTACACTCCTGAGGGTAAACAAACCAAGCATGAACAAACTTTACTATGTTCATGATTTGTTCATTTGATTAACGAACTCTGAAATATTATTTGTGATCACTTGTTACGAACTTTGAAATAAGCGAATATAAACAAACAAAAATAGAATCTGTTCATGAACTGTTTGTTTACACCTCTAGCCATGACTTGGTTCGTGAAGTGCCTCCGTTAGTTTGACCCCACAAGAAAAGCCGCCATTAAATGTTTCTGCTTGTAATATCTAACCAACTGTATTTCTTTTTTATAGGCTATGATTGTTAGGGGATTCAGGGGTGACAGTAATGGTCATAAACTTTACTTCTTATCAGACTCATCAATCGGGATGGCTGATTTCATTTCCTTGCTTTGCTTGATTGGTGTTACAACTGCTGCACTGTTGTCTGAGTATTTCCTTGTCTAATATAGTATCTTCATCTCCTCACCTCGGTTATCTTCTTCAAACGGAACCATTTTTTTCATCCTTTTATTGGTTTCTTCCTTGATTGACATGAAATGCTTGCAGATGAAATTATACCATTATTCTACATGGTTCCATCGCTTACTTTCATTAGACAGAAGAAGAATTATACAGTCAACTGAAGTTCTGAAAGACAATCCATTGGTAGTCCTTACAGGTAATGGTATCAAGACAACTATTCAAGCATTTTGGCATAATGCACGTTACTCAGAATTCAAAATACATTATGGCATATTGTGCATAAAAAGTTCTGCGATTTATTCCTCAATTTTGTAGGGACAGCTTATTGCTGACTTTTGAAAGAATTTCTCAACGTTATATGTATAATAGGTTCAATCAAAATTTCAGTCTTGCCATGCTCTATATTGATACTTTTACAATTCGTATATCTATATTTAACACGTAAAATAAAAAAATTATCAAACAATTTGTGTTATTACATCAAATATAAAATATATTTTTTATTTTTGTTTTTATTTATATATAATTTTCACTAAAATTTTAAATGATATTATTTTCGTGTCAATTTTCATATAATTTGTGTCATTATAACATGTTTAAATTTGCCAGATTATAAACTGCCAACATTTGCTTTTGTAGTCCACGTTGATAGTGCTTAAACTAGGAATATTTCAAAGAAGGGGGTATAAATATAAAATTACAGGAGTGGCACTTGGAAATCCCCTGCAAATTCAATCAATTATATGAAATATGGATGAGACCATAATTTTTGCTTGGGTTTGAAAAGTTCTTCCCCAATAAATAACAAATTATCATCCCTTAAAAGACCTAATTTCAGCCTAATAACTTATCCTCATATTGACAAGTATTTTTCAAAGCCATCTAACAACTCCAAAGTCCAAACACACTCATCTTTCTTTTTTCATATTTAATACGTCAAGGAATGAATCAATTTCTTTACGCTCCGTGGAACTTAAAATATATATATATATAGAGAAATAAATTATATTTTCCACACAATATGAACTAACTTTGAATTTAGCTACAACTAGGTTAATACAAAAACATTTCACCTACAATTCTCTTTACTATAATCCTGCAATTAGCCAATTACAATAAATAATTATGTAGGAATCCACCACTTAAGAGTGTAAGCTGTACATAATTTTTTAGGGACCTTACACAATGATGAATTATAATTGGATAATTGCACTATAATATAATTGTAGGTGATCTGGTCCCAGGTTAATAATACATGAATTTAGAACACAAGACCACTCAGTGACTGTTAATGTAGATACAGCAAGACATTACAACTTACTAAATGGCTATTTAAGGCCTATGTTAAACAGACTAAGAAATTACAACTTATGTACGTAAACAGAAAGTTCCCAGCTTTTTAGGCTAATGTTGCAGAGGGAAAGAAAGTGCTGCATTCAAAATAAAACTACATTAGCAGAATAAGAAAATATGTTCAAAATAATTAATAACCCACCACACTCGAGAGCAAAAAATGATTTGATTGATAACTATGAGGAGGTGGAACTGACAGTAGCCTAATTAAAAAGGTTTAAGATTGTGCAAACAATGACACAAATCAACTCAAACGAGTCAGGAAAGTTTCTGGGTGAATATGCTAAAAAACCATTTAATTCTTCCTTAGCTCAAATTGGGAGGTATTTTTCTTTAAGATAAACATTGCAAACTGCAGATATCTTAAGATTAAATAAATACCCTCTGAAACCAAATCCTTACCTTAAGTTCCTATCCAATAAGAGAAACAATAATATACATAAGCAAAAGAGTATCTCAAGACCACTATCCTTGGCTGCCTAAAGGTACAAAAGGCAATGTTTGCCATCCACATAAGTAGTTCAACCTTAGCTTAGAGATGTAATTTGTGAATTAGCCTTGGGATACATCTCTTACAACTAAACGTGGCAACCAATACTTCAATAATTTTGGAGCAATATTAATGTCTAAAACTACAAGATAAATGTTCATTGTGGCAACACTTTGGCGCGATCAAGAAGCAATGTACTTTATGTATAACCACCAATAGAGACCAAATAAAATCATAAACTCTAATTTTGTTGCATTAGGAAACTAATTGAGATTAAGATATCAATCAACTTCAACAAAAGGAACTATGTCAGATCCTAAATCAATATTTTATTGTCCTATAAATTTAACTCGAGTAATACGACATGATGAAACTAAACCAAACACATGAACCAGAAAAAAGCACCAATTAAACACAAACGTAAAAGAAGAAATTCCAAATTCACCTTTCACATTGCTAGTTATTGACACCATTTATCAATGCAGATTAATTAGAGTTTTGGCGAAACAAGGCTCTCCTCATAGAGTTCTGCTTGATAAAATATAAGAAATAGCATATCCATGAATCACAGGAATCCTAAACATCTTCTCTTTAGGATTGTACAGTATTAACTTTGTCCCTAAATGCAGCAGGATTTCACCACTTTCTGATACAAACAAGGGTGTTGAAAACAATCCAGATCCAGGCTCGGTCGCGAGCGTGTATGGAACAGTAACCAACTTAGTCCAAGAATCTCTTTTTCCAAACTCCCTCATAACCCAAACATCAGCATACAATCTCCCATAGTTACAAAGCACACAAAGAAATCCATCCAAGATCCCCGAGGTCTTTTCACTCAACCCATCTCCATAACCCGGTTGGAGCACTTCCATATACGTCTCCCGAGCCAAATCAAGAGAAACAATAATCCAAGAAAAACCCATCTCCTGTACACTAACAATAGCCCAATTCAACCTCCCATCCACATATTTCCCAAGCTCATCACAAGGAACGCCAAATGGAAGATCCTGAATCCTCCTCCAACAATTAGTACTCAATGAATAAACCCCAACTATATTCTTATAACCATCTCGAAAACCCTTACGTTGATAATGAAAAACCCTAACAACCTTATAATCATCCACAGAAGCATCAAAACCAAACCCATAAGCAGTAGAACAGCCCCCCCTTTTCTTAAGAACTAAATAAGGCAATCTTTTACAAATCCCTAAACTCGGGTTTAATAAAAAGACTGTATCTTGTCTGATAGCAATGCAAATTAAGCCATTACATAACCCACAATCAAATTAAAGAGAGAAGCTTTCTTCGATGGATATTCAATTTCTGAGGAATTAACAATTTGGTCTTTGTATATGGCGGTAACAGAGCATGATTTGATGCTGCTTTGGGCTTGGGTTCGAAATTGAGTGTTTCCAGAGTTGATTAAGACTCGTTTTTTAGTGAATTTTGTGTCATTTTGGGTTTTTTGGAGGTGTTTTTTTACGAAGAAAGGGTCGGTTATGAGGGATTTCCAGGATTTGTGAACGCACCTGAAACGGAGGAGGGATTCGACGGGTAAATTTGAGAGGATCTCAACGATGATTTCTAGCGGGAAGATTGCTGGAAAAGACGGTGGAGAAGGGTTGGCGTTTTTAGATCGTTTAGGGCATTGACGTGGCACGTGGCTTTCATGCGGCGGCGATTCTGGGCGGTCGTATTTCTGGATTTGTTGATAGGATGAGGTTGGCGTGGGATCGTGACTCAGTGAGCCAAGTCTTTGATTTGGTTGAGTCGAGGCTGATTCTTCTTCGTTTTGATTTCCCATTTTTGTCACGTTCACAGAGGAGCAGCTGGAGGTACTTTTCTTCGGGGAATTCTAAATGCACTTCATTTAGGGTGCCTTTGGATTTCACTAACCCCCGATTACAATTGGAGTTTGTGCCAATCTCACTGTACAGTGAAAATTTTTTCATTTGATTTTCATCGCCACAGCACTATTGATACCGGATTTCACTGATCAATTTTCGTCCAGTGGCCAACTGGCCTTTCATTTGTCCCTTTTTTTTTTCGTTTTTCGTCCTTTAGTTTTTATTGTAAATACAAGATCAACCCTATGATTTAATTCTTTTTTTTTAATTTTTATTTAAAAATTTTGAAATAATTTTGATTTAATAATAAAGAATATTATTTGATATATTATTATTTTTATTAAATTTAAATTATTTATTAATTTTATCAATACTAAATAATTTAAAACTTTTATTATATATAACTTTTAATATAATATATTTAATAAAAAAATTTTCACTATAATTCATTTCACCGTTATCGTTATTTTTTTATCTAAACACATATCTTATCACTGATTTTAATCTCATCATAATAATAATCAATCACACATCTATCGTTATTTTCAATCTTATTAAAATCAATTTTATCGTTCATTCAAATGAACTCTTAATGCTAACTACACCTCAAATTCAAAACTCATTTTCCTATTTTTATTAAATACACCTCATCCCTAACTTTTTTTATTTTTCATTTCTACCTTTTCTTTCTTCTTCTATTTTCATTTCTTGAAATCCAGTTTATAGAAAATGAATATTTGAGAATTTTTAAAATTTTTTCAATATTCATTTAAGAAAAATTTCAAAGCTTCTCAGATATTTATTTTCAAGAAACCTTTTATCTTCTCGATCATTTCTGATAAGCATTAAGCCTTCTCAAAAATACATATCCTAAAAGATTTAAAGCTTTTTGGCTCTCTATATCGAAGAAGCTCAATTTCACTTTTAATCAAAAATCTTAATCATGGGCTTATGAACTCATTTATTTGATTATATTTACGAATAGAACTAAAATCGATGTTCTCAACATGCATGATATAAACTTGTTCTTTCTCTTGAGCTTCCAGAAAATCGAGAACATCATTTTTTTATCATGCATACTTGAGAACTTTGTCTCTTTCATTTGTATATATGATCAAGTAAGAATTGGCACATCGATGACTTATGTATACTAGTTCGAGCTTGAACACCCTCTAAAATATTGTCATTGACAATGTCATCAATAGATTAACAAATTCGACAGTATTTAATCTTTTCAATCACTGATCTTTATTGTCAAACTTGTCAGTTTGTTGATGATATTTTTTAGTTGCCTAAAGATTAAAGATTCTGATTTTTTTGCTAACAATAGTTTATAATTAAATATATATTTTTTAAAAAAAATTTATGCATTCTCAAAAATAGATTTTCAAGAGTTGTTAAGACAAATTTTTTAGAGCACATGATGGCTTTCAGAAATCTATTTTCGAGAAAACAACATAATTCTTGGAAATGGATTTTTCAAGAAGTGTATTTTTCTCGGTAATCTATTTTCGAGAGTTATATTGCTTTCTTGAAAATGACTTTTTGACAGTGTTCTAGACATCCATTTTTTGCGAAATACGAGGTGAAATTTAGGTGTATGAGTTATTAAGGGTATTTTTTTCATTTACAAAAGGTTAAAATTGATATTTGGTATGTGGGTATTTTGAAAAAAAAAAAATTAGAGCTGTATAGAGAAAATTTGGTGTTATATTTAGAACATGCATTTTTCTTTTCTTTCTGGGGATAAGGGAAGTTAACAGTTGAGGCTTACGATTTTTAACGACCCACATCTTTGGGCCAAAGATTAGTTAATTTCAACCCATCTAATCCAAGTATTTATTTTCAGAAAATCCTTTAGCCCAATTCGAAACTAGAAGATTAAAAGTTAGGGTAAAATAATTCTTGTTGTTATAATTAAAAATTTACGTATAGATTATTACAAAATTTATTTTATTAAAATTAGTAAATAGTTTTTTATTTTTGAAAATAATTGAAATAGCATTCAAGTACGAGAATTCAACTACTGGACATAAAAAGAAGAGTCCCCTCAAATCTTTTTATATTAAGAGGTGATTAGTGATATGAGTGAATTTATTCTTTTTAAAGAAATTATAAATTTGACAAGGTTTTTTGAAAATAATAAGTTATGATCTACATTACAGAGTTAGGTTCAGAAGTGTGATTATTCAAAGTACCAATAAATTTTATATTAACCTAAAATTGTATTGACTACATAGTATTTTATTTTTTATTTTATCATTCTTTTTGTTTTTGAAATTATTATTTGAGTGACAAAACTTTTCTTTAGTCTTTTTCATATTTTTGATATAACTTGAGAAATTTGCTTTCAAGAAAATCACTTATTCTATTGAAGAAGCTCCAATTAATTTGATGATTTATGCAAAGAATTTATTTATTTTATCTCGTTTTTAATTTTTAATTTTTACTTAACTTTTATTTTTTATTTTTTACTTTTACATTACTTTTAGTTATAAAAAAAGTGTCTTCAATTAATTATTAAATATTTTATGAATAAAGTGAATAGGAATTCTTTTATTGGAATATTTTCAAAATTTTCTCAATATTTTGGTAAGATTTTAAAAAATATTCCTTAATGAAATTTTTAAAAAAAAATCCCAATATTCTTGGTAAATTTTTTGAAAATTTCCTCGTGTAAGACTTTCAACAAAATTGTCACTTTTGATCTTTTTATTCTACCTTTGGAAGAATTTTTGCTTACTTGTAAAAAATAATTAAATTAAATGTAAATAATTTTTTAATTATACAAAGAAAATTAAATCTACAAAATCATTTTATTAAATCATACCTTTTTTGTTTTTACATTTGTATTGTCAATCAATTAAAACATTTTCCAATATAAAAAATATGCATGTCATAACATAAATAAGTGAAAAAAAAAAATATAAAAACTAAATAAGAAGGGAAATACAAAAAATATGGGCTTAATCTAACTAAAATAAGGTTTAGACTTAGTATTGGATTGATCAACAAAAGTCAACTGAGACAAGTTGAATGCTATTAGGTCAGATCCAATTTGAAGCAATATTATGAGTCTCACCCTCTTAAGTCTTAAACACACAACCTTACCAAAACTATAAAAGTCAAATATTTTTCTTTACTTTCATTTTTCTTTTCCCCTTCTTTCTTTACTCCAATGTTCTATGTTTTCTTTTCAAAGTTCTTTTTTTTTCTTAAGAACACCAACCGAAAATTCAAAGAGCCCAGAATTTTACAATCGATTGTCATGCCATCCATCATCTGTAACCATAGATTATTTTACATCAACATTGAAAAACCTAAAAAGTCTTTTTACAATTCCTAGTGATCTACTATCTTCACTTCTCGGATTAATTTTTTTTAAACTACTTCAACTAAACCTAAATTTAAATTGAAAGTTTGATACCACAGCTAATATCTCATTCATTTTTTGCCATTAAGACACCCTAAAATCAATACCAACTCTTCTTCTTGTCCTTCTATGATCGTTCAACCCCCAAATAGTAGAAAAACCTCCAAAAACAAATTAACCAAAAACCCTTAAAAAATGTCTTAACCAATTTTTCTTTTGTGACTTTTTTACTAATTGTGCTTTTTTTTTTTGCTAGATTATTGCTAATTGCCTTTATTGTTATGGTGTATTTGCTTTGCTAATTGTGTATTATGGTTACTAGAAATGCTTTATGTTTGCCATTCCACCCTTTTAATCTGGAAAACTTAGACAAAAACCCAAAGACAAAAAACAATTCTTTAAACCTTGAAAATCTTTATTGCCAAAACCCATTTGTTATGCCTTTGTATTGATTCTTATGGTGCTTGTTGATCGAGGGTTACAAGTGTCTAATTGCGTGTGATTGAGAGTTTTCTTGTTGTTTATTTGTTGGTAATGTTATTTTTTATAGAGATTAGTCAAAGAAAAATAAGGTTTCAAATAAATTGAATCTGTTAGAACCTGAGTTTGAAAAAACATGCAAAATTGAGGAAAGGTTTCAAGGTGTATAACGACAACACTTTTCTTAATGTTTTATTCACCCCTACCACTTAATTAATCGGTATGCAAAAGAGTTATTAAAAAATACAATGAAGCCCAATGATTGATTGTGTTTTACATTAAAAAATTAATCCATTGAGTATTCACCAACCTATGAACAAAATTATGTGATTTGGCTATAGAAACTTATAGGATTTTTTTCGGCTTTTGTTTCATGTACAAAACATTTCTACATAATAATAGTTTCTATCTTATATCTTTCAAAATCAAAAGAGTTCTATTATAATTAAATAGAGATCTCTTTATACAAACATAATTGTCTATAAATATGCCTATTTATGTAGACACCATTCTTTGCAATACACAACTTTTAGTAAATAATTATGTCTTTTAAATAGATATAATTATTCATCATTATATGTAATTCATATGACTTATTATTTTGAAAATGTTTCATTAGCCTCTAGCTGTTTTCAAAATAAACCAAAATTTTGATAATTTTGGAAATTTTATACATAATGGAGGTATCTTTCGATTTAAACATTTACTTAGTAAAAATAAGTTAAAGTTAACAGAAATTGCATGGTAAACTATGGTTTGAACTAGTTATTCTATTTGGTTAACCGAACTTAGCTTACATTAAAAACTTTTACACCAACTTAATGTTCGATAGTCGAGGATACTATTTTGGCCATATGTCACATCTTTTTTTCATGAGTGTAGCTAAAGCTAAGCTATCGAAGTCTTAAAAAACGATCACACTTCACACTCACATAGATAGCTCCCATCAAGAGTATTCTCGTAACTATAACACTCTAACATTTTTATGTTATGGATTTATTAAAAGTATAATCTCATTCTTCCCTTATCATTATGGGTACTAAACACTTTACTTGAGATGAAAATATAAGATTATAATGCTTGTAATCACATATAAATGATATACTTTGGCTTATTAAACTTAAAACTTGATGTTATACCAAATGTTGAGTTGAGTTTACATCATGGTTAACTTTATATTATAGGCTTAAACCTCATCCCTAAATTTTCAATATAACTATGTTAATTTTACATACCCCATAGTGAAATTTTATATTAATTTGCAATTAAAGGTTTATGAAACCAACACTCCCACCATATATGTATATACATTCTTTAAAGAATGTTTTCCAAAGTAATTCAACTATTAAGGATATCCATTGTACAATTGTTATAAATTCTTTTAGTTCATAGTCATCTCTATATCTTTATTTTTGTCATGATAGTTTTATATTTGTCCATTTTATATATTTTTTATATTAAGGGAGTGCATTCGTCAATTTTAATCGACTACACTGACATGACCTGATTTAATTCGATTTTTTTGAGTTAGTTCTATCGATTTAACAATTATGTAAGGTGGATGATCGGGTAAATCAACTTAATCGATCAATTTTCAATGATTGGATTTGAAACTGACTTGATCGAAAAAATCGACTTTAATTAAATAATAAAAAATAAATATATTATTAATAATTTTAGCTTACCTATTGCCCATTTCAATATACTCAAATGAACCTTAGCTTCCAAATTTAATTTTTTTCGTCTAATTTCTCTCTTGAGTCTTGATTCCTCTTAACTCTCAATACAATCTCACTCATTCTCACCCACGATAGCCATCAATTACCAACCAATGACCAACCTACCATAACCATCAACCACCAACCACTAGAGACTGAAATTGATGATTATGTGTTTGGCTGAAACTGATGATTTGGCCTTCAAATTCCTTGCCCAGAGTTATTTTGAATCTTGATTGAAATGAAGTAACCCACTGTGAATTCCTCACCATCCATCCTTTGTAATAAATGTGCAAAGTTGACTGTTACGTTTTTTGGGTGGGTTAGATGAGTTAATTGTTACTTTTTACTTTTTTTTTTTTGCTTTTCTTCTTCTATTTATTCTACATTTTGAACTTTTTCTTCTTTGTTGATGACTTAAACACGATAGGAAATAGGCCAAAATTCTATTAGTTGGACTTAGGCCAACAACGTAAATCTTTTAAGGTTAATTTTAGACAAATAGGAAATGTGTGATTTTATAATTTTGTTACATAAAGCACAAATTGATATAGTCGACCGAGCTGACTGAATTAAATTGGTTCGATTAATTTTAATTACCTATCACTTGGTTAGTCGGTTCAGTTATTCTCAAGATTAAATTGATTAAGTTGATTTTTAAAATTAATCGACCGAAAAAATTGACTCAACTGTTTGCTCTACCTTGCTTGATATCCTAAGAAATCAATGTCATTACCATCAAATTGTGAACCATACATTATTTTGTCTTTTCAACAAGTAAATTATTGTAAAGAGGCCTCAATTCCCTTGGTGTAATAAAACAATCTTTTTGCTATTTTTTTCATAACTTCTTATTATATCAATTTAATACTTATAATTTATTGTGTATATATACTCAAATGGCATGATATTTCATCAACAAATTAAATATATATACAACGGTGCTTGATATATTCTTTTTAGAATATAATCATATTAGAATACCATCAATAGACTTATCAAATGACTATCAATATTATATATATAGATATATAACCTTTATCATGAACATTATTAGCCATTTTTATGGCCTTAATCGAAATTATGTCCACCACTCATATGGTTCATAACGATAGTTCTAGATATATAATAATTTTAAACTTTATTCTTAGAACTAGACCTGATAATTTCAGATACAACACAATGATACAGTATGAAAACGATATAAAAAAAATTGTATATGTGTTTTTAAAAAACTTGTTTTATATTTATTCAAGTTGATACGAATTTTGATATGACACAATTTGTGTCTTATACGTATTGACACGTCTAAATACATGACGTGACACAAATAACACGTTTAATTTAATCTTGTTATACGAGTACACATTTAACATATTTAATACATTTAACATGTTTAACACATTTAACACATTTTTTATATTTATTTTAATTTAATATAAACATATAAAGATTACTTTAGTTTTTAATCTATTAATTATGATGCTTAATTAGCTATTTAATATCATATAAAAATTATTTTAAATATTTAATTATGACACTTATTTAATAATTATTGTAAAATTATTTTTTATATTAATAATATAAATGCAATTTAAATATTAATATTAGTCATATACATTATTATTTTATTCTTTAATCTTTAATAGTTTATTATTTTAAATTTGATACTAAAAATTAATATAGTTATACAATAAATATTAAAATTTAAATATATATTAAATGAGTATTAAGTTTTTTTATTTTTTTAATATGTAAGTATTTTTTTATATTATTAATATGCCAAGTTTATTAAGTTGTAAATTATGGATAGTTTAATTTTAGTCGTGTTCTTATATATATTCGTATTAGTCGTATCTATTCGTATATATTCATGTTAATTGTGTCTATTCGTGTTTATTTGTATCGTGTTTAAACAGATTAATTGTATATGTGTTAATCGTGTCATGTCACATGTAACACGTATAATAAATATGTTATGTTTGTATTTAAGATTTAAATACGTTTTATAATTTGTATCATGTTCGTATTTTAATAATTCATATAATTATACATGTTAAATATGACATGAGATATGACACGAAAATATAAATTGCTACATCTAATTAGGACCAATATACTTATACACAATTAGAATTTATCGTATATTTAACTTTAATTTTTAGTACTGATGCAAGTTATGAAACATGACAATCTAAGGCTTACACATTAACTGTACATGATCAATACACATCCTTACTATGAAATTATAAAAACCTATGGAGATTTGCACATTTTCCTCTTTTTTAGAAAAAAAAATTTTACACACATAAATGCCATATATGGTTGCAATTATCTATAATCTCTATATGCATTACAACAAACTTTATTTAAATTGTTTTAATTGCAAATCGTCTCATTTTCTCCATAGTATTTCAAAATGAAACTTTCAAATCCATAAACATGGCTAATAAAACATAGGTGGACTGCCTTCAAATATCTATAGTTAATCATAGCCTTAATGTTATTAATGAAGTGGCTTTTCCATTTAAACTTTAATATCACATTTAGCCCAATTTGTTGGCCAAACTTTTAGTTCAAAAGAGTAACATAAAATTTCACAAATAAATCATGCCAATATATTTAACCTATTAATTTCATAATATTACTAGCCACAATTTTGAAAATTCCATTCCAATGAAACTTTTGGAATGCACAATTAATAAATTTTAGTAGCCTAAGTAATATGAAAAGCAATCATGAAAATGGATTTATGCAACAGAATTAAACAATGAATTAATGGCATACCTGAACACCAACCGATATATTGGTTGCTTTAGACACATGGACCTCACAAGCCACTTACTATAGAAGTGGAAACCACATAAACATAATCAATAGATTTTTATTTTTGATTTACTTGATTTCAGGCCCAAACATGTAAACTTTCGATGATGAACCATAATTCTATCCTTTGCTTCTATCAATAGCTTTTAATAAAAATTTCTCATAAACTTGCAAAATTAGAACTTTAACATTTTTAAGAAATAGGGTTTGAAAAAATATGAGAAATTGAGAAAAGCCTTCAAAGCGTGTAACAGTGTTATTTTCCTCAAGGGTTTATTTGCTCCCACACTTGATTAATCGGTATACAAAAGAATTATTAAAGATAAATCTCGAAAATACAAAGAAACCTAATGATTGATTGTGTTTTACATTGATGAAATCAATCCACTGAAGGTTCAACTACATAAGAATAAAATTATATGATTTGATTATAGAAAACTTGTGGGGTTTTTTCAGCTTTTGTATCATGTACAAAATATTTCTACATAAATGATATTTTTATCTTGTATCTTCCAAAAGCTAGAAGAGTTATATTTATAATTAAATAGAAGTCTCTTTGTACAAACATAACTATCCATAAAGGTGCTTATTTATATATGTACCATTCTTTGTAAGACACAATTTTTAGTAAATAATTATGTGTTTTAAAGAAATATAGCTATTCACTATCATATATTATGCATATGACTTATCATTTTTAAAATGTTCCAAAATGATCTACCAAAACAAATCTAATTTCATTTTATTAATTTTTCATTTTGCTTTTCCTTTTCTCTAAGCTTATGTTTGGATAAAATTAGTAACGGAAAAGAATAAAAAGTAAAGAAAATGAAAGGAAGGTTTTTTTTTAAAAAAATGATATATATATATATATATACCTTTTATTTAAATAGTTAAAATTAATAAAAAAGAGCAAAGGAAAAGAATCCCAATAAACATTGCTTGGTTAAAGAGTGAAAAGGAATAGAAAATATTCATTCAAATTTTTTTTCCAATTAAAACTTTCATTTATAAAATAACCCTAATGTCAAACTAAATATTTTGTCACTTATATATATTTATTTCGAGTTTTTTATTCCAATATTATGTTTGACTTACAATAAAAAAAATATAATAAATACCAAAATTATTCATAACAAATTATTTTAAGTAAATTTAAAATTGAAAAAAGAAAAAAAAAAAAAAGCGCTAGTCAAGTATATGTTATATTTTTAAAAAATAATAAAATTTGGAATTGTTTGTACCTAACTTTTTTTCCATGATATTTGTATATACCAAATATTTTTTCAACTGCTTCGAATAAGATCATCAAATGATTATTTGCATCGTTAAATACAATAATTTAGCAGGCTAAAATAATGAAACAATAAAACATGACAATTTTTTTTGTTATTATTTTGAAATATAGAAAGTGTGAGTTTCGTAACAAATTAAATACTCATATCCATTAGTAGCCTGTTTTTTATCGGCATTCCATTTTCAGTCTTTTTTAAAGCCATTTAACAACTCAAAAGTCCAAAGACCAAACACACTCATCTTTCTTTTTCATATTTAATGCATGAATTTAGAACACAAGACTACTCAGTGTCTGTAATGTAGATACAGCAAGACATTACAACTTACTAACTCGCTATTTAAGGCCTATGTTAAACAGACTAAGAAATTACAACTTATGTAGATAAACAGAAAGTTCCCAACTTTTAAAGGCCAATGTTGCATAGGGAAAGAAAGAGCTGCATTCAAAAGAAAACTACATTAGCAGAATAAGAAAAATATGTTCCAAATAATTAATAACAAAGTAACCCATTGATGAACATATTGCTACATTCGAGAGCATGAAATGATTTGATTGAAAATTATGAGGAAGTGGAACTGACTGTAGCCTAATTAAAAAGGTTTAAGAGTGTGCAAACAATGACACAAATCAACTCAATCGAGTCAGGAAAGTTTCCCGGTGAATATGCTAAAACACCATCTAATTCTTCATTAGCCCAAATTGGGAGGTATTTTTCTTCAAGATAAACATTGCAAACTGCAGATATCTTAAGATTAAATCCATACCCTCTGAAACCAAGTCCTTACCTTAAGTTCCTATCCAATAAGAGAAACAATAATATACATATGCAAAAGAGTATTTCAATATCACTATCCTTGGCTGCCTAAAAGTACAAAAGGCAATGTTTGCCATCCACATAAGTAGTTCAACCTTAGTTCAGAGATGAATTAGCCTCGGGATACATCTCTTACAACTAAATATCGCAACCAATATTTCAATAACTTTTGAGCAATAGTAATGTCTAAAACTTCAAGATAAATGTTCATTGTGGCAACATTTTAGCGCGATCAACAAGCAATGAACTTTATGTATAACCACCAATAGAAACCGAATAAAATCATAAACTCTAACTTTGTTGCATCAGTAAACTAATTGAGAGTAAGATATCAATCAACTTCAACAAAAGGAACTCTGTCAGATCCTAAATCAATATTTTATCATTCTATAAATTTAACACAAGTAATTCGACAGGATGAAACTAAACCATACACATGAACCAGAAAAAAGCACCAATTAAATATAAACGTAAAAAAAGATATTCCAAATTCACCTTTCACATTGCTAGTTATTGACACCATTTATCAATGCTGATTAATTAGAGTTGGTGAAACAAGGCTCTCCTCATAGATTTCTGCTTGATCAATATAAGAAATAGCATCACCATGAATCACAGGAACCCTAAACATCTTCTCTTTAGGATTGTACAGAATTAACTTTACCCCCAAATGCAGCAGGATTTCACCACTTTCTGATACAAACAAGGGAATTGAAAACAATTCAGACCCAGGATCCCGCATGTATGGAACAGTAACCAACTTAGTCCAAGAATCTCTCTTTCCAAACTCCCTCATAACCCAAACATCAGCATACAATCTCCCATAATTACAAAGCACACAAAGACATCCATCCAAAATTGCCAAGGTCCTTTCACTCACACCAACTCCAAAACCCGGTTGGAGCACTTCCATGTAAGTCTCCTCAGCCAAATCAAGAGAAACAATAGTCCATGAAAGACCCATCTCTGGTCTACTAAAAACAGCCCAATTCAACCTCCCATCCACATATTTCCCAGCCTCATCACAAGGAACCCCAAAAGGAAAATCCTGAATCCTCTTCCAACAATTAGTCCTCAATGAATAAACCCTAACTATACTCTCATAACCATCTCCACAACCCTCACTTTGACAGCAAAAAACCCTAACAACCTTATAATCATCCACAGAAGCATCAAAACCAAACCCATAAACAGTATAACAACCCCTCCTTTTCCTAAACCCTAAATCAGGCAATCTTTTACAAATCCTTAAACTAGGGTTTAATAAAAAGACTGTATCTTGTCTAATAGCAATGCAAATTAAGCCATTACATGAACCGACAATCCAATCAAACCGAGAAGCTCTCTTCGACGGGTATTCAATTTCTGAGGAATTAACAATTAGGTCTTCATATATGGCGGCAAGAGAGCATGATTTGATGCTGATTTGGATTTGGGTTTGGGTTTGGGTGTTTCCAGTGTTGATCAAGACTCGTTTTTTTGTGAATTTGGGGTCATTTTGGGCTTTTTGGAGGTGTTTTTTAACAAAGAAAGGGTCGGTTATTAGGGAATTCCAGGATCTGCAAACGCATCTGAAACGTAGAAGGGATTTGACAGGTAAATTTGAGAGGATTTCAACGATGAGTTCTAGTGGGAAGATTGGTGGAAACGACGGTGGAGAAGGGTTGGCGTTCTTTGATCGTTTAGGGGATTGAGGTGGCACGTGGCTTTCATGCGGCTGCGAATCTTGGCGGTCGCGTTTCTGGGCTTGTTGATAAGAAGAGGTTGGTGTGGGTTCGTGACTCAGTGAGCCGAGTCTTTGATTTGGTTGAGTGGAGGCTGATTCTTCGTTTTGATTTTCCATTTGAGTCACCGTCAGAGAGGAGCTGGAGGAAGAAGGGAAAGAAAAATTTTCGTTTCTTTCTTTTATTTTTGTTTATGGGGGCAGGGAAGTTGTGGGTTGAGAGCTGCGATTTTAAATGAACCATTTCACATTCAATTATTTTTATTGTAATTAAAATTTATTTATTAAATTAATAAATATTTTATTTTTAAAAATAATTGACATAATGTTTAAGTACGAGAATTCGACTATTAAACACAAAAAGAATAATTTTTTCAAATTTTTTATTAAGTACAATTGACTTAATTGAATTTTTTTTTTTTAAATTAAATTTGATTAAACTTTTTAAAAATAATAAGTTTTAATTTACATATAAAAAAATATATTAACATCCTCATAATATCCATTCAAAATATCAATAAATTTTATATTATTATAAAATTATATCAACTAATAGGTATTTTATTTTTTAATTATTATTTAAATATCAAAAAAATTTTCACACTATTAATGTAACAAGAAATTTGCTTCGAAGAAAATCATTCATCCTAGTAAAGAGGCACCGATTAACTTGATATTTTATGAAAAAAATTTATTTATTTTATCTTATTTTTTATTTTTATTTTTACCTAATTTTTTTTTTTTTTTACTTTTACATTACCTTTAGTTATGAAATAAAATCTTTTCAAGTAAATTTTATTCATAATCATTGAACTATACTGTTAGTCTCATACGAGTCACTGAATTTTAATTTTTTTCAATAAAATCATTAAAATTTAATAAATATATAAAAAATAATTATTTTATAACTTTCATCCAAATTATTTAATAAAAAAATGATGTGACTATCGTATCAGTACCACGTAAGCTAAATTTAAATTTTTTTCATTTCTTTTCTCTTCCCCTTTCTAATCTCCCGCCTTCTCTGTCAAATTCTTCAAGCCTCCATTCACTGCCAAAAACTTGTATCATACCACCTTCAAAGCTTAAACTTATGGAAATTGTTTTCAAATAGGATGAGAAGCAAAGAGTGAAAATATATAAAGCGAAGGAATTAATACACGTCAAGACAAAAGCGTAGTTATTTGCATTGGGTTGAGTTTTGAGGAATCTGAGATTTTGAACACATAATTTTAGGGTGAGCATCGAAAGTTTAAATATCAAACTTTAGTAAAAAAAAAAAAAATTGAGGTTTAATAATAAAAAAATAACAGCCGACATTGATTTGTGAAGATAAGTAGACAATTAATTTGACAATGTAAAAAAATTTTCTTTACGATGAATACCTGGCAACAGATATCACATAAAATCAACAAAAACATTAAAAACAATGAATTTTGACCAATACCCATAATCAAATCACATTTTTTATTAAAAAAAATATTAAAATTTTTTTAATAAAAAAATCCATCTACAAAATAAAACTTTGAAAATCAAAAGAAAATACATATCTAATAATTAAAAAGATCTTACGTATTTTGACAGAAAGACTATATTTTGAAAAAAAAAAAAATCAGAGAAGCTAGGACTCAAAAGGAGTTAGTATTTATGAGTTGAGTTCATAATTTTTTTTTTTTTTATGAGGATAGTTATGTACGGTAAAGATAAACGCGGCCACAATATTTTTTTTATATATTTATTTTGGGTATCAATTGCTAGTGGTGATTTTTTTTTATTTTTTATTTTTGCTTTGGAAGTGGTGTAATACGAGTTTTTGGTGGTCATGGACGGTGGAAGCTTAAAGAATTAGAGAAAGAAAAAGAGAGATTAGAGAGAGTGTGAGAGAAATGAAATGAAAAAAATTTAAGTTTAGTTGATATGGTAAATGATGAGGCATTGAAATGGTAGGTACATCATTTTTCTGTCAAAAAATTTGGATGAAATTTATTAAGTAACTATTTTTTTTATATATTTATTAAACTTTAATAATTTTATTGATACAAATTAAAGTGGAGTGATTCGTATAAGAATGGGGGTATAGTTTAGTGATCATAGATAAAATTTACTCAAGTATTTTCAATTAATTATTTTTGTTTTGTTCTTTATAACGTGGATAAAAGAGTTAAACGAACTTCCTATTTCATAAATTTAAGGAGAATTTTAAATGCACCTCATTTAATGTGATATACATCTCATTTTTATATACACCCTAAAATCTAATGATGAGCAATTGATCAGTTTAATCAGTTCAGTCGGTTAAGTTTGAAAAAAATTAATAATCGATTTAATCAATTTTCATTCAACAAATAATCAATTTGATCAAAATTTTTTTAAATAACCAACCATAATTGAATTGACCAAAATTGATTCAGTTCAATCGATTCGATTAAATAACTAAATTTATTATTATTTTTTCTTCCTATTATGAATAATTATTTAACCACAATTTCAATTCAATTTCAATTCAATTTCAACTATTATTTAAATTAAATCATTAAAAAATTTAATAATTTTAGCAATATTTAACAAAAAAAATAAAAATACTTATTTCAGTTTTTTTACTTTTACTTATTAGAAAGTTAATTAATTTAATTTAATTCGGTTATCAATTTTAAAAATTAAAAAGTTGACTAAATTAATCAATTTAAAAAAAACTGATTATAACCAAAATTGAATAACCCGAATCAATTCAACAAAATTCACTCAATTTTCTATTGGTTTAGTTAGTTCAAACTTACTTTTGCTCATCCCTGCCAAAATCAAAACTCATTTTCTTATTTCTACTAAATACTCTTCAGCCCTCATTTTCTATTTTTTATTCTTACCCTTTTTCTCTTCTTCTATTTTACTTCCTGAATTTGAGCTTTTCGAAAATTAATATTCTAAAAGTTTTGAAGCTTATCGAAAATGAATATCTAAAAAACTTTAAAAATTTTTTGATATTCATTTCTAAAAAGTTTCAAAATTTTCAAGTATTTATTTATGATAAAACTTCTCAAATTTTCATATTCGAGAAGATTCAAAACTTTTCAAAAATAAAAATACAAGAAATTTTGAGACTTCTCGGATTTTTATATCCAGAAAGCTCAATTTCACTTTTAATAAAAAACATTAATCATGCATTTATAAACTTATTTACTTGATTATGTGTGCAAATAAAATTGAAATTAATGTTCTCAATATGCATGGAATAAACTAAAATTGTTTTCTTGGTTTTCTGGGCTTAGGACATAAAATTTTTTATTCTATGCATATTTGAGAACTTGGTCCCTTTCGTTCATACATATAATCAAGTCATAATAGACACATCAATGACTTATGTGTGTTCATGCATACTAGTTCGAGGTTGAACATCCGATAGAACATTGTCATTGACAATGTTATTGACAGATTGATAAATTTGACATTCTCTAATTTTTTAGCCAATAATTTTTACTGTAAGATTTGTTAGTCCGTTGATAATATTTTTCAATGGCCTAAAGATTAGAGATCTCAATTTTTCTATTATCAAAAGTTTATAATTAAATATATATTTAAAAAATTTTATGTATTTTTGAAAATGAATTTTTGATAGAACATGATGACTCTAAAAAATCCATTTTCGAGAAAGCAATTAATTCTCAAAAATGAAATTTCTGAAATTTGTTTTTTGTTTTCAATAAACCATTTACAAAAATCTTATTGCTTTTTTGAAAATTGATTTCCGAAAAACAATATAACTCTTGAAAATTCATTTTTGAGAAAATACGAGATGATTTTTCGATGTATAAGCTATTAAGGGTATTTTTGTTATTTATTAAAGGTTAAATTTGGTATTTGGTATGTGAATATTTTTTGAAGAAAATTTTTGGAGATGTATAAAGATATTTTGGTGGTGTATTTAGAGCACCCCTAAATTTAAAAGGAGAATTCTATTTACTCCTACAAAATTTCTCTTTAGACTTCATTATTAAATACACCCTACTTCCACAATATAAATTTTTATTTCTTATAAGTACACCCCATCTAATAAAATCACATTTCTTTTCACACCCTTTTAACTCTTTTCTTCATTCTCTCATTGGCAATCCAAATTCAATACAAATTTAATCTTAAAACCATCAAACCAACCCCTAAATCATATATTGTTTGAGTATTTCATTGATTGCAGATAAAATTCCAACATGTTTATTGATTAATTTGGTTTAATTGGTGCGAAAATTGTCCAAAGTTTATGATGATATTCTATCAAATTTGAGCTTTTCGAAAATGAATTTTCAAGAAGCCTTTAAAGCTCTCGAAAATGAATTTTCGAGAGTTTTAAACATTTTCGAAAATTTAAAACTCTCATAAATGAACTTCCAAGATTTACTTGAAAATTTATTTAGGAGAGCTTTAAAAGATTTTTAGATATTCATTTTTGAAAACTTTAAAGTTGGAGTGTAAAAAAGGTAAAATTATTATTTATTAAAGGATAAAATTGATATTTTATATATGGATTTTTTAAAAAAAAATTTAGGTGTAAAGAGAATTTTGGTGGTGTATTTAGAAGCCCTCAATTTAAAATTTGTATTTTCTTACTAATAAATATTTTTTTCATAATAACAATTAATAAAAATTGGGCATCTTTTCAAATTCCCCATTTAACTTTGAATGCATTTTTAAAAATAGTAGATTTAATTATCAATCATTTAACGTCCATAACCAAATTAAGCTTCAAAGATTTCAAATATAACATCTCAAGAAGAACACAACTCACACAAGTACCATATATCACAGCCTGAGTATAGAAATGGAATTGGACTTAGTAGTAAAATATTTTCAATCCCAAGCATTTCAGTCAGCTGAGGAGTTGAATCGAATTTAAGCGTGGACAACACAGAGCCTTCAATGGCTTAGCCTTTGACAGAGTTATTCCTGAACCCGGGCTCATATCCACCTTTTCTGGTCCAATGTTTTTCCATTCAAAGCATTGTATGGCTGCACCAAGTGCCAAGAAAATCAATCGCATACCCATGGCGACCCTGGACAAGCTCTTCTGCCAACTCCAAATGGAAGAAACCTGTAACCTTCCTTGTCTCCAAGGGTTGATTCAAAGCTGTCAGGTTTGAACTGGGGTGGCTCATCCCACAAACTGGGGTCCCGATGGACGGCCCAAACTTTCACCATTAACATTGTACCTTTGGGTATATCATAGCCACCCACCACGCAATCTTCAGATGAGAAATGAGGCAGCAGAAGTGGGGATGGAGGATATAGCCTAAGTGACTCGTTCACAACGCTACGAAGATAGGGAAGGTGGGCCAGATCTGAGTCATTCAGCAACCGTCCATGTCCGACATGGCTATGTATCTCTGTCCTCACCTTCTGCATTGCTTCAGGATGGTTCAAGAGAAGTGACATTGCCCATTCCATTATTACTGCTGTCGTTTCTGTCCCTGCATTGAACATTGTCTGATTTCGTTTAGAGATTGATTTTTTTTGGAACTTATATAAGAGATAAGCACCAATCTAAAGTATCAAAACAAAGTGTCAATATTACTTAAAGAAGTTAGTTTCCTTGTTCCAGAATTTCCTTACATTTCTAGATTCTAAAAACAGTTTTAAAAGCTTAATTGCATTATACATGGGTAATTGATAAATCCGTTGATCAGTGTATAGTCCCGAAAAAAATCTTGGATCAACTGAACAGGATTTATTTGCATCCAAAAGATTGGCTTCAAAAAAGGGTCCCATGGTTTAAGTTTCAAGTCTTTGAGCTTAATTACTGTTGTTTTATTCACCTGTCTAAATATTAAAGCAACAGTGAAATGATCAAAGGGAGGACTGTACTCCTTACCAGCACCATGCTCTTAGTGACCTCGTTTGAACACAACTCAGGATCTTCCTCTTGAAGAAACAAGAGCGTTTCAAACAGTGAAGGCTGCTTCTTTCCCAGGTCCTTTATCGCAGTCTTTTTGAGTCTAATTTCATCGATTAAATTCTTAACGTACTCATCTCTCTTCCTCTGCACATTTCTCATATGCTTCTGATTCCTTTGAAACCGACCAACCTCAAAACAGGAAAGAAATCACAAACAGTCATTCCAAGGCTTGGAAAGAATAGCTCTGTGAATTCCCGCAAGAATTTTTTTTCTGCATGCACGTCCCTGGCATCCATGTCCACTCCAGGCTTTCCAACAACCATCCTCAACATGATATTAACCGTCAAGAGAGAAAACAAGAACTTCAAATCCACCTTTTGGTTGCCATTAGCTGATGCTTCAAACAATCGATGAACAAGTTTGCTGACTTCCTCTTCACGTATGGAGCAAACCTTTGAAGGCTATTTGCTGAGAAGATCTCTGCAACACTGAGGCGACGAAGGTTCCGCCAGAGATTACCATATGGAGCCCATGCAATGGTCACGTCCTCGTTTGTCAAAATATCGCCTGCTATTGTTTCAGGCCGGTTTGCAAATATGATATCATTCTTGGTGAAGCATTCTTCAATGTCTGATGGAGAAGATACAATAAGGACACTCCTGGAACCAAATTGGAGGTACAAAACTGAACCGTACTGTGACATAAAGTCTCCATTGCAAGGTAGAGTGGTTTTTTGATGAGGTGAAGGTGGCCAATAATTGGAAGACAAAACGGACTTGGAGGTAGATTTTTCCTTTTGATTGTTACAAGTTTAAGAGTGGCAAGGATGAAGATTATAAGAGCCAGGCACCGGTACAAAATTTCCATGGAAAATTAGAAGATCACAACAAGAACGCGAGAAACAAAGAAAGACCCTGAATGTTATCGTTCCAGCCTTTGAATTGATAATGTTATCTTCACGTACACTAGCCTTCACTCTTCGCTAGGTAGGGCTTGGTGCATTGGATTTTTGGGGTCACCACGTTTTTATGAAGGGTTTGTAATTGTATTGTAATATCAGAAAATTAAAGAGATTATACATAAAAGTTTATAGGCCATTTATTTCGAGGGACTGAAAATGGTAAACCAAGTCATCTGGTTTCACTATAATACCTTGATTAGAATTTATTCCCATTAGTGTTGTATTTCACCACATATTCGAACGCTTAATATGATTTCGATTAAATGTAATTTCATTAATAATTATTTGTTTAAATTTATAATGAAATGGATCAATATTAATTAACATGATAAGAGAGTTTACTAGATATTATAGCTTTAATAGTAACAAAGGATAGAGAGTAATTCTCTCTCTCATTTTTTTTTTTTGGTACAAATTACCATTGAGATGCCTAAGCTGCCATCAAAGAGCACAAGATGGCAACTATAGACTTTAATTTTGATTTAAACGCATGTTAATGGTCAAGTGACGTTTCAACCAAATCTAATAAAAAAAGCAAATAGAAAAAAGCTTCCCCAAAAACAATAGATCAAAAACAAAAGCGATGATAAGGTTCCACGTGTGCACGATATTGATTATTTAACGTCATCTAGATTAAGAGCCAAGGGGCAAAACTCAAGTAGGTATATGTACAAAGTTTTAGATATGGAATTAAGCAAATCCGTTAATTTAAAACATAGTATGCACAAAACGAATATAATATTAAAATAAAATATAAAAGTGATATGATTAAAATTTTAATAATAATATATATAAATTTAATAAAATTAAAAAATATATATTATATTTTCGTGTCAATATGAATTATGATAATTAATTTTTATATAAAATATAATACGAATATATAAATTTTAATATTTTATATAATATAAATATATCAATCGTCAAATCTTGAATTAAATCCGTTCAAATTTCCATACATAAGTTGCCTGAAAATTCACTGCCTACTATTTTCTATATCTCAAAAAATTAGTAACAAGCGTCTGTCATTATATAGCAATACCATCACCTTATTTCATAAAGAAAGCCAACTCCTATAGCACTTATTTATAGATAGTTTACAATCTCAAACTTTTGGGAGAAAAGTTTAATTTCGACATAGTTATTCCAAAAACTAATTGAATTTTGTAATAACAAAAAAAAAAAAGAGAAAAAATATGAATTTTGGAAAAAAATTAAAAGGTTAAATATGTATTTGTATCCAAATTATAGTATAATTGTCAATTTAATATTTAAAGAATAAAAATTCATAAGTAAATATTTAAACTTGCATGTGGCCTAGAAGATAAATTACCTCATGGATTAATTGCATTAAATTCAAACTAATTCTTATTCTTTTACTCTCAAACATTTGGTTTGTATAATTCTATGTTAAAAGCTAGGTCTAAATTTTCTCTTTTTCAAATAAAAAAATTCATATTCTTTTTGTTTAATTTTTGAATTACAAATAAATAAATATTACTCCATTTATTTGACAAAATAACAATATTGAATATGAGGTTTAACTCAAATATTTCATTCACATTTTTTAAAAGATAGATTCTTTCAAAATTGAGTCAACTAGTTAATAATGGTGTTCATCATTTGATTATAACTTTATTAATTTAATTCGATTAATTGATCGATTATTGAATAAATTTTAGTAAGTTATCAAGAATAATTTTAGAGAAATTTTAGTTTTTAATTAATTCGGTTTAGAAACTGAATTAACTAAATTTTAATCGAAATATTATAATACCTATATACATATTATTTCAAGTTATTAAAGTTTTTAACATAATATTTTGATATTTAAATATTTTTGTTGGAAGATTTTTTTTAATTTCTTTCACATATAAAAAAATAAGAATTTAAAATATAATTTAATTTAATATATTTTATTATTCGATTAATCAAAAAAATTAATCAAACTAACCAAATTAATTTTGATCAATTAATTTATAAAATTAAAAATAAATTATTTTATTAATAAAAATAGTATAATATAATATAATTAATTTAATTTTAAATAATTTGATTTAAAACTAACCGAAACGAAATGAGCCACAATGATTCAAGCTTAAGAGTCCTAAGTCGACTTGGACCCAAACTAGGTTGAGCTTTGAGCCTAGGCAGCCTTAAACAGTACATTTCTATATGGGTCCTGACTCCGGAGATTTTAACCCGAGAATTGGACTTCCGAAATCAAATCGGATCTTCCAATAAAACTGTAGCGGTCTCTCTTAACAAAATTCTAGCATTTAAAAAGGAAGGACGACCATAAGCTACGTGTCCCTGTCCTTTCTCAAACATTCTGTTCCCACTTACGTGGCCGTGCACGATAAGTCAAACCTGTCTCCCCTACAAAATTACACAAATTGCCACTGTTAGCTCAGCCATGGCTGCTACTCTGTCACTCCAACCTTATTACTCGCCTCTTCAATTCCGTCGATTCCGCCTAAGTAATTTTCATGTCAAAGTTGTTCCTAGATTTTCCCGCCAATTTTACTGGAAAAAAACTAGGGTTTTGACTACTTCAAGAGGAAATGTGAATGTTAGAGGAAGAGACGGAGTGTTTTCAGTTTCTTGTTTCTCTAAAACGAATGCTGAGATTGAAAAGTTTTTGTCGGAAGATAAAGAAGAAGAGCGGCCTCCTTTTGATATTAATCTTGCGGTTATTCTCGCTGGTTTTGCCTTCGAAGCTTATACAAGTCCTCCTGTAAGTCATTCATCTGGAGAATACAATTTCTTTTCTTTTTTTTTTTTTCAGTTTTATGTTTGGTTACAGAGAAATTGAGATGAAATTGAAATCGTAATCGGTTGAATTATGAATTTTCATGTTTCTGCGTTTAAATCACATGGACAAAATTACAAAAAGCTTATGTTTGATTGTATTTTTAAGAAGGTTATCTACTGAAGATTTAAAAATGGAAGTAAAAGTAACAGCCAAACAAAGCCTTAGCTTTAAGAAGGTTATTTAGGTATCTATTGATATAATGTTTGATTTTTTCTCTGTGGTTGGATTTATTTTCTTGTCAGGAAAACATAGGGAGGCGTGAAATTGATGTTGCAGATTGTAAGACTGTCTATCTCTCAGAGTATGCTTTGGTTTCCTCCTCCGCAATTTAAACACTGATAAGATGTCTTAGTAGATAATTTAAAACAAAATTTAATGATTGGTTTTGTTTTTGACCTGACATTAAGAAGTTGTGATTCTTGTGAATGCAACAAAGGCCGTTTGTACGAGAGATATATGATGGCCAGTTGTTTATAAAGCTAAAAAGGGGTTTTCATTTTCCTGCTATGGATCCATGGGTAGGTTATTAAGTTGAAATTGGAGGTTTAGGTGTGTGTGACACAAATTTAACTATATGTTTTTGTTACTTCTGGTGTGCCTTCAGGGAACTAGCGATCCATATGTGGTAATGCAATTGGATGGTCAGGTTGTCAAAAGCAAGACTAAATGGGGGTAAGTTATTGGTGTTTTCAAATGTATATTTGAGCTAATCTATGTATTTTTGAGATTGATGCTCTTTCAAAAGAGGATCGATAAATTGCTTATCTTAACATCGCTTTAATAGCAAGAAATTTTGGCCAAAATGAAAGTGAGAATGCTAATTGTTTCTTTCCATTTTCTCTATCTTTGGATTCATTTGAAGTTTTATACTTTATTGTACTTAAGCTTGAATAAAGGCTTTTGCTTATTAGAGTATCTGTGAGGGTGATTCTACTGCTGTCAGACATGCAACTTATGGCCTGGAAAATTTTCTGAACTCTTAACCTCAATATTTGGGATATACAGATCAGCTCTTTTTAATGGAACATGTCAAATCTGGAGCCAATGTCCTGTTGATCTAGAATATTCAACATTTGCACCTGACATTTTTATTGTTTATTTATTCTTAATTGTGGCATTTTAAGATATTGTGCAGTTATAATAGACATAACTTTACCTATCAGTTTCATATACTGGTGGCTGTATGATTTTAGGACAAAGGAGCCAACATGGAATGAGGACCTCACCTTTAATATTAAACTGCCCCCTTCAAAATACATTCAGGTCTATATGCAATCTCTTAAATATGTCCTGTTTTAGTCATTATTTTATTTACTTTCTTGTCTTTTGGTAGAAACTTTTGTTTTTATTTTCCTAGTTTATTACCTTCATATCATTCCTCTGGTTTCAGTAAAGCATGGCTGAATCACTTGTATTGTTTACGTATTTACAAAGTTACAATTGCATTAAAAGACTTATCTTAAAGAACGAATAAACTTTTGTAGGTAAGAAAACATAAAATATATGATTCCTAGATTTTTATAGACCCTGAAATAGAAATTTCCTTATTTTCAAAATCCATTATCCTTTCCTAACACATGCTGTAGGAACTTTTCATCCCCAGCTATGTCTTTCTGTGACAACAACTACATCAAAATGCACTGCTAAGCCCTTTCCTAGTGAAAAAGAGGAGTTAGATCTTAGTGCATCCTACTGCCCTTCTTAAACCAAAATTTCCAATGGAATATGATAGATGGGAAAATTTTTACATCAGAATAATTTATAAAATTTGGTTTAAAAATATCTAAATCAAAAGGTTTGCAGTATATTGTGTAGGCGTAAGCAAAAATCACAGATATAGCGTCCAATGCCTGTTTATGACCAACTCACATGCTTTTGTTGCATTGTGAATCTGATGCATTTATGGTTTTTATTGCTACTTTCTTTACCGTTGAACATCTATCTTTGAAATAAATTTGTTGAATAGCAACTATGATATATATCTCTATTTATCATCCATATGTGCATTCATGGCTTTTATTCTGACTTTCTTAAGCACTGAGCATCCATTTTTGAAATGAGCTTGTTGAATAATCAGCTTGATAGTTACTAACTTGTTCCACTTTCCACTCTTTTAAGAGCCATTTATAAGTTTGTTGCTCAACTTCTAGTTTGGTATTCTAATGATTGCTATCAAACTTCAGGTTGCTGCTTGGGATGCAAACCTTGTGACTCCGCACAAGCGCATGGGGAATGCAGGCATCAGTCTAGAAAGCCTCTGTGATGGTAGGAATTTGAACTACATGGTTGACTTGGATTTATTAGAGTAGCAAGCCCTCAATTTTCATGATGCTGTATCTAATTTAGTGAGATTATTATTTGATCATCAAGCAAGGGTGTTATGTTGCTATTATACTTGAAATTTCATGGAATGTATGTGGTCTCTTGTTGTTAAAGTAATGCTTTTAGAGACTAAACTGCAGTTTCAATTTCATTACCTATGGGCTTACTAACATTGAGCAGACTAAGTTTCAAATTCAGTGCTGCATTTTTTTTTTGGTTTTAAAATATCTTCAATTAAAGTGTGTGTTTTCACCAGGAAACTTGCATGAAGTGCCGGTGGAGTTGGAAGGAATGGGAGGTGGCGGCAAGTTGCAGTTTGAGGTAGATTTCTCTGGTGCTATTGTCACAAAAAAAAAAATAATAAATTCTGGAGAATATTTCATTATTTCCAAGAGAATACTTCAATGCCATTCCAAATTGGGTTCATTGCATGCCAGGATTAGGAAATTATAATGGAGAAGTTCAGAAATCTCCCCTTTCCTCCCATGAAATTAACTTACATTTTAATGCATATTTTAGTCCAAGGCATTGACCATAGAGATATTACCTCTAATGACATAGTATTTTAGTTATGGAGCAAAAGGTGGAGCAAAAGGCTCTTCAACTCTTCTTGGAAGATCGAATGTTTATTAGAGTTTTCAACTTTACTGGAAAAAGATGTGCTCTTAGTATTTTGAGTTTTGCAGTTTTCTTCTAAAGGGAGGAAAGGTTTATGTTACCGTTTGCTTGTTACATTCCAACTTCCTCATGTAAACATGAAGGATCCTGTGGAAATGTCTAATTTTAGGTCTTTCTTCTCTTTAAGGCAGTCCATTTGTAATTTTTGTTGTGAAAGGTTCTCCTAAATTTAGGTTTATTTAATGTTGTAAAATTAGATTTTTTAGATGCATGAGGAATCCTATGGTGGTCTGAGGGGTAGCTTCCTAAATCAAAATTTCTGGTAGTATCAAATATATATTTCTAGCAGATGTGATTTAAACTAAATTTTTTAATTTTGATAAGGTCTAAATTCAGGAATAGAAAGTCTCCAATAAAAGGGAGTTGATAATAAATAATTAGTGCTTGCTTTAAGTTGCACATAAACGTCTTAGTTATTCCTTATTGGTTGTAATCTTATTAATTAAGTGCCCGAGCTCTGAGTAATGCTCCTTTGGATGTGCATGCTCGCATAGAGTTTAAAGGTTTTCTTCTTGAAAATTTCTTCTTTGAATCCATCTTCCTATTCCTTCTGTTGGAGGGACCTTTTTTTATGAAGGGCCAAAAATATGTCTCCTCGTCTATTAATATTTCTTTCTCAATTCTATTCACACTTTATCCCTTAACAAAGGATATACTTTTACCATTTCACATGTGGTTTTTGGGTGTGTATGAAGGGGTGGCTAGTGTATTTGCTTACCTCTGGTGAATGGGATGCCAGGGACCCTCTGTATTGAAGGTAATGGTGCTTTTGCTTCTTCTTTTAAATTGTTAACTTTTCTTTTTCACTTTTGTAGGTGAAACAATGACTTATTTCTTTCAATTGCTATTTCCTGTTTGATTTGGCTTGTTTATGTTTTATTTTATTTTTCAGTTATTTCTACTTGCTCTGAGTGTTTCACCTTTTTGTTTCTCTCTAACATCTATTTTTGATGATATGTTTGCAGAAATATTGCAAGTCTTAAGAAGAAGGCAGCGGTGTTCAAAAAGATTAGGTCCCTAGAAAGAATGTTAATCACTTTTACAAACATAACAAAACTAGTGGAATGCAAATTACACTATAGCTTATATCCAACGGGCCAAGAAAAGGAAAGCTTGTTGTTAAAGGCTTATTGGAGACAGAGAGTAAAAAGGATAAAATTTTCTCAAACATATTGGGTTGATTATCATAAAGCCATTCTACTTCCTGCTGATTTTCAGTGGGCTGTCTTGTCAGGTCTTTGTGATTCCTAGCCTGAATTTTTTTTATATTTTTATTTTTTACTTTTCAACCTCGCTAAGTGCAGAAAAATGGAATTATCAACGCACAGCATCAGTTTAAGTAACAAAAATGTGGGAGATACGACTAAGTTCAGTTTGATGGATCTTGAAAGATAATAGGTAGAATGAAGGCATGGATGAGAAGTTGACCATTTGTGTACCTAGACTTGATTGTGATTTGTCCTGAGAATGGTGTTTCTTTTAGTTATCCCATTACTTGCCCTATCAAGTTTTTGACCTATAGTTGTTCACAAGGACCAAATATATTTAAGCATAGTCATCTTTATTGTGAACTTAGCAGGCATAAATATTTCAGAACATTAGCAAGTACTGCTTATATTTCTAATAATAGATAACTATATAACTAAAGACACTTTGTTAGGATTTGCTCTGTTAAATATTGTTTATGTGGAACCTTGGTAATGATCATTGAAAATCATGTTGTTGGATTTAGATTGTTTCCACTGGGAATCAATACATCGGGTCCCCCAGTATCACTTGAGACAATATGCATTCTCTTGGAAGATATCAACAGAAAATTTTCATATTATTTTGAGTAAAATATCTCTCATATTTGAAATATTTTAAGGATTAAGGTTGTTGATGTAAGATGGTTTTTCAATTTCAAAGAGAAGGATGTGTAGTCATTCCACATGAGCGCCTGCATCAAGCTCGCAAATTTTTTTTGTTTTTATGTGCTTATGGGCTTGACTAATAGGAGCAAGTTATGCATGCAGATGAATGAAATTGGTAGGAATAACTAGATAATAGACGTGCATTTATCAAGTGGGATAAAAAAGTGGTAAACTTAACATCTATTATTTGGAGCACTCAAATAAGTATGATGATACTGGATGTCTATTTTATGATCCCCTTTTAAGATCTCTTAATCATCAGTGTTAATTCGAGCCAATTTAAATGCTTAGAGTTTAGTTCTCAGTTACATATAGTGTTCAGTTGAGGAATACTTTTGAAGTTATTGTCAGGTTGAGGACTGTCCTTGAACTGTTAATGTGAGAACATAGGCATGCCCCGATGCTAACTGGGCAGATAGTCATCCAAATCTTCTAGCAAATATGAGAAACGGTCAGTAAAATTTTTAATACTAAATCTGGAATTTGAGTTTTTCATGTGTATGGAGTATAATAATTATGGTATTGGTAATAGTTAAAGTATGATGAATTGACTTGGTGTAAGTTTCATAAATGATTTCTCATCTCCAGCTTGAAGGTAATTGTCCTCTGAGGAATACCTTTCTGATTATTTGATCTTTCCTGCATCTTGCTACGATTGGAGTGTTCACTTTGTGAGCCAGTTGCCAAAGAATTGGTCAATAAGGTTGATTGTTGTACTCTTTCTCATTTTAAAATTAATACCTGAGTAAGTTAAACTCTTAGGATATTGATTTTTACATATTTAGATCAATGGATCTAGTGTAATTTGGATATATCATTTCTTCTATTATGGATAGGAAAGGTAATGAGTTGTGGTTCCTGCAAGAAAAATGAACAATGATGCTTAAGTTTTACAGGACTTCTTTGTTCTAATATAAATCTCCTCAGTATTTTGACTGACACAAATCTTGTGTTGCTGATTAAAAGTTCTATCTACTTTTCATCACATCAAGGCTGATTTAATCATAGATCCACCAAAAGCTATACATTCAAGTAGAACTTATATTAGGTATTGCCTGTACTTGTGGGTGGTATGGTTTCAGGTTAAGTATAAGAGTTTTGATGAGATTGAGGAGGAGAAAATGTGGTGGAAACTCCCCTTCGTTTCAGAATTTCTTCGGAGAAATGGATTTGAGTCTGCTCTAAAAATGTTTGTTGGCAGTGAGTCTGTGCCTGTAACCCAGTTTGTGGAATATGCCTTTGGGCGGTTAAAGTTCATCAATGATGCATATTTTTTGAAGGAACGATTGTTGAACGGTAATAAGAATGGGGTAGAAGGTGTTGGGACTTCCATGAATTCTGCAGTGTCAGAGATGTCTTCACATGTGGAAAGTAGTTCAGAGGCCTCTTTCAGTGACACGAGTACCAACAATGGGAATAATTCAGAGGAGTTCCACTTGGATAATGCTGGCATGGCTAATGGGCAGAACACTAAACTAGTGGCAGAAGTTGGTATTATGCAGTTTGATAAGTACTTCTGGAAGGACTTTGCAGATGTTATCAATCAAAATGTTGTTCAGAAACTTGGAGTCCCTATTACAAAGAAACTAAAGTGGGATGGATTTGACTTGTTAAACAAAATTGGCCTACAGTCCCGAAAAATTGCAGAAGCAAAATATATTGAATCTGGGCTTGCAACTCCTGAAGATCTGGAAAATAAGAATGATAAATTGATCGGACAACTTAACATTAGCACCATACAATCTTCACTTCCAGAGTTAAAGAAGGCAACACAGGACTTATTAAGACAAACCGATTCTGTTTTAGGAGCATTAATGGTGTTGACTGCAGCAGTTTCTCAGTCCAAAAAGGAAGGACAGGAAAATGAAACTAAAGAAGACTCCTCTACCAAAGTGAAAAACAATGTAAGTAGGTACAGTGGTGGTGAGAAGCTCCCTAGCACACTGGATGGTTCGGTATTAGATGAGAAAAATGCTGAAGAAATGAAAGAACTCTTTGCAACTGCTGAAAGTGCTATGGAAGCCTGGGCAATGCTTGCCACTTCACTGGGCCATCCAAGTTTTATCAAATCTGAATTTGAGAAAATATGTTTTCTGGATAATGAAACCACAGATACCCAGGTGACCTTTATCTCATTGGAAATAAGCTCACTTTTCGCTATAAGTTTGTTATCCTTGAACCCGTATCTTTCAAAGCACCTCACTATTTGATTTCAAGGATTATTTCATTTTATCAATAAGTTGTAGGTACCTGCAGGTGGCAATTTGGCGTGATTCAGCTAGGAGGCGATTAGTTGTTGCTTTTAGGGGAACTGAACAAGTGAGTTTCATCTATCTATTCTCAACCTGAGTTGAATTAGTTAGCTTTTGCTTAAATTAATTATCTATTGATCATCCAGGCAAAATGGAAGGACTTACGGACGGATTTAATGCTTGTTCCTTCTGGGTAATCTCAAATATCCATCCTCTTCTCCTTCTCCCTTGCTCTCTCCCTAAAAGGTTTATAAGTTGCAGTAAACATTTTTTCTTACTAATTCAGTAAATATGGGTTGAAATTGGAAGTCTGCCTATTCATAATATAAATAGAATTACCATCACAAGGTGCTTCTCTATTCTCTTTATCCCCTTAAGGTGGGAAAATAGCACAATCATGAATGTACTTTCAGGTTAACAGTTGCTGGTAATAACAGTGCAAAAGATCTTTTCTGTTAAATATCTGACATCGTTACATCTGCAATGCTACTCAGTGATGTTAAAATTCAGGCAATGATTCATTATAGTTCATTTCCTATTATCTTTGTTTTGAGTCATATTGAGGTCAAGAACATATTTCCTCAAAGGTTTTATAGGTAAACATTATTCCTAGTTGCTATGTTTCCTCAGGCAAACATCATTCACAACTAAAATCTAATTTAGAAAGGTACATACTATCATTTTTTTTTTCTGATACTAAGTTTTGTCCTGCGTATGCAGGCTGAACCCTGAAAGGATTGGTGGAGACTTCAAGCAAGAGGTCCAAGTATGCTAACACTTTATAGACTTTGCTGTCCTTTTTTTTTCTTTCAAAAATAATATATATGAGATGCACATAATGTTGATAACTGTTGTTAATTTGACTTGCCTGAATAACTAGTGAATGCTGCTATATTTTTCCAGGTTCATAGTGGATTTTTAGGTGCATATGATTCCGTTAGGATAAGGATTATCTCCCTCATTAAAGCATCAATCGGATATATGTAAGCATTACTGTTGTAAGAACTTCCTTCTTAGTCTCTTTGCTTATGTTCCAATTCAAGCATAAATCTAACATGTTGATATTTAGTACAAAAAGTTTCGCTTATTTATATGGAAATCTTGATTGATGCCTTTCAAATATTTTTGTGCTTGCTTTATATTTATTAATTTTGGCAAGTTACCCATTGAGATGATATTGGATCTCCAACACTTGTCTCTCTTTAAGCTCTGAATAAACCTTGATATAGGATATTAGACATGTATTTCAATATTTGATTCCATGAAAGTAGAAGATTGATGTTATTGATGTTAAGCAGAAGGCTTACGCACTGCATATTTGAAATTTATAAAATATAGAAACGGTTATTCACAGCAGAAGTTTTTATGCATATTTGTGTGACAGAGACGAAATTACAGAGCCAGTGCATAGATGGCAAGTTTATGTGACCGGTCATAGTTTGGGTGGTGCACTAGCTACCCTTCTTGCTCTTGAACTTTCATCAAGTCAATTCGCTAAGTAAGTTTCTCTCTTTTCACTTAAGAATGACATTCTTGTTTTGTTGTCAGTGCATTACATGCTATTCAAATTGTACAAAGAAACACAATGAGAAATTATACTTGTAGCTATTTAAAAGAAACTAAACATTTGTGTAAGTGGAAGGATTTATTGACCTTTCAAACCTCAACTCTATCAGTACTTGAAAAATTGGTAAATCAGAGGACTTGTCTTTACTCAATGCCAAAAGTCCCTAATTAATCTCCGTTGCCATTATTCAGGTTTTTCTGAATGTGCCATTGTAGAAAGCTGAATTTAATACTTGTTTATAATTGCAAGCTTTTGGCAATTATCTCTTCTTGGTGATCTAATGCCTAATGCTCTGTTTATCCGAGATTGACAAAAAATAATGTATTGAACTTCCTATCTCATTTGTGTTTATCAGGCGTGGGGTGATTTTAGTGACTATGTATAACTTTGGTTCTCCTAGAGTTGGTAACAGAAGATTTGCAGAAGTATATAATGAGGTAATAAAAAAACTTTCTCTTCAGTTTCCTTTGTGTAAGTGATAGGGATTTTTTTTCCTGATGGAATTTTGGTTAATGGCCATGTTTCTAGCTCTATACATTCCTTGCTAAAAGCATATGTTTGGTTGTAGGCCAAGCAATGGCTGGTAAATTTCTTGTTATAGTTTTATTATCAACATTTGTGTCATTTAGAGGACATTCATCTTACATGAATGCAGTTTTCTCTTGGTTTCTGACACCTATAACTATAATCTGAACAAATTACTCATCCACATCTACCTAATGCTTTCACAGTTTTTCTTATTGTACAATAAAATCTTTTGTTGTATACCTTCTTCTTCTGTGCATATATTTCCTCCTTAAAAAAACCAATTATTAGGATTAAAATGTAATTGATTTTGATTACCAACGACCATGACTTTTTCACTTTTGTTTTTCCACCTCTAAAATAATTCACGGTTGTTTTAAGAGTTTTCTCATTGGCTAATATGTTGCTTCCAGTGACACATTTATAAGATGGCCGAAGATATTCGCACAGTAGTTTACTGATAAGCTAGTGTAAGCTCTTGTTTGTTTTCTGATAAACCTGCAGCAGATTTATATTGCTGATAAACATTTGGATCAACTTTTTTTTATGAGAGCACATAACTCTTCTTCTGCAATGCTATATCTAATATCTATTGTTTTAGTTCATCTTTTTGCTTTTCCTCTGTCTCTTTTTTTCTATACCATTTTCATTTGCCTCATGAATACCTTTTCTTTTGACCTTTTCCCCTTGTCATTTATGATCTCTCAGGTTTTGATCATTGGAATCAGAAAACTGATTTAGTCCCGCTATACCATCCTCTATTCTATTTGCCTATTAAAGATTTTCCCAAAAGACTCTAGTCAGGTCCCTGGTGTTGTTTTAAGCATTTCTTTGCAGATAATTATAGCCTCATGAAAAACTTGGCATTCTGTCATTTTGTACTTGAATTGAAATTATTGCTTCCTGATGCATGGAAAATGCGCATATGAACATTTCTATTATCAAATATCAATCTGCTGTTTTGATTACCTCTATATCTTATCTAGGATACTTGACACATCATTGGTTAAGGTTATTGCAATTGAATACTTACCTTTGCAGAAAGTTAAAGATAGCTGGAGAATTGTTAACCACAGAGACATTATACCTACGGTACCCCGTTTGATGGGTTATTGCCATGTGGCTCAGCCTGTTTATCTTGCTGCTGGAGAATTAAGAGATGCTGTGGTGAGACCCTTTTTTTTTTTTTTAATATCTGGAACTCTATATTTGTGGCTTAAATTCACAATATGCATGTGTTGGTTGCTATTTACTAATTATATGGAGGGATAAATGACATTGGAAATTAAGTTATGACCACGCTTTTAATTTTGACTTCAATTATTCATGTTTGCTGATTAGACTTGGTATTTTAGCAACTTCTGTGAGAAATTTCACTTTTAGGTGACTTCAGTGATCTTGTCTGCCTGATTTCCCTTGCTCTCTCTATTGCTTTTCTGTTGTTGCTGATTTATTTCCAAAATTGACCCACATTTATTTTTTATTTCTGTAAACAATGAAGCACTCAGAAAATCTGTTTTTACAATAATATTTTCTTTCATGTTTTTGGAATATATTTTGAACTAGATTCCATATTATATCATCTGTTCAGAATCTTAAATTAGCTGAATCAAACTAGTTATGTACGTTGTTTGAGAAAATGTAATCTCTATTTTCAGCTATCGCTAGTCTTCATAAGTTGATTCTTTTTGTATTCATAAGCAGCTAGACCCATCCAAATTCCACTTATGAAGTTTTTCCTTTTTCTGTTCAAATGATACACCCTTTTAATCAATTCCATTAAAGTTTCCTTGTTCTCTTGGTGATCAGCTCCACAAATTCTTTTAACAAGATTGATGCTACTATATCGTATGGAATGCTGTGCTTCTTGTCTTTTTATTGTGAATAATTGTTTGTCTCTCATGTTAGTTTATGCATGCATTTTGTTAATACGTTTAACATACATTTTTTCAGGAAAATATGGAGCTTTGGAAAGATGGTTATCAGGGTGATGTGATTGGGGAGTACACACCAGATGTTCTTGTCACTGAATTTGTATGTTTCTTGTTGTCCAATCTTTTACCTTTCACCTTTTATATTTTGCCTTGCAAGGAAGTTTTTAGTTCTCTTAATATATTTCAAACAGAAGTACTAGATGTATTCACCCACGTAATCCAACTTGAATTCATTTTTTTTTTTTTATACTTGAGGTTGTCAAGATTTTAACTTTGATTACTAGAACTAAGAGTCTACTACTCTACCAACAGACCACACAGCTGTTGGCAACTAGAACCCAATTTCATTTTAGCAGTTAATTAAAGATTTCTTTTGGTTTATAAATTAGTAGTGGATATGGGATGGTCAAGTGCATGGTCTCTTTGATTGATGAAATTTTATAACACCAAAGACTTAAACTTGTGAGGCAACAGAGGAGAATGCCCATGCTAAGAGGGTGAAGTGAAGACCCAAAAATGACATTTTGGAAACTATCAATGCAATAGATTTCCATTGCATGATATGGTCCATGGTGAACCGCACCTAGTGAGAAGGGCTTTGTTTGTTTGTTAAAGTGACAATTTGAAAAGTCTGAAATTCACATATGCTTGTTCTTTCATAAAATGAAACACTTTGTATGAAACTATCACAGGAACATCAAGATTTTCAATGCATGTACTGGTACATTATCTGTCAGCACGAGAATTTCCCCTAGGCATTAACTACATATTTGAAGTAACACACTTTCATCAAGTTTTTTTTTTTTTTTCTTTAATTAAATTCTTAAGATTTAGTATATATCTCCATCTATGAGTAATGTCTGATGTAAGTTACCTCTTCTATTGAGAATGGTCTGTGCAGATGAAAGGAGAAAGGGAACTCATTGAACAGATATTGCAAACTGAAATCAATATATTTCGTGCAATTCGTGATGGGAGTGCACTTATGCAGCACATGGAGGATTTCTACTACATCACACTGCTAGAGGTACACACCATGGTTAAATAATTTGGTATTTCATTTAGTTGTTTTATTTTCCTCTTTGGACTTGTGACTGAATGCATATGCATAGCAAGTTAAAGTTGCTCCATCAGGAACCCAGTGATTATCAAATTGAAAACAATAGTCCTTTAGACTGCACCTTAATCTTATCACCCTGTCAAAGTATTTAAATAGGATCAATGCCACGAATGAATCTTGAATTATAGTAAAATATTTAATGTGGTACATGAATTTTAAAAATTTTTAATATAATATTTGAATTATAAATTTGTTAACTAATGTGATACTCACTGCTAACGTTATTAGCTTCAAATATCACATTGAACGTTTTACTATAGTTCAGAGATCATTTGTGGCATTATCCTATTCGAATAATATGTCACCCTGCTGAGTTTTGAAACCGGCTTCTATTGCTTTCTTCAGAGTGTGAGATCTAATTACCAAACTGTTGCAAGCTCAAGAAAAAATGAACAAGGCAGCATGTCAACCAGATAATAACAAAGATTCTCTCAGAATGTTGCATATTTAGAGCAAAGATTCTCAGAATGTTACATCTGACTGCAGAGACATGTACAGTTTTTCTCCCCCCTTCAAGTAATTTATCCTGTATAGTGACTTTCATAGGGCAAGAACATAAGTTGTCTCAAATGTCAAATCTATATTTTCTTTTTCTTTTTCTTTTATATAATTGTTGTAACTTAGATCTGGGTATTTTTTTTCAATTTCTGTCTAGTGTTCTAAACTTGCATGAATCATTTCCAACTATTGTTTTAGAATGACCTTGCTTTCTAAGCTTATTCTAAGAAATACTTGGGTTGAAATTGACAGCGTTGATAGGAATGTATGAAAAAATTAATTTGGTATTTCTTGTAATAAACATAATAAGCATATTTAGTATATATGTATTACAAATATATAGATGGGAAAATATGATTAAAAAAAAAAATATTAAAGTGATACGATTTAAAATTTTAACAAAAAATCGTATATGGGTTTTACAAAAATAAAAAATATATTTTATATTTCACATGTCAATATAAAATATGACATGATAATTTTTGTGTATTATACATAATAGATGCAAAATAAACAAAAACATATACATAAATTGTCAATTTTGAAGAAATATGAGATGAGTTGGACTTTCAACTTTTAAAGCCTAAAAATAACATGATTTAGTGTGGTTTTATTCGCTCAAACCAGCTGTTTTGAGCTTAATTTTTTACCATGAACTGCCGTGTAAAGCATTTTCGAAGTTGAATTTTTTTTTTTTATTTGAAGAATAAGATTGGAACCATGTTCTTTGAATAAGAGTTTATTAATCAATCACTTGATCTAAATGCTGGGATGCCATTGGTTTTAGCATTTGCATTCCCATTAAAATCATTTCCATTACAAAATACAACACCTAACTTATATTTGCACACACATACTATAAAACAGTGAATTTGTTGAAGGCCAATTTCACAAATAAATATTACTTTTAGTATTACTAGTATAAGCTGCCTTCTTCTTACTGCCCAAAATTCTCAAGCTTTGCCTAAGAATATCCATCTCTCTTTCCCTCTCATATCCTTCCCTCTCCATTGAAGCTACTCGACGTTTCATATCTTCTATTGTTTCTTCTTTGTTCTTCACTTCCTTCTTTAGTTCTTCTATCATATTCATCTCCTCTTCCTCTGCTTTCCAATACAATGCATCTCCTACATGTATAAATTGTAGTGTAAATGTCAATGCATTACTTATGATACTGTATTATACTCTTTCATGAAACTTCTTTTAAATCGCGATATTTATATACGATGTATTTGATTCGTAACTTAACTTATTTAATTCATATAATCACTTTTAAAAAATCTCATTTAATAGTTTTGAGATTTAAAACTAAGCAATTATAATATATTTTTTTATCTCTAGATTGCTGCTTCATTTGTACGAAAAAATTTAATTACCAAAAACAAGGAGAAAAGGGCACAAATTTATTATCAAATGCTCAAAGTACATTACCGTGTTGGATTCAAATTCTGATAATTTCAAATATAAAATAAAAATACATCGCTTCACTGGTTAGATTGTATAAATTAATCATAAAAAATTTATTAAACTAATAGCTGCAAAATGGAAAACAAAGTTATTTGCAGATTGGAGGGTTAAATTTGGTTTAGCTATACACAATTGACCTAGCTAATTCATTGTTGTTTAAGTTGGCGCATTTTGTAAAGAAAAAAAAAAAAATAAGGCTTTGTTTAATATTATGAGAGAGGGGAAGAGTGATAAAGCACCATGAGTTCTCTGAATGAGATGATCAAGCTCGGTCTTGATGGCAAGATAGAGTTGCTTCCACTTCTCCACAGCCTCATCTTTTCTTGCCCTCTCCTCTTTCATTTGGTCCAGTAGGAAACTTGTCCCCAGCAATGGCCACGCTCTGTCACATTTCTCAACTTCCATTGCATAATCTTCCATTCCTCTTATCTTCTCTTCTTTCTCTTCCACCAATTTCCTCAGCTTCTTCACTTCCTCCTTTAGCTTCTTCCTCTCTTTCTTCCACTCAACTTCTTTCCATGCAAAAACCAGCACTTCTTTTTCTCTTTCATTAACCATTTCCTTGATTTCCTGTTGCAGAGGCCTCATTTTATCTGTCAAACTCTTAACATGCCTCCTCTCATGGCAAGCCTTGCTCTTTCTTTTGCTAGCAAAAGCACCCATAATGGATGAATTTGAGAGAAATGAGACAGGTTTTAAGGTGGGTTTTGGATTAGAATCAGAGAAAAAGTGTGTGAATGACATAAATTCCCTTACAAGAGGGGCTCCTCAATCCATGAAGAAAACAAAAAAAAAAAAAAACCCTTTGAAAATTCAGCAATAGTTGTGATCAATTTGTGAGTGGTAAACATTGGACAAACTCACTCAAATAATTGAAAGTGCTAAAGTGACCCGTGAAAGAGACAGTGTTTTTCAAGTATACAAGAAGATGAACACACAAGACAATCTATGCAAAAAAAAATGGAGAGGGAATGGAAGGCTAGCCATTCACATGGACATGGTTAAACCATATTTATGGAACAAAGATTTTACGTGAGAAATTATTTCAGTAGTGTTTTAGATTTTACCAGCAGATTCAATAGGTGACACATTTTTTTAGAATTATTTAAAATTAAAAAATAAATGAGATATGCATACATCTTTTAATTTTGTTTGTGAAATTAAAAAAAATTTACTCAATTAAATACAAATGATCAATTTGAATAAATAATAAGATTAACTCTAATAAGATCAAAAATAATAATGGATGAGAAATTACTTACTATGACAATCAGATTAACATTAATGATGAAATATATATTTGAATGTAAAAATAATAAATTCAGGGATAAATTTCAATAAAAAAATTACTATTTAAAGTATTACAATTAAAATTTTAAATGATTTAACATTTGTAAAATTAATAAATAATTAAAAAATTAAATTATTTTATATTAAATAATATAAAAATTACTAAATAATAAAATAAATAAATTATTATATAATAAATATATTAATTTATTATATAATAAAAAATCAAAAAGAAAAAAATAAGTTGAAGAATAATTCTGAATTAACATTAAAATTTGAAAAAAAATGATACGATCAACCACAAAATCCAAAAAACCCGATGATTGATCGCTACAAGCCGCGCTATTTTAGAAACCCATTTTGATCTCACTGAATTGGTGAACACAAAACAATGGCAATCAACTTTTACCCGTTCGATTACATCCATACGAACCCTAGCTCTTTAACACAAATCAAATCTTGCGATACTTTAATGGATCCCTAAATTATTCACAAGAACACTGTTATCTTGTACTAAAGAATACTATTACTGTCCCCTATGATGTGACCTTTTTTTTTTTTCAACATGTGAATTGAATTGCAAATTAGGGTTTGGTCCCCAATTCCCAAATTCAAAAATCATTTGATGGGAATCAACATTTAATTTTGTGAGGTGGAAGTAATTGTAAATGTGGTGTCATGTAGTCAAATGATGTTTCTATGCCAGCTTTGCATGGTCCTAGATTCTTTTCAAGGATATAAAAAGGATGCCTATGATTCAGCAATTTTCTCTGTTGGATGTGATCACACTTTCTTTAATCATTTAAAACAAAAAAAATAAAGATTGGGTTCTTATTGATTTCTTATATGTGTTTAACTGTACTGTAAAACTCCCAGAATTCCTCCCCATTACAAAAAAAAAAAAAAAGTTATTATGAAAAAGTTACAATTAAGGACAACCTTTTTTAAAAAAATTTCCTCAAATTTCTTTTTTTAAAGCAAAAAACAAATTTAATGTGAGGGAGGAATTGAGTAACTTTTAAGATTCAAAAGGTGAAAGGGATTTTACATCTCATAATATAAATTATTTGTTAAATGAGAATAAATTAATAAATTTGATTAAGATGATATATTGAGTCAATCTAAATTTTTTAATTATATGTCAATTCAATCATTTGAATTGATCACTGTAATTATTGATTAAATTGTTAATTGTTAATTCAACTTAAATCGATGATGTTAATTTTAATTTTGTTACTTAGAATTTGAATCACCTAAATCTAATTTTTTAATCGTATAGATATAAAATATCTCATTTTAAGTAGTACTAAATTATTTGAAACTTTAATTTTATATTTTATATTTTTTCTTTTTTACTCTCTAAGTAATAATTTGAATGTCAAACAGCTTAACATCAATAAAAAAAATTTTTATTTTAAAATCAAAACAAATAGTAAGTTTTGAAAATGATTTATGTTAAATTTATAAATTATCATCAAAATTATTATCGATAACATAATTCGAACCTAAATTTTTATAAATAAAATAGAATTGCGTATCAATTCAATCAATTTTGCGATAGTAAATTTTTACTATTCATAAAATATTGTTAGGTAGTAGTCATAAGACATTGGTTAAATTTTCTACCGACATGCCAATGTAACAAGAAAAGACCAAAAGTTGAAAGAATAGCACATGACATGATGTCCAATCCAAAAATGTCTACCATTCATTTCACATCTTCACCTACAATCTGCTGTTTGTTCACATCACTGCAAACACGCACCACATTAGTCCCTAACCAATTTCACAGGGAATTTGGTCAGATTGTGCTCAGAAAATAACACGCATATGAAACTGCAACTGCTGCTGGTAATGATGATAATCGCCCCTCAAGTTTGGGGAAGCAAACAAATTTGGCATCTCTTGCAATTTTCAAAGCTTACCAAATCAACATAATTGCATACCAACAAATTCATTCATGATCACATCTCCTCGGATTCCCTGCCTGAAAAGGACTTCAATTTTATATTTATGCTTGGAAATTTGCACAACAATGGCATGCAAGTTTACAAAGTACAGGTTCCATTTCACCTTGTTTGCATGTAAAATTACATGTGCCTTTGTTACTTGTGTTATTTATTTATTTTACTTAGAGACGATAACTCGAAAATAGAAAAAAATAGTTATAAATATTAAAATTTTAATTTTTAAATTTATAAAATATTTTCTCTTAAAAATAAATAAATACGTAAAAAATAATAGTATTTTAAAAATTATAATTTTATATATTTTTGAGATAAGTTAAACTTTTATATTTGAAAATTGCTCTATTTTATTTTTACTATGTAAATATATATAAAAAAAATTATAATGTGATTGGGAGGGAGATTTCTTCTTGAAATTAGCAGCACGTGGCCTATACTTATCCTGATCCTTACTTATTCTGTTATTATTTTATTACCTTTTCATATTTACCAAAATCATGATAATATTTCCACATCATCTTCATTTCCCCTTTTTTATATTTTTAAAATGCAATATGGCACTGTCAGCAAATAACCTCCAAACTCAAGGAAAAATCAGGAATTTCAAACTGTTGATGTTGAGTTCACGCGTTCACGTCGTTGAGAAAAACCAAAACAGAAAAACAAAGCAAGAGAGAAAATTAGAGAGGAAAAACCAGGGACTGTTTGACTTCTGTTTAAAGGTCTACCATTGTATGGCTTTTTTTCCTTCATCGTGACATCTGCTTCACCCTTCATTTCCATTTAAAAACTTAATAAATTAAAAAAAAAGAAAAAAAATAACATTGCGATAACGAAATCTCTGGAGTCATTGAGATTGAAGAGACACATTTGGTACGGTTAGAGAAAGGAGATAGAGAGGGAAGCGAGGAGGGTTAAAATTTGTTTTTCTTTTATTGATTAGAAGCAGAGATTTGGAGGAAAATTTTGGATGACGATTCGTTTCGCATTGGTTGGTGGAAGGATCTAACGTTAACTGGCTCTGTCTGGGATCTTAATCAGAAACAATGGTTTGCATTTGTTTTCCCTCCGATTTTATTTATTTTTAAGTTTATTTCTTTTTTGCCTGCATTTGCTTTATAGTTTAATGTACTGTTAGTTTTTCTGTTAATTTTAAATTTAGTTTCGTGAATGACAAGGTAGCTCATTTAGCTCCAATTAACTAATCAAAATTAAAAATTATTTTTATTTTTTTAATGAATTTTTTTTGTTTCCTTCTTTTTGCTGTTGGATTGATTTAGATATGTGCATTATGTAAATGTGAATCATTGGGTTTTGGGTTATTTATTTTTTTAAAAAAAATTCACTGTAATTACCTCTCTTAAGAGAAAATTTAGTTTTGTTTAACTGATTCCAGTTTCTAAAGTTGCATTCTTAATTGATAGTTAGTAACCTGGACATTGTTATTTGAAATCAATTGGCAAATAGCTCTATCATAATTGCTTAATGCAATTCAACCAATAAGTTTTCCCACTGCAGTTTTAGTGTAATGTACAGCCATTTGTGAAGTTGCTAGCTTACTAAAACTGATGGCAGCTCAAAGAGGGTTGGATGTTGTCAGCCTTAGCCCTGTTCTTTTCAGACATCACGTTTTTTTTACTTGAAAATGTGATTTCCAAGTCACAAATTTAATCATTTTTACTTGTTAATAGATGTTAATAGATGGATGTTAGAAAATTGTTTTAGAGAATTGTAGGGTGAGATGCAGAAAACCCAAAGTATAGTTTCTTCAATGTGGCATCGGATGTTGGTTACAGAATGCACTGTACAACCGTTTTGCTAGCCCTATATACAATTTATTTTTATGTTTCATTGTTTGAGATGAGTTTCTATTCTTTCACGTAGATATGCTAATGATTTGACATGGCCTTACAGGTTGCTCCATCCAATATTATTGCTGGATCTCTTGTTTGGGTGGAGGACCCAGAGGTAGCTTGGATAGATGGGAAAGTGAAGGAGGTTAATGGGGAAGAGATCACAATAAACTGTACATCAGAAAAGAAAGTGAGTAATTGTTCTCAGGATCTTATTTGATTTGCTTTTTTTTTTCTTTAATTCGTGTAATTCAAGAACCCAAACATGATTTTCTTGGTTTTTTTTTTTTTTTAATGACCAGAATATGTTAAATTTCCACCCAACAACATTTTAGTTGCAAACCAAATGATTTACTTCTTGCATGAAGGTCTTTTTGCATTGTTTCATTTATTCATGAAACATGTATATGTGTATTAAACTGGAATTTGAAGAATTGGTGAACGTGACATCACCACCATCCCTAGTTTAATGAACTTGGAAGTATTTAAGTTAAATTACTGAATTTCCTTGATGGGACAATGTAATGATTTTAATTATGATTGTGAACATGTAAAGATTATTGCAAAACTGTAAGTTATTCTAAGCAACAAATACAGCTATAGCAAGCATTGAAGGAAATCGTATTGGTCTTTTAGTGCTTGGTTGCTGATCATGGTTTGTAGGACTGTAGAAGATGTTACAGGAGAAGCTGGTGGAATTTGAGGTTAAGCTGAGATTCCTTTTGACCTTGTTGATAGCATATTTTTATGTCAAATGAGATATAAGCTCAT